ATTATTATTAAAAATAATAACAGTTCAATTGTCTTTGGTGTGAGGCAGTCTGTAATGCCTCTGAGCCAGGCGTCCATGTCTTCCCGTTGGGCAGTGGGGTTTGTCGTCCACGACATGTTGGCACGCTCGGTGAAGAGACTGACACAGATCTGTGTGGTATAAGCCTATATGTGGTTGCACGGCTGAGTGTAGTTTCAGTAAGTGTGCACCAATAGTGAAGTGTCGTGATGACTAAATGTTGGTCTAAGTGTACACAGTGAGGCTAGGGATGTGAAGATCTCGTCACTCAACTGGGTAAAGGAAAGAAAAAGAGAGAGGTTAAAACAAATCTCAGATGGAAATAGCTTTTTTTTCAATGGAAGAAAATATTTTTGTAAATATTTTCTATCACTGGAAAGCTGGTTTCAACTCGTGATGTGAGGACTTCGTCACTCAACTGAGTAAGAGAAGAAGAGAGAAAAGTTAACAACCAATTTCAAATGAGAGAGAAACGAAACAAAAAGGAAATTATTAACTAGGGAAAGTATTAATTTCTCATAAATGTTTCTATCAATGACAATCTGTTTCCAGAAAGGTAAACAATATTTTTGATTATGTTTGCAATGAAAAATAATACAATAATAATGCTGATACCTCTTTTCTGAGTTTGACAGGATTGACACACACACCTTCGGTTGGACCGCTTACAGCAGGGCTTACAGCAGGGATGCTTTGAAGGCGGAGTTTGCTCAACACTTGTCTCTGTTAATTAATCTTGGATAAGATGTCAAAGTTTAAATTGCGTTTACAAATGCAGGGAGAGTGAGAAGAACACAAGAGGGTTTGATTAAAAATCAAATACCTAATAATCTGTTTGGGAAAGATTATCTTTGTCTCTTTTTAGAGTTGGTTGATGGTTCTTCCAGGTTTGTTCCCTACAAATGTGCAAAATTAGATGGAATAAAGCAGGACAGAACAGGAAAGATGTGATGAGGAGGAAATGAAGCAAGGAGGTTGGATCCCGCTACCTTTAGATCTACTACGAGTATAGAATTGATAGTTGATGAACAACTAAACACACAAATAAACTTTGTAAAAGACGATTGTCTCTGGTTTATTTGAAACTCGTATTGAGATGGTAATGTCTCCTATTGAAGCGTCACGCAAATGAATTATTCCAATATAGTGGTTAAGTTTATAACCAACAAGACGAAAGGATAAAGCGCAATGACGATAATAAGCAAATCTGAGTCTAACACTATTTTTGTAATAGTAATAACGACTTTCCAAATTTTAACTTTCAGAGTTCTTAAGTTTCAAAACTAATTCACCTAAAGTGATTGGATCTCAAAGAGAAATGTAAAAATTATGAAAATTATGCAATTAGAATTATTACAAAAATAAATCTAGAAATCATTAGAAATGATCTGTTTAGAAAGGTAGAATCTCAATTTTGCAATTTCTTGTTCTTTTAAAATCAAATTCGAAATTTGACAATTAATAATCATAAACCAGTATTTTCTTTTTCAAGTAAAATGCAGGTAAAACAATTAATAATGGTACACCAGTATTTTCCTTTCAGGAAAAATATGGTTAACTTTAAAGAAAAGTGTGATAAAGTTAAAAGAAGAAACAAGAAAAGATCGATAGGTGTCTAAATGGTTAAATCGCTTTAACGTTGTTCAAACAGACACTATAGCTAACCGCTGGGGTTAGTATTGATAATAGTAACTGATGCTAAAGGCTTTAGCACAGGCCTCAATGCAAACAACCGCTCAGCTTTAGCTTAGCCTAGCTTAGCTTAGCTTAGCGTAGCGTTTGTTTGGTTTGTTTACAAAGTTCGAGGGGGTCAGAGTTCACCCGGAAGTGTTGGTTAAGACTTCCGTGTCACGATAGCAACTAAAGCGATCAAGCGAACGCTAGTGGGCGAACCGTGAATTGCAGTTGGTAAGCAGTTTGTTAGAGTTCCATGCAATGTGAGCGCATTTCCATGTTCACAGAACATGTACAGTAACAATCGACCATATTACGGGAAATGTCGGCGCATTTCACACTGTTCAAATAAAATACACCACTCGTAGCTGGGTTTACGACATGGGGCTTCACTCAGTTTGTTGAGAGTGATAACTTTAAGCACGCGGCGGTGCGCTGTATGAGAGCAATGATCTCGTCTCTGTCTTTGTGCAGGTTTAGTTTCACACAAAGTAACAGGGTCTAACTTGGTTCAGTTTCTAAACAAGCTTTACTTGGACAAAACTTAAAATAAGTCCTATTCAATTACACTCGGACACGCGCAGTGTTTACACGATAAATAATTGAATAGACATACACAGAAAAGCATTAACTTTAACGTTAACTGTTTATCACGGGGATCACGGATAGTGGGACACGCACTGGTGATCAAATAAAATAAACAGATAAGCATTAAGTGTTTATCACAATGGAACACGCACTGCGATCAAACAAATAAACAGATAAGCATTAAGTGTGTATCGCGGAGATCACAATGGAACACGCACTGCGATCAAATAAAATAAACAGAAAGCATTAAGCATTTATCACGGAGATCACAATGGAACACGCACTGCGATCAAATAAAATAAACAGAAAGCATTAAGCATTTATCATGGAGAAGCAATGGAACACGCACTGCGATCAGATAAATAACTTTAAGGCTTTTATGACTAGATTCGACAAGGAACACGCTTGACGCTCTGTCAGGAAAATATTGTAACTTACAGGGTTAGTTTTAATTACTGCAGTTTGATTTCGTTCGGCTTCTCTGACTGATATAAACACACACACACAACGTTATAGCTCTCTGAAAGACTCTGGAACACGCAGATGTCGATCAGCTATAACGAGGTATTTTTTCTGGAAATAAGGAACACGCTTAATTCCTACCTTATTGTAGTGTGAGGTTTTATATCTTATGCAGGTATAAAGAAAGCAAAATAGGCGACAGACTAGACTTCTCAGCTTTCTCTGGGAGCTTCACTCACAGATAACAGCAGCAGCAACATTCAACGTGCGCGCGGCGCATACGTCACACACAGACTCGCGGAGGTTCGGATCTCGCATCCGCAACCAAAAATGAAAAGATAATTTCTTGATATATGTTCACAATTTAGGTTGAACTGCCTCGCATTCTCCACCAATATGTAGCAAATGCAACATATAATAATATACATAAAATGTATTAAAGGGGGCCGAAGGCCAATTTAGCTCAAAGGGAAATGATTCATTGATTTGCAATGAATCTATGGAACCGAATCACTGAACCGAGCAAATGACTCGCTTAGAGTTCATTTGAACGGGCCGTAATTATAACCAAATCTATAGTGAAACACTATGTCTTAGCAAGGTAACTTTAAATCGAACAGTACAAGACATTAAATGTGCAAACACGACACAAGAAGATTTATCTTTTCAAATATATGGACAAGACTTTATTAGCTATTCTAAGCACAAAACTAAGGTCTAAACATAATCACGCACACGCACACACACATTCATACAGTCGCGAAAGGGAAAGAGTGAGTTGGAAAGAGTGAGGGAAAGTTTCAACTTTCTATATGCACGTAAGACATAACCTGAAAGGACCACCAAGCATTAATTTGAACCTTCATTTCTTAGAGAGGTTATTCAATTAACATTAAAGCACCAGTTCAGTTAGAGCTTGGAGTACTTGCGCTTTGTAGTGGCTGAGGGAATTCCCTTTGTCTGCGTCGCGTCGAAGGGGGGTTTCCCGGCCGGGTCCGTTGCGTGGTTTGTTGTCTTTGAAGTGCAGGGATGGAAGTTTCGCCGCTGGTCACGTGTGATTAGCAAGCGAATGAGAGTCTTTTCCAATTCGAAGCGCGTTGCAAACTTAACTTTGAAACGAGACTTTTACGAAAAAGGAAATAAAGGAAAGAAATGAAAGCAAGGCGAGTCGGATGGCTTGACTGAGCTGAATTGTAACCCTGATCTTGATGGGTTATTCGTCTGCTGGTCGAATTTGGTCTAGTCGATGTAGAAGCATGTGGACATGTTCTTTGTTTCAGAGATAAGCACGAACAGAACACTCTCTTGCTGGTTTTAGAGAGAGGCACGGACTTAACAGTTACAGAACTGAACGAACTGAACAAAAATCTAAACAAAAAATCATCTGAAATCTTCTAAAATCTACAAAAATCTGATCTTGAGGTCCTTTGTTCGGATCTTTAACTTAAACTCTAGTCCAACCTCCAAGAAGCTTCTGGCCAATTGGAGGCGGATCTACTTCTTGCTTTATCATAATTTATGCATGGTCTGTGAGCTGGTCTCCAGCACTTAGCAGAGACAAAAGACCATCGTTTTAACCTTATGATAATTATAATAATAAAACAAAACCTTTTACGCAGATTTCAATCAAGCCATCTTTTGAATTAGGAGAATACGATTCGTTTAAGAGTAAATGAGGCATTCACACTTCTAATGGTTGTATAACAATTACAAGAGTTAATAGTTAACAACAATTACATGATTCATATGTGATCTAAGCATTAACAAACAACACATGAATTGCAGAAAGCAATGAGACTTGTGAGGTTTGATTAAAAGTTCAAGAATTGTTCTGTGGTGAGTTTATATGATTTTATGTGTGAGATCTCCGATCTCAATTGTAAGGTTACTGAGAGTTCAACTCGAAGGGGGACGAGGCAAAGGTGTTCTGTGGAACATCTCTGTCAGGGCATCAGAGGGGTCTTTGATGTGAGATCTCGTTCCACCATTTTGGAGCTGATTTGTCTTAGTTAAAATTACCATATTGACACGTTCGTCCTGTTTAGTGCCCATCTCTTGGGCCTGTGGGGCAATAAAAGTCCTTATCTGCAGACAGCACGGAGTCGTTCCGTGACTCTGGAATGTGGGCTCCAGAACTTGGAGTGTTGAAGCCATGTGAATTAATCCCATGAGAGATTAATTTGATTAAGTTGTGTTTGATTCGCCTCGATTCTCTACAGTACCAATATAAAATTATATTTTATCCTTAATTAATTTAGAGGGAGTGGTTCCTGGCAGACCATGTGACCTCACTGTCATTGAAGCCACTAAAAACTACGTGGTGTTGAGCTGGAAGCCCCCAGGCGATAAAGGCCATGAAGGGGTTATGTATTACGTGGAGAAGGTCAGTGCACAAAAATCAATTGATAAAGCTTTAGTGATTTTTAAAGCAACACTATGTAACATTTTTTACCTTAAAATAATGTTTCCAAAATCTTATCAGTGGTTCATCAAGTCGTAACAGGGTGAAAGGCACTTCTGCCATGGCCTGACGGGGTCGGTATCGCTTTTACTGGCACTGCGTAACTCCGTGGTTTGGGTAGTAACCCGACCACAAAAAGAACTACAAAATTCGACTGCTTTACGTCAAGCATTACAATAGTCATCATTTCCAACCAGTAGGGCGACCAAAGAGGAAAAGTTCCATGGTGTTGCTTTAAGGGAATAGGCCTTGAGTGATACAGTATGTTGTAATTTTTCTTTGGTTTAGCAATAATATCTCTGTGTGTGTGTGTGTGTAGTGTGTGTCTGGCACAGACAGCTGGCAACGAGTGAACACTGAAATCCCTGTGAAATCTCCACGTTTTGCTCTTTTTGATCTGGCTGAGGGCAAGTCTTACTGTTTCCGCGTTCGTTGCTGCAACTCAGCTGGCGTTGGAGAACCATCAGATCCGACAGAAGCCACCACAGTTGGAGACAAGCTGGGTATGATAAACACAACAGCCTTCAATGAAAATGTGATGTTTTTAATGAGTTGTGGTGGAGAATCTCTTACACTCTTAAAAAAAAAAAAAGTTCTGTATTGCAATTTATGGTTCCATGAAAAACCTTTAACATGCATTGAACCTTTTCCATAGCACAAAAGGATTTTTTTTATTTTTTTTTTACTTTTAAGAAACCTAAAATGGCCCTTCTGCAAAAACACGCTTTTGGAACCTTTATTATTTAGTTTATTGTCTCTTTAAAATACTAAAATATTATGTTAATGTTTTATTATGCAGCTCTCTGGAATATGCTACTTGATTCTAGTTGGTGTACCGTTTAGCATTCCTGCTCATCTAGATAACTAAAAACATGCACAACAATCATCTCATATCTTAATATCTTGTTTCATACTAATGCAACTAGTGCCGTCTTGTGTTATAATTTCTGATGATTATAAAAAATCGGATGACAATGTAATTGATTTTTTTTTCTTAGTGGAATATTTTCAAAAGTCGAATTTTTTTTTAGGATATTACATGTATGATTTAAAAAAAAAAATCAACTCAAATAAATATTTCATGTCCAATTAATTATATATTTGGTGAGTAGTCATGTAAAGATTAATGTTAAAATTGTTTAAAAATTATCCCTATAACTCAACTCCAATTATTTATGTTAGCCTTTACTTTACCAAGTAGCTTTTACTTTTCATCTGGATATACCATTAACTCATCATTTACCATAAATTTGTAATATTGTATTAATTATATTATATTATACACTCCAAAAAAGGTCTTATCTGTTTGCATTAGTTAAAACATTAACTAATATGAACTAACAATGAGAAAAATATCTTTACAGTATTTAATAACCTTTGTTAATTTTTGTTCAAAAAGTTCATTTTCAAAGTGCATAAACTAAAGTTAACAGATAAAACTTTGAATTTCAAAAATGTAGTAGTAAATTATGAGATTAACATGCACCAAGATTTAAAAAATGCTATAAAATTATTGATTGTTGTCAGTTCATATTAACTAATATTATTACAGTAATGCTAACAAATTAAACCTTGTTATATTACAGTATTAAATTATATTATAATTACAGCATGCAGATAAATGTTGCCTGAACTTGAATATAATTCTATTATAGTGTAAATAATGTGTAATGGTGTACACTTTTTTGTTACCTGCCACCAGATATCCCATCAGCCCCTGGCCGTGTGGTGCCTACCCGCAATACAGACACATCTGTGGTGGTTTCATGGGAAGGGTCACGTGAAGCTAAAGAGCTGGTGGGCTACTACATTGAGAACAGCATTGTGGGCAGCAATACTTGGGAGCCATGCAACAACAAACCAGTTAAAAGCACAAGGTATAACAACACATCGAGTATAATTAATAATTCAGTTGAATTACACAGTCTTGTTGTAAAATGACTGTCAACTAGCAAGTGCGTTCTGCGCCGGTGCATGTGTAAGTGTATATCTGTCTATAGCAGGTTGCAATATTCTATTTTCATCATTTAAAAAGGGAAACCGAAACTATCACTGAAGATATACAAACCGTTAAAGGGGACATATCATGCAAAATCCACTTTTTTAGCCCTTAAATGCATTTTGTTGTATATTTGGAGTGTTTATAAGTACAGAAAAGATGAAATTACTCTCTTCAGGTGCTTCGTTTATATTTTTATATTCTGTTTTGGTCATATTTTTCAACCTGTTCAGATTTTTCTGTTTTCTATGACGTTTTTTGAACAAGTACGTCACCGTATTTGCAGCGGAACTGACAAATAAGGACATTGACTACCGGCCCAACACTTCGAGCAATCCGCCATTATATTTCTCGCTCCGATTTTGTAGTCCAAGCTCAATGATGCAGAGGGCAAGTCAAAATGTACGGTTGTTGGATGTAGTGACCTGAAGCACTTCAAGGATCTCCACTTCAACAACCTCCGCCAGTATAAATAAGGGTTTGCCGATTGACTTCGTCTGAATGAGGGGTAAATTCCTTCTATCATTTAGCTGCTGTTTTCTGATGCTTTTCTAAACGTAAGTTATCATATTATCAATACAGATTTTTAGTGGTAAGATTAGACCGCAGTCATTTATCTCGTCAGTGTGCTTGTTTTAACAAGAGAAAATAGTCGACTTTCACTAATAACACAACATAGTTAACTTAACTTACATACTACTGCATCCATATGATGACGTTGTTCTGCAGACTCGTCGTCGTCTTTAGCAACTCGCTCGCTCTGGCTCGAATATGTAAGGCTTGATGGACAAGTCTTCCGTTGTTGACGTTTTGTTAACGTGTGAATAAAAATGTTCTTTAAAGCTATAGCAATCGTATATCTCTTATCAAACTACAATAATGGCCGAACGGGGGTAGTTGAACCTAGTGTGAACTCATCGACCTGGAGAGCGGGCGGGGGGAAAGACGCAACTCCTTTTTATTTAAAGGGGACGCTTCGAAATGGGTTGCTCACAGAAGCACATCAGAAAAGGGGCCTGTTGAGCTATAATAATGAGAAATTCAGACCCAAGAATTGCAGTTATGCTTTATATAGACCACAAATGTATAATTTATAAGTAAAAATGAATGATTTAAAAGCTTGATATGTACCCTTTAACAAAGCAGCGCTTGCTTACCATTTAGAATATCAATCATGCTGATCACTTTTATAATTCCAGGCGGCTCAAGCTATTATGAAAATATCAATGCATTTGAATGTTTATATAGATGACGTAAAATTATAACAGCCTTCTGTCTGTCCCGTCTTTCGCATTTATTCTTGTGCACTGACTCGTTCGCTTGGCTGAACAGCCAGAGTTCTCTCTCTCACCGACGGCCCAGCGCCGATTCGACATGCTAAATCAGCCCAAAATACCCAGATGGTGTCCGACTAGAACCAAAACCGGAAAAAAACTAAGCCGACCAATATGAAGTTACTGTGCTGGAGTTCTATCAACTAATGCTACCTATCAGATTATACGGTGTTCTGCCTTTTGTTTTATTCTCCATTAAAATTGAAATTATGATGTAGCCTGTGTACTTTGTACAGCTTCCATCCGTCCCTGTAACTTCTGATGTCCTCAGAGCTTTGTCCTGAATAATGCGGTCAGAACAGTTAGTATGCTCTTAACCCGCTCCATCGTCAAATGTGCGATATCGATCGCGAAGGATATATGCAGAGTTGACAGAAAAATGCACTCACGTACTGTCGCAGGTCAATGCAAAAAATATCTAAAGCGCCGCCTCACGCAGTTCGGGTACCGGACCTAAAACAATCATGCGTCTAGCTGGCAGAGCAAAACTTCGAGATGGTGCTCACTGCGGAACATGAAATCCACGGGGAGGAGTCGGATCCAGATCCAACTCCTCTCACCTTACATACACCTAAACCTAACCAACTCCGCCCCCTGATCTCTAAACCCACCCCTAATCCCTAAACCCAACCCTAATCCTACCCATCTCCACCCCTTGGATCGTGATCCGACTCCTCCCCGTGGATCTCATGTTCTGCATTGAGGTGCTACTGAAAACTTCCACGACTCTTTTAGCTCCACCCTGAACATGGTCGAGCCGACGCGGGACTAATATATCACAGGGAGTGATAATAATGAAGCAACAAGTGTATATTGGTGCATACAACATAATGAATCAAGAAGTGCTGGTTCATTAGCCTGACTTCGTGTCGTAACCGAACCAGGAAAAAAAAAATCCCTCTGCACTCAATTGGATAGTCGGTAGACCTACAACCAATCAGAGCAACGCATAAGTCAACTCCTTTGCATAGCGCAGTTTTCAAATACAGAACGTAGCCTGCTTTATTTATTTTAGAAGTTCAAAAACGAGTGTTGCTTCTTTTACTTACTTTTCCATGAGTCCCACCAAAGGAGAAACCACAACGACCACAGGCTTTTCATTACGTCCCATCTTCTTAACGACCGTCAGAGCCAGCTGATAAGTTACACTTTTCCCGAATCAAGTAGGAAGGACGGCAAAAATATCTTTCCGATCGACAAATACCTTGATTGCAGTTCTCTGTTTGTCTATTAAAATGAATGCGCTGTTGATTTTTTTTTTTTACAAAAGACGCGACAGCGGAATCCATACATCTCAATTCTCCCGCTGCAGTCATCTCTGAGGGAAGACAGTTAAGCGTTCTTTGATAACGTGATGATTACATCCCTGCAGATCATCTGTCCATCATCGTATAAAGCCCGCCCTGGCAATTTGATTGGCCCGTTCATTTTTTGCCTGATCATAATTACTCCTGAATGGATCAAGTCCAGACCGAACTTCCCGACCTAAAAATATAGTTCGGGCTGGCATCCAGGCTACTGGTTCATATCTACAACATCAGAACAGCTGTTAAAAGCATGCACACAAAACACAGCGGCGTCCGGAAAAAAATCCGCGGGTTGAGCGAAGTGCACGCACAATAATAGGGCAGACAGCCGAAACCAATGCACACTGAAAAGACGCAGAACACAGAAGGTTGTAATTTTTTGTTTGACTTGCATCCCATTCAATTACATGGAGAGGGAAGGTTCTATGACCTATACTGCAGCCAGCCACCAGGGGGCCTTCGAAATATTTTCGTGAAAAACGCTCATATTGGTGTGAACATGCAATTAGGGTTAATGGTCTGTTAAATCAATTAAAGTATGATGAACAACAGTACTATTTGTGTTTGTCTTACTGAGCCCACTAATAAATGGCATAATAGCTTGTTTTCACGTGACGTCACGCAACTGCGTTGCCATGGCGCGAAACGCAGATGGAGGGCTGGAAGTAATTTCCATATTTAGGAAGCACTATAACACACTCAAAATGCCTATGTTTTGTGTCGTTTACGGTTGCTCAAATCGATCAAACCACGTGGAGTTTTTATCGTGTGACAAAAGTTGTTGTTCATAAGGGTGAAAAATACAAGAAATTGACAGAAAAACACTGGGAAAAGGCCTTGCAAACCTACGTCTGCAGTCAGGAGTAGCCGAATGGGAAAATGCCTGTGTGTGTGTGTGTGTGTGTGCGCAGTGATCACTTCGTCAAATGTGAGTTAATACATTATTTATGTGGCTTATAATTACATTTAAATACACTTATGTGGCTGTTTGTGTAACGTACCAGTTTCCGAACTTTGTAAAGTCAAAGTATGTCTGTAAGACGAGTTAGTTGCTGATATCTACAGCCTCGATGGCAGGCAAATCTCTCAATTCAGTTGAAAATCAGTCCTCTTCATAACGTAAGGATCACGTCCAACATATGTTTCGATTTTCTGTTTATATATTTCTCTTTTAATAGCGTCTAAAGTAGTACAGTACGGATTTTCCTCCATCTCGTCCATTGCGTTCTTCACTCCTTGCCCTCCATCTGCGTTCCGCGTGTCAACACAATCACGTGACTGCAAACCACCTATTGTTTGTGTGAGATTTGAATTGTTGTAACATATCTGTCCATATGTGTTCATGCAGGTTTATCTGTCATGGCTTGACCACAGGCGAGAGTTACATTTTCCGAGTGAGAGCTGTCAACGCTGCTGGAATCAGTGAATTCTCACAAGAATCAGAAGCCATTGAAGTTAAAGCTGCTATTGGTAAGTCATCTGTGAACTCCTATTGATATAACTTGGATATTATGCAGATCTTTGAAATATGATTTCACTTTAAATTCCAACCTTCACTTTAAATTCTGCCCACTGTTCTTGACTTACGCATTTCACACGTCCTAAATGGCACTTCAGTGTCAGGGCCACAACCACCAAACTTCAGCTCCGTTTCCTGCATTTCTCCCAGTAGACGGGGTCAGGACTTGTAGACCTCCTCTAGTTTGGGTCAAAACTGATCCAACGTAGTGGTGACTACAAACCAGCTCACCCTCGTACACCCCTGCCCACTCCCTCAGCCTTTTCAGACCTGTCCCTTTTGCATGCCTTTCATGCACCTTAACAACCATAAGACTTTGTGTTAAGTTCACTTATCCTTTATGAAACGCACATTTATTATCCACACTTTTTTCTAATCAAAACAGTATTTTATGGCAAACAAAAACTATAAATGTACACTAAATACAAAAATAAAACACAATTCAACTTAAAAAATCATAAACTAAACGCTATGCTACTTTTTCATAGGGTTTTTGTCTCTGTTTGCTTGATTGATTGGCTGCAATGCAATATCTTAAGATATTTACATTAAATACATTAAAAATACACATATTTCATGCATGGATAACAGCTTCCAACTTCAATAACTAGCAGCGCCAAATGTGACTAAAAATTTTGGCTAATATATGAAACCTAATATATAAATATAAGTATTGTAATTTTATTATTATTTTAATATATTAAAAAATTATATATTCAACAATAATACAAATCTAAAATGCTATTTAATTATTAAAAATAATTATAATTATTTTATTTTACACTACGGTGTTGTTGTAATTGTAATATATTTATTTATTTTATTTTGTTTAGGTTTTTTAAATTTAAATAATAATACAATATAAATATTTTGAATAATATAAATAATAATAATAATATTATTAGCAGCAGCAGCAGCAGTAGTAGTAGTAGTAGTAGTAGTGTATGTTCATATATTACATGCATATTATATATTCCTTAGCTGATCACATGCCTATGATACGTTTTTGTTTTTAGTTTATTTTTAATCAGTAAAAATGTCATTATTATATATGACAATCAATAAATAATTTTTACTCAATACTTTAGTGTGTCTTGCACGTTTTTTTTAAATAGATCAAATTAAATAAGTTAGAGAACCACTAAGTGGATGTACAAAAATGACCCAAAACATAAAGTGTTAGGTTGTTTCCTGCTCTTTCCTACTTTTAGTTCATTACTGTAATTATAATTAAATATTAATGTTAAATATTAATGCTAAAAATAAAAGTAGAAGAATCTCGGGATAATCAGCATGCAAACCTGTTGTAGTGTGTAGCATCTTGTGTCTTTCAGGATGAATGTAACACTCGTGTGATGCTTTTTTCATAAAGGTTCAGCACAAAGTCAGCACAAAACCCCTCTGTGACATTCACATGCATAAACTACACTAAATAACTGCATCCTCTCTCCCAAATTACAATCTACACTTTCTTCTCATCTCTTTTGCATTTTCATCGCCTCATTACAATAAAAAAAAGCAAAGTTGACTCTCTCTTGCATGCAAACCGATTTCTGCTTAAGTTTTCCACTGAACTTGATTAATTAGATAAAAGTAAATAAATGTGATTGTGTTTGAATTTGATTTATGCTTTCTCTTGCTGTTTTCTCTGCTAACTCCTTTAGGGGGCGGTATTCTTCATGGTGTGTGTCTGGAGTCGGGGGGTAATGGGGTCGGACTAACCCAGCACAGCACTAGTGGAGTGGGCAGGCATGTGGCGCCTCACTCCCCTGCTGACACGCCTCTAACACGCATAGCTAATGTTAGTGCAAGGGTTGAGGGAGGGGGGCACGACACTGGCCACACAGGGCATCCAGTTGCATTAAATGAAGGAAAACAGGGCGAGAGGGCCACTCAGGGGCCAACAGAACCTGCTTGTGGGCAGGATACCAAAACTTCTAAAAAGGTTGAAAACTCTAGCAATGAATTGTTAAAGCCCAAGCTCGTCCAAAAGGAGTCAGCAACAGAATTGCCGGAAAATCGTAAGTCGTCAGTAAACTCTCCTCCGGAACAAGAGAAAGCAGGAGAGCGAGGGAGAGGACGAAGAGGCTCAGGTGAGAAGAGAGAGAAAGCCAACTCTCTGGAACGTCATCCATCGGCATCCCTCATCAGTGTTGGCCTGTCTCCATTTTCACCTTTCTTATTGTTGTTGTTTTTCCCTCCATTCATTTTTAATTCTTTTCTTTGCATTTTCCAACTTGAATTTTTGCATCTTGAATTTTTCACTCTCTATTTTTTAAACACTTATTTAGTTTATTGATTAATCATTCATGTGCGTATTATTTTCAATTTTTCTTATTGTCCCTTGTGAAAGTAGTAGTACACTTTAGCATAATTTAATTTTAAAGAGCACTTATTTTGAAGATAATATACTTTAAAAGAATACATAAGTGTAAACTGAATGTAAATTGCATGTTTATTGAAATGAAATGAAAATGCATTTTATTAAATACGTTTAGCTAAACTTTAGAATTTGACCCATTTACTGTAACACAAATGTGATCATGGAGTTCCGATTCAGCATATTTAAATATATTAACTTGAAATGTAAAATTGAATAACACACTGCAATTAAATAATCAATAACTTTAATGTATTATTTAACGGAGCGTATTATTGTATGACAAAAGATTAAAACATAATTTTAAATGTACTTTAATGTAAACCTTTTCACATTATGAAAAAAAGCACTTTTTAAAAGTCTACTTAAGTGATAAGTCATAAAAATGTGTATATTCTTTAAGTTCACTTTAGTGGGTTTTAATTTAATTAATATTATATTGTCTGCAAGTAAATTGTTTTGTACAAATTTTGAGCACATTCAATACAATTAAGCGCACTTCTTTTTCACAAGGGACATAAGACCTCTCATAAAATTAGCATATTGCAGTTGTTTTAACAGCCTTGTAGTCATGCTCTGGGTAGGCTGCAGCAATTGACTGGTCAGTCAACCCCATTGGAAAATCCAGCTTAAACCAGTTTCTTTTAGCTTCATGTTGGTACAATCTGTTTTTTTTTTTTTTTTTCAAATGGGGTATTTTTTCAGAGAACTTTTATATATGGTAAGTCTTCTCAGCTACAGCCTTTTTAAGCCCTTAAATAACATCACTATCCACACAAATGCTTCTAGGGATCTTCTGTGGCTTGTTTTATGCCACCAGCAACAACTGACAATATGCTGGACACCCTCCCTACTACACGATACACTCCTTGGGCTCACCAACTTGCAATGTCATATTAGTGTCAGTATTTTTACAATTCTGTGCCTGGTTTGGATATGTTGCTCCACTTACGCTGGTACACGCTCAAATCATTAGTTTCCTGTGTACTGTAATAATGCTTCACTGCTAACTGTAATGTTCTGTTATGCCAGCTTCACCCGCTCCACCCTATGGTATCAATGTGTTGGAATGTGTGCGGGACTCGATGGTACTAGCCTGGAAACAACCCACTTTCATCGGTGGTGCTGACATCACTGGTTACTTTGTTGACTACCGTGAGGTCGTCGATGGAGTCCCGGGAAAATGGCATGAGGCGAACATTAGGTCTGTCAGTGAGAGAGCTTATAGAGTAAGTAGCACATTTAAGTATAAGGAGATGTGCTTTTTGAGATGTGCAATTTTTGATCTCCAACCTTTTCTTTCTGTCTAGGTTTCAGAGCTGAAGGAAAACATGCTGTACCAATTCCAGGTACGTGCTGCCAACATGGCTGGTGTGGGCATCCCGTCTCTTCCCAGCGAGGTATTCAAGTGTGAGGAGTGGACTATTGCTGTACCGGGTAGGCACAAACTAATTTGAACAATACATTTTCTTTTCCTTTCAGAGCTGTAATGCTTACCTACAGTAAAGGTGACCCTTGTGAAAAAGTAGTGCTTTTTGGAGAAGTGAGATATATATTTTTATATGTAATTTCATAATTCTTACTTCTATAGTCTTTTGAAGTATGGTTTAAGCGCCCTATTTTAACGATTTAACCGTGTGGTCTTAAGCGCATGGCGCAAGTGCACGTAGGGCGTGTCCGCATCCACTTTTGCTAGTTTAAAGGCACACTATGCAGCTCTAAGGCCGTGTGCCCACCAAAGCGTTTTTACACGCGCCTGGCGTATGTTTTCAATGGGAGCGCCGCGTTTTTTAAAAGCCATGAGCGTACCGAGGCGCTGAGCGTTTTTTTTCACGCTGCAGCGCCGAGCGCCCTGCGTTTTTACCAACCCGGTCTCACCCCAAGACGTCATATAACTGACGTTTTGGGACGTCTTTTGACCATACGTCAATATTCGCCTTTTTAGGGCCCCCTTAAACGTCGGTAGATGAGGTTATGGGATCCTAACTCTACCCCATACCTAAACCTAACCCTAAACCTAGCCCGTCAACTAACTGACGTTAAAGGTAAAGCGTCAGTTGTATGACGGCACGGGATCGCCATCTACCGACGTTTAAGGGGGCCCTAAAAAGGCGGATATTGACGTATGGTCAAAATACGTCCCAAAACGTCAGTTATATGACTTTTTGGGATGAGACTGTGTTATTTTTACTGGTCGCTGGGAGTTGAAATTTTTTTTAAACTATGTTAAAACATTTTTTTCAGGACCACCCCATGACCTCAAAGTACAGGAGGTGCGTAAAGACTCTTTGGTCTTGCTCTGGAAACCACCTGTCTACCAGGGTCGCGATTGTGTCAATGGATACTATATCGACATAAAGGAGGCTGAAGCAGACTTTGAAATGTGGAGAGGGGTCAACGAGAAAGCTAATGAAAAGACATTCATGAAGGTTTGTATATGGAAGACGCGGGGCAGTGGACTTGGCTTGTTAAGGTTGTGACATTTGCATACTCCTGTGAAAAATAAGTACACTTTATCATACTTTTAAAAAGAACATCTATTACAGAAACATAATATATTTGAAAAGAACTTGTGTGAACTGAATGTAGTGTTTTTGGACACTAAATTAGAATGTATTATAGTTTGATATGCAATTAGCTGAACTCTAGAGTGCTTTTTTAAACTAAATTAAGTATGACTTAGAATAAAAATTAAATATTACATTTAGGGATGGGAATTGATAAGATTTTATCGATATCGATGCCACTAACGATTCTGCTTATCGATCCGATTCTTTAACGATTCTCTTATCGATTCCTGATAGCACTGTGTGGGAAAAAGTAGTCATATGCTTTTTTGGGGGAAAGAAACAATTGGTTTTATTTGTTTTAAACCTTACACTTGACTAAGTAAACTGTACTTTTGATGTAATTTATATAATAAATGAAACCTTATGAGTTCAGTTCAGTGTTGAGTTCAGTTCAGTGTTGGGAGATCAGTTCAGTTGTTTTAACCATTCATTAAAACGAATCGGTTCAAATGAGTCATTAGTTCGCGAATTGAACGTGTCATTATCAGACGTGTGCGCGTTCCGACACAAGATGTGTGTCATCACAGAAAACATTTCATCTTTTGGTCGTTTTTTCCGTTTATTTGAAGTGTGGTTTATGTCAGCTAAATGTGCGGACCGCTTTTCAGAGAAGATAAGGCAACGTAGACCTATTTCAGCACAATTCACACCCAGCGGTAATTCAGGAAAAACAAAACTCCGAATGCTGCACATGAAACTTTAGTCTCCCGACCTTACTATTGTGTCGATTATTTTGATTAATATGTGCGAGGGAGAAAGAGAGAGCAAGACAGCGCTTAGTTTTGAGCAGTGAAGCCAGAGAGAGGTGCGCGCGCGCACGACCGGGGCTCTCTCTCTCCCTGCTCGTTCAGTTTAACACGAGCCCTGTCACGAGCGCAGCGGTTCATAACTACAGAGAGAGACAATTTTACCGGTACTCACCGATCAAATAAGGCTTTGGTGGTACAAAAAAAAAATCGCTTTGGACGCCGTGCTGGTGCTTAATAAAGGACAAAGGGACAGTTGTTAGTTCACTGTCTGAAGCCTACATACTGGTTGACTCAGAGCAGGAGCATCGATAAGAGGAATCGTTAACGTCGAGCGCATACAATATCGATGGATCGTAAAATTTAGAACCGGTTCTCGAGTGGAACCGGTTTTCGATTCCCATCCCTAATTACATTCTATAAGCAGACTAGTACTAGTTCTAAGATTTAAAAGATTATAGCTAAGTACAAACTGCATGTGCTTTCGGACACTTAATTGCATGTTAACTTCAATTAAATGAAAATGTATTATAGTTTAAAGTACAATTAGCTGAACATTAGAGCATTTTTTGAACCACTTAAGTAGTACTTTATTACATATTTATCTGTGATTTCAAAATGACTTTTAAATAACTGATCTGCAGAAAGTGCTGCCAAGAATGTATGGTAAGCTAAAATATACTAATAATTTCTATTGAAACTTGTATGTCATGTATTTAAATATATTTGTAATTTAGTAAGCAATTTAGTACACTGAAAATATATTAACTTTAAATGTAATCTCAAACAGCGCACTACAGATACAATTATTGTAAAGTAACTTTAAATGTGCTTTAGTATGTTCAATACATCAAAATAAGTGTACTTCTTTAAAGCAAAACAACATATTATTAAAATCTACTTACATTTTTTAAAAGTGTACTTAAGTGTGTTGAGAAAAATAGGCAACGTACTCTCTTGAAGGACACTTAAGTGGTCTTTAATTTGATTATTATTACATCAGCAAGTGCAGTTTTTTAAAATAAATATACTTTTAAGATTTAAAGTACACTACAAGTGCATATTTAATATAATTAAGCACTTTTTTTCATAAGGGTAGGTTTATGTTAGTAAATGTTGTTCCTCTTCATTGTTCTAGATCAAGGATCTAAAGGAGGGTGTGTCGTATGTTTTCCGTGTACGCGCTCAGAACAAGGCTGGTGTAGGAAAAGCATCAGAGCCTACAGAACCGGTGGAGGCAGTGACTAAACCAGGTACTAAACTGGACTAAATGAAATCATCTTCTACCCAAAATAAAATTGAAATCAATTTGAAATAAAAATGTACTTTTTTTAATGCATGTTGCTGGTCCTGTTGTGTACAATTCATACTTTTCTCTTCATGATCTTTCTTCAAAATGTAATAACTTGATCTGCTTCTGAAATGATTTCCTTTTTGGATGACACCACCATTCCTTATTATTTTCCCCCAACATATTGATCTAATCTGTTTACTAAAGTGATTTTTAAATCCAGGCTAAGCTTAAAGCAAACTAAAATAAACAAAACTTAACTAGCCTCAAAAAATCCTACAAACTATTTCTTTCTCTCAGGTACTGCCGAGATAGTTGTGACTGTTGACGATGATGGCGTCATTTCACTCAATTTTGAGTGCTCTAACCTCAATGCTGAGTCCAAATTTGTCTGGTCCAAGAACTACGAGGAAATGACAGAACCTGAACGCATGACCATGGAGACCAAGGGTAACAAGTAAGTATTTGCATGCTAATGAGTCAATAGTTGTATCCCTTGAAACTCACTCCAGGATAATCACAATGACATATTTAAAGAAAATCATTTCTTCATGCTTTGAAATAGCTTGAATGTAACCATGCTTCATTTAGGCAGATCTCTGCATATTAGGGGTGTAAGAAAATATTGATACACTGGAATATCGTGATATTATGTTTAGGAATACTGTATCGGTTCTCAAAAAGACTTATCAATTTCCATTACACGAGAGTAGATGTTAAAACTTTATACTGATTTGTTCTCGGCTTTCGCCAAGATAAGCACAAAGTAAGATCCCACACGTTGATGGGATTGAATGATGATGACTGAATTTTAATTTTTGGTGAATTATACATCTCTTCAACTAGCTTGTTTACCTTCTGATTAATCATATTTATAAATCTTTGAAACATATTATTTATGAAATGTAACAAATTGAATCAAAAAATAGATTAGCATGAAATCATGTTGTAGTAACTCAATATTTATCTGTAGGTCCAAAGCCATCTTTAATACGCCTTCAGAAGATGACCTGGGCATCTACTCTTGCTTCGTGACACACACTGATGGAGCGTCTGCCAGCTACACACTCTCTGAAGAAGGTCATTTTATCTACCTTTTTTATTTTCTATGTTAAAATGTGCCAAGTTAACATTGTTGTTGATTGTGACATTCTCACTGTCCTTCTCCTAACAGCTCTAAAAGAACTCCTGAAGGTCAGCCATGACCACAAATTCCCCAGTGAGTACACATTATATAAGGTTTCACATTATCAGTGTTTGTTTAAAAAAAAATAAAAATAAATAAAATATATATATATATATATATATACGTATATGTACTGTGTGCTCTTTCTCTATCCTGTGCACATTACCATACTTTTAAGAGTACTTAATATGGAAATAATATACTGTAAAATAATAGAGTTAAGTGTGATTGGAAATGTAATGTTTTCGGACACTTACGTAATTGCATATCAATTGCAATTAAATGAAAATGTAATATTGTTTAAATTTATATTAAAAGCAATTTGCTGAATTAGAGTGCCTTTTGTAATATGGTTAAAATGTAATTCTGAATGTACTGACAAGCATTCATGGTAAACTAAAATATACTTCTGTTATTTCTATTGCAACTTGTAAGTCATATATTTAAATATATTACTAAAAATACATTTGCAATTTAGTCCAATTAAAATATAAGATTATGATTAAAATTGTTATCAAGTTCTTCACATGTGCTTTAGTGTGTTAGTCAACATGACAAAAGATTATAAAAACATAATTATTTCAAATTTAGATTGACATTATTAAAAAGTGTACTTAAGTGTTAAGGAATATAATCATAAAAGTGCTTAAAGACAGCACTCTCGTTTTTTTAAATAAACATTTTAAAGATTTACACAACCAAGCACACTTATTTTTCACAAGGATATTTATATAAAAATATAATATATTTAAAATAACACACAGTGTCCTAAACAGTTCTGCCCTATTAAACGAAATCAAATTGCATGAAGTGCTCATCAGAACATACAGTATGTTTTTTAATATACAGCTCTGTGATGTAGGATTTTTTTAAAATGAGATAAATGTAAAATGTCACGTCATGTGACACTTACTCATTGGTTAGGACAAAGTGATGGTTAGGTTACATTTGAAAGGTCACTTTTATTGCATCATGCCTGCTAAAGACGCTGTTTCAATACAAAACAGAGCATAAGTATCAAGGTTTCCATTCCATAGGTCTCCAATACAATGATCATTATGCCGGACCGAATACTTGTTTTGTTCTATTGTTCTGTTATTACACTTTCTATTATCCACTTTCATCCCTCTTCTTCAGTCATCCCTCTGAAAACAGACCTGGCCGTGGAGCTGCTCGAGAAGGGAAGAGTTCGCTTCTGGTTGCAGGCTGAAAAAATCTCTGCCAATGGAAAAGTTGAATACGTGTTCAATGACAATATGATCTCCCAGGGAGAGGTGAGAGGAATGGAGAAACAGACATGAAATATTACTCAAGTAATTCTTTGGAAACACTCTGCATTAATGGTTTTTGTGTGTTGTAGAAATACAAGATGAACTTTGATAAAAATACTGGCATTATTGAGATGTTCATGGAGTCTCTGGGAAAAGAGGACGAGGGAACATTCACTTTCCAGCTTCAAGATGGCAAAGCCACTAACCAGTCAAGTCTTGTGCTAATTGGAGATGGTACTAATCTAAAAGCCCATATACACGTACACATATGCATCTCATTTATAGAGTTTGTACCAATGACGGCATCTCATTTCCTTCAGTGTTCAAGCAGTTACAAAAGGAATCCGAGTTCCAGAGAAAAGAATGGCATAGAAAGCAAGGTAGTACTTTTTTTAAAGCTTGTGAACAGTGTGTTAAATGTTTCAAACAGTAATATAATACATCATTACATGGCCTCGTTATTACATGGATCCATAGAATGTACATATTATTCTGTAAAAAGTACTAGTATAGTATCGTATGTCATTCCAGATATTGTGCACCCACTGTTTGTCTATTATTCACTGCTTTTTCTGCACTGTAAGGTCCACACTTCGTGGAGTATCTCGGTTATGAAGTCACACCTGAGTGCTGTGTGAGACTGAAGTGTAAGGTGAGTCTTCTTTCTAGTAAAAAACACCTGCAGTGCTGCCTGTTTCTTTATTTTTAACATATTATGTGATCTAGGTTGGTAATATGAAGAAAGACTCCGTGGCCCTGTGGTATAAGGATGGACGAGAGGTCAAGGTCAACGAGAAACTGGATTTCTCTGAAGGAGTATTAACTTTGGAGATCACCCAGGTGAGAAGGATTTTACTCATGCAGAGAAAATTATTTGGTGTAGAAACAATTTTCGCTTAAATGTCTTGCCAATTTTACAAGTAACGGCAAATTGCATTAAATGTAAAATTTTGAAGTGCTGTAGTATTTTCTTGTAAAACGTACTCCAGTAATCTTAGTTTTATGGAAGCTTGTTTCCGCCACAAAAGAAAAAAAATAACTGCGACTTTTTATCTCACAATTGCGAAATATAAAGTCAGAATTGCGTGATGTAAAGTTGCAATTCTGAGAAAAAAGACGGAAGTGCGACTTTTTATCTCACAATTCTGACTTTTTCTCACAATTGTGAGTTTACATCTCACAATTCTGACTTTATAACACATAATTGCAGGTTTATATGTTGAAATTCTGACATGTTTTCTCAGAATTGTGAGATATGAACTCGCAATTGCAATTTATCAGGCTAATTCTAAGGGGGAAAAAAGACTAACTTTTTCCCCCTCAGAATATTTTAAATCTCACAATTCTGACTTTATATCATGTATTTCTGACTTTGTATGTCACAATTGCGACTTTATATCTAGCAATTCTGACTTTATATCTCGCAATTCTGACTTTATATCTCGCAATTTTGACTTTATATCTCGCAATTCTGACGTTATAACACGCAATTGCAACTTTATATCACGCAATTCTGACTTTATATCTCGCAATTCTGACTTTATAACATGCAATTGCGACTTTATATCACGCAATTCTGACTTTATATCTCGCAATTCTGAAGTTTTATCTCGCAATTCTGACTTTATATCTCGCAATTCTGTCTTTATATCTCGCAATTCTGACTTTACATCTCGCAATTCTGAGAAATAAAGTCAGAATTGCGAGATTTAAACTCGCAATTGTGAGAAAAAAAGTCAGAATTGTAAGATAAAAAGTCGCAACTACTGTACCTTTTTATTTTTCATTCTATGGTGAAAACAAGTTTCCATCTAGTTTTACTTGCAACTTTAGAAAAAAAAGGTTTAATAGTGGGTTACCTAGATATTACTCTTCATAAATTCACAAAATATGGTCAGCAACTTCCACAAATATTTAGTTAATATGTATCTAGAAGTATTTATTTAATGATTCAATTTGAATATAAATTTGACTATACTGTATATACCATATCGTTTCCACAAGTTACAAGCATAATTTTATTAATTAACTCCGTTGTTGTTCGTTCATTACAAAATATTTCTCATTCATTCTCTTGTTTTAGTTCAAATCAGGACAAAAAAATATTTCTAAATGACACTTTTTCTTTTTTCTTGACCCATCTGTTTGCATACACGTTGTTTTGTGCATCTGTCCTCAAACTCGTGCAAGTTTACTTCTTGCTTGTTACATTACTTTTTTTCTGCTTTTGTCAGATTGTTGTGGCCTAGCATCCAGCGCAGGGGAATAGCTTGTGTTCCTGTAGTGTTAGATTAGAGATTGCACCTATTTTATTAAAGTCTATGGATCACACACATACTTAAATTGTTAGGCATGTAATTGTTTTAATGAATTTTGTTTGTCCATGTCAACGGCAGATTTCAAGAAAGGATGCTGGTATATATGAAGTAGTTTTGAAGGATGACAGAGGCAAAGACACCTCCACCCTCAACCTTACTGACCAAGGTAACAGCAGAAATTTGCTTTAAAAGTACTAAAAGCTACTATTATAAAACTCTCCAGAATTACTTAATGCACTTTATTTTAAGGTGCTCTTGCAAATATGCATAATTTACTGATGATATTACTATAGTAAGATGTGAAACATTGACGCTGTAAAATAAAGTGTTACCAAACATTTAATCCTAATTCTATCCATATCCCAGAATTACACAGATATTCCCCCACAATTGGTGCAGGAAATGTGAAGAAACGTATTTCTTCTTGATTTGATCTGTATGTTAAAGATGTTAATAATACTTGATCTTTTATAAATAAATGTCTAACTTCTGTTTTCCAGGATTCAAAGACTTGATGAATCAGGTTTTCAGTGTTATCGGTAAGATTTACAACCTAATTTTCGAGCGTAAATGATTTTTATGAGGACATAGTAAACGTAATTGAAAATATCTTCTAAATGTCCACATTTAAACATGTACTGTAGATATAGCAATGCAGATGTTGACTTTCATTTTGTCCAGCAAACTCTTCGACTCAACTGAAGATCCAGAGCACAGAGGAGGGAATCAGGCTCTACTCCTTCGTCAACTACTACAACGACGAGCTGCACGTCACCTGGCATCACAAGTAAGAACGTCTCATCAAGCAATGTTACTGGAATTACTGTATATTATACTCTATATGCTTTACACATGGTTTTACTGGTGACTGAAGTTTTGTGAAGGCTTTTATGGATTTGTAATAGTAGTTTAAATTCAAAATTAGTATGTTGGCTTTACTTTCTCTGCTGGTGGTCATTTGTAGTTGGTGACAAAGTATAGTTTTTACTGTGTGCTTGCGTATGCTTTATTAAAGGGATGCTGCGATCGCCTTCACCGAGCGCATTAAGAGTGGTGTGGTGGGTGAGCAGCTGTGGCTGCAGATCTCTGAGCCCACCGACAAAGATAAAGGCAAATATGCCATTGAGTTCTTCGATGGGAAAGGAGGTTTGCGCAGAACTGTGGAACTGGCTGGACAAGGTGAGGCAATACATGCTCATACACACACACACGCTAAGGTTTTGAGTAATTATTGCAGCACACAGCGCATCTTGTTCAAATTCTGATCGCTCAAACAGAAACCCGCGAGGCATACTGAAATATATTCAAGGACTTCAAGAAATATAATCACTTTGACCCGTGATAGGCGATGCTAAACGGCTAACATTCCAATGCCGACCGGCAGCATGAGCAAGTCAAACTGATAGAAAGCTATTTATGTAACACGTCACACCATAAAAGTATAAATAAATGTTTACCTGCTCAACAAAAAGTCAGCCGCGTCAGCGTCGGTTTTCAGCCCCAGATCTCCCTGAAGCTTCCTCCAACGGTCAATAGTGGACTCTACATTTATCGGTAATGCTTCCTTTTACAGTCCAGTTACCCATGTAAATACTATGTATGTATTTATGTATTTATTTTAGTAACTACAATTACTGGGGAACAACTAGTACTAACCCTGAAGCTTCCCCTAAACCTACCCCTGTTCCATGTTCCACTTACCTTATATTAGCCAGTACTTTCTAGGTAAGTACCCTGTAAGTACACTGTAAGTACTGTACTGTAAAAGAAAGCGTTACCCATTTATCCTACTTTAGAGTCCGGCGTTACATTTTTTTTTTTTTAAATCTCTGCTCTTTCCTCTATACTTTCTCTTTCGTCCAAACTTTACAGTAGGGGCAAACAGGGTCCGCTTGCTGCTGTCGTTTATATTTTTATCCATTGCTTTATCCGTTGCTGATCTGACGCTACTTAGCTAGCTAGCTACCATAGACTGTCTGTCAGCTGCTTGCTAGCGCAAGGAGCGGGGCGGGGTCGGGTGCGGTTGGGTTGGAGACGCGAGCTACAGGCGGAGTTTCAAGTGGAGCTGGTGATTGGATGAGAGCAGTTGACCAATGTAAGCTGTCCGGCCAGACAGGCTGTACAGCCAATAGAATTAATGGATTTTTTCATTCTTTTTTCTATTCATATTGTTAGGATTGTACTATATAACCATAACCAGCATCTAAACGAGGACATTAATAATGAACAATCTTTTTAATCGTATACCCTAGCTTTAAACTAATGCAATTAAGTGTGCAAAAACTACATTCAGCATATTTCCGTTACAATTACTTTTTTATTAAAGTATGCTAAAGTGTACTTCTTTTTCACAAGATTCAGTCTATTTTTTCTGTAACACTGTTCACAATAAATGTTGCAAACAGCAGATTTAAAGCAAACTGTACTCTCAAGATGTCCCAAAACAAGGGGACTGGGTTTAAACACATATTGGATACATGAGAGATACATATCAGATGAAACAACAAAATATTCCAAGGCACTCCTGTGGTTAAACATAAAACGTATTAGTCATTAAAACAAAGTGTTGATCAACGTGTTTTTGGCTTGACAGCTTTCTTCAGGATGAACCTGAAGAGCTCAAGATGTTCTCAGTGTTGTTAAGATCTGCTATTTGCCATCAACCATGATTCATTTATTAAGTGTGTAAAAGTGCCACAATTAGTTGTGGCTCCAATAAGGAATAAAACAAATTTTATAATAAATAATGATGCATATACATTACATTTTTCTCTTTTCAGCATTTGACGATGCATATGCTGAATTTCAAAGACTCAAGTAAGTGCCTTTCAGCTGAAAATGGTTTGTGGTTTGTGATGAGATGGTCCTTACTGCAGAACATGAAATCCACGGGGAGGAGTCGGATCCAGATCCAACTCCTCCCACCTCATATTACCTAAACCTACCCAGCTCCACCCCTTGATCCCTAAACCCTCCCCTTAACCTACCCAACTCCACCCCTCAGATCTAGATCCGACTCCGCCCCCTGGATCTTGTGTACTGCAATGAGGTGTTACTGTTTGTGATAACATTCAGCTTGATTGACTGAATAACTAAATTGAATAACTACAAATATTTTCTTTTCCCATCTTCAATTTTTTTCCTTAGGGCTGCAGCTATCGCAGAAAGAAGTGAGTAGATGAATGCAGAAATATGTGCTTGTTTGACACATCAATTTAACTGTATCTTTTGAAAGGTGATATCAGTGTAGCGGATATTTGTAATCTTTGTGTTTTCCTCAGATCGTGCTCGTGTGGCAGGTGGTCTGCCTGATGTTGTGACCATCCAAGAGGGCAAGGTACTGTACATGGTTCTCCACACGATTTGAAAATAACATTTATGCACAGCGCCACAGATAATTTCCCTCAAAAATAATCTGTTTTCAGTATTGTTCCATCTGTCTCTTCCCTTCTCTCTCATAGGCTTTGAACTTGACCTGCAATATCTCGGGTGACCCTGTACCAGAGGTCACTTGGCTGAAGAATGAACGTGAGATGGTTTCGGACGATCACTACATTCTGAAGTTTGAGTCTGGCAAGTTTGCCAGTTTCACCATCAGCGGCGTCAATACGGCTGACTCTGGAAAGTACAGCATCCTGGTAAAGAACAAGTACGGTACGGAAAGCGGCGATTTCACCGTAAGTGTCTTCATCCCAGACGAGGAACACGGCAAGAAAAAATAAAGAAAATCAAAATCAATAAGATTAATGAAAGATTTGAAAGGATTCTAAAAAGAATTATAGCAACTTTTGACAGTAATGCCCTATTATATTGAATAGCTCAAGGTACACTATCAGTCAAGCGTTTGGAATAATTCAGATTTTTTAATGTTTTTGAAATGAGTCTCTTCTGCTCACCAAGGCTGCATTTACTTGATCAAGGCATACAGTAAAAAAAATTTGAATTATCATTACAAATTTAAAGAACCTATATAAATATATTATAAAAAATAATTTATTCCTGTGATGCAGAGCTGTATTTTTAGGATCATTATTCCAGTCTTTAGTGTCACATGATCCCTCACAAATCATTCTTATATAAAATAACTTTTACTGTATTTTGATCAGACAATGCTCAAAAATGTTTTTAAAAAATCATTATTCTAAACTTTTGACTGTTTTATATCCTTAGTGGTGCTAATATCTTGGTTGCAGATTGAAAAGTGTTGGTCCAAGTTTTAATCCACCAGTACCCACATTAACAATAGTGCTCTAATTGGAAACTGTTTTAACCAATCATTTTCTGTATAGATCCAGCTTTATAAGAATTCTCAACCTGCATTATTTACTTGACCATTTTCTCCATTGTGGTGTTAGTAAAATAGTTTAAAGCCCAGATTTGAAAATGAATGCCGTTTTGACTGCAGATTGTATTGTGAGTGGCTTTCCATAAGTAGTTTTACTGTAAGAAGAAACAAAAGATCAACAGTTTTGAATTGAGAGACAAATAGATGCTCCGTTTCTGTACAGTTTATCATTATTCTGTCCTTAAAAGCAGGGGCTTAGATTCACAAAAAATACTTCACACTGCTAATAAATCACTGCACGTATGATCCCATTGTGCATAGCATAGTTATGACTTCACCTCCTGTTTTACCTCACAGATAATGATATGACTTCCTGTGTTATTTCCAATAAACGGAGCACATATTCTCTCAACTCCCTCTCTGTGTGGTTTCAGTGTGTCCCTTGTTTCTTGTCCACACTGTCCTCGTCTTTCACATCCCTTTTTCCTGAATCCTGCATCTGAGGATGAACACCTGGACCAACCTGAACACGGTCACTAACTTTACCCTCAACTGCAGACCTAACCTGCCCACTCTCACAGAAACTGAGTTCACAAATACTGTTTTTGTTTTCATAGCCTAACAGAAATGTTCAGAATAAATTTGAGGGTAAATAACTACTTTGTAGAACAGCATAGGAACAATTTTACATGTAACATGCTTATGACATACGTTTTTATTAACATCCAAGTGGTTATTGTGCAAAACTTTTTTAGTGCACTGGAGAAAAAAACATACAGGGATCTTATTTTAAATTATTTATGCCACAATTATAGTCAAGTCACCTGTACCAGGTCAACAGCTACAGATTAAAGTTATGGTCCAGCTAAAGTTAGTTATGATAGATTGATTCACTTCCATTGCAAAGAGTTAATTAGTTATTAACTTTGGGGTCACTAACACGACACTGTTCTAACAGAAAACACTCGACGCGTCCGGCCTGCTCATCCACACAAAACAGTGCCTGGTGGCTTGAGAACGCAAACCCTGAAATAGATTTCAAGGTGCAAGCCTTAAAAAAATTGAGAGAAAAAATTCGCTGTTGAATTTCAACGATTAACCCGATCTCACGGGAATTCGTACGAATTTTACGAGGTGGCTAATTCGTAACAATTCATACGACCTCACTCGTACAAATTAGTGCAATTTTGCTAAATCGTACATATTTTACGAATTGGCCAATTCGTATGAATTTGTACGAATGACCTACCCCTGACCCCGCCCTTAAACCTAACCATCACGTGGGTTTAGACAAATCGTATGAATTCGTACGAGTGAGGTCGTACGAATTAGCCACTTTTTAATCACTCGTACGAATTCGTACGAATTGGTCGTGATTGATTCCATGTGATAATATTAGATCTAGAGTATGAAATTATGAAAACTCTGGATGCACTATATGACTTTTCAAATGTGAACAGATTTTGAAACTCTAGGCATCACATCTGTGAAGCCAGGCAATAGTTAACTGAAATTGTAAATAATTTGCAACTTTTGCACTTAATTTATAGTTTATTGGTTCGGTTACATACTGGTTTTACTTCAGTTAGCCTAATAGCTGGTTTGATTTGCATTGAAAGATGATCTTATGAAAAGTACCCCATGCCAATCTCAAGGCATGGTGGAAGGTGTGTGATGATGTGGGGATATTTTAATTCCAAAGGCCAAGGGAACTTTATCAGGATGCATATTATCCTGGATCCATGAAATAACTGGCTTTTAAAAATAAAAATCTGCCTGACTCTATGGGAATTTAACATAGGGGTGCCCTGACTTATGCACCCTGTATTTTAAGGAAACACATTTATTTATTTATGATACATTATTCATTCACAAGGAAAATTGGTGTCCTTAAAGGTTGGAGTTTTCCTCATTTTTCTAATTAAGGCATTAAGATCAATATCCAAAAGATGATTTTTTATTCCTCTTTTTAGGCAACTTTAGCATGGGTGCCAACACTTATTCACACCACTGTATGTACTAGGTTTTCATTACCCCAAAATAATTAACACTTTCATGGTAATGTGGATTGATCATTTATAGTATTTAATCAAGAATCATGATTGATTGCATATGTACATCCATGTAATTTGTGCCTCTTGCTCTTGCCAGTTGAATGCGATTGAAAACATGGGTGATTATGGTGTGATGTCATATCTGGCTGATGCAGATGGAAACGTGATTATTGGACCTGGGACTCCTGTACCCACTTGTCACTCAACAAAGCCTTCATCCAGATCAATTCCCACAACACCCACCCAAGTCACTCCAACTCAAACACCAACCCCAGCTAATCCAAACCCCCAAAATAAAATTACAGATATCCTGACCCCTGAAAATCAAACCCCAAATATGCCAACTCAATCAACCCCACCAACTCAAATCCCTGAAAATCAATCCCCAGGTACCCAAACCCCTGAAAATCAAACCTCAGATACCCCTATTTCCCAACTCCCAGCTAATCTGACTTCCTCAATCTCAAATACATCCACTCCTCAACCCTTTACTCCCGCACCAAGTGAGAAATCTGCAAATATATCAATGGACGATAAGACGATAACAGCAATGCTGAAAGGTGAGAAAGGGTACAGAAATACACAGACATAAACCTATTTCATGCATCCTGACAAACAATATATATGGCTTTGTGTGTGAAAGTGAGTGTTTGTTGGGGCAGGTGTAATTTACAGGTTTTGTTTCATACAGACTCTGTGTCTAAAGCAGATAATACCACTTTTACAGAGGCGGTTGGACCCATACATCACACTGACCATGATGATATACCTGTTTCTACAACTGCACCGGAAACCACATCTTCATCCGAACCGGAGCCCGACCCCGAGGAAACTACAACAGCTCTTGAAACTGCAAATGAGGATTGAAATGTGTGTGAAATGAAAGATGATTAAGTGCATGAGGTCACGGTTTAACTGCATTTATGTTGTAGCACTAGGTATAGGGATAGTAACTATGTTAATCAGTGTTAGAGGTTTATTTGATGAGAACCAAAGTTTCTCTGGGAACACAACAGTTTTGTGAAAGAATGCAAAATTCCCTTTCAAAGTGAAACTTCTTCGGTGCGTTTGCTAAAGATACTATGGGGAACACCATCAGCGTAACGAATTTCTGAAGCACAAGTGACAAACACGCAAATTTATTGGCGTATGACAGTCCATGACATCATAAGCAGAGCGCACGCAAGTATAAAAGGCCGCCTGTAAAACCCAACGCATTCTCATCCCAAGGCATCATATACTGACGCTTTTGCCAATGCGTATACATCCAACTCACATGGCACCCTTTAGCGTCAATATAACACGCACAGAGTATGGGTAGGTTTAGGTCTGGGCTAGGTTTAGGGTTAGACCACTAGGAGGCGCCTTCTGGCCCACATATATCTTCGTCTCATATTGACGCTAAAGGATGCCATCTACGTTGGATTTAGACGAAATTTCAAAAGTGTCACTATTTGACGCCTTGAGATGAGTACGGGCTGGTAATACACATTATCAGGGTTTTTTTGTCTTCAGGAGCTCTTTGTGAATGAAACAATGGATCCAAGCAATGCTTCAGGAAGTGTGTGTCTCTATGTACTATAGGTTTTTGAGAGTGAAGCACTCGAGAGCTCTGCACACTCTTGGCCATCTTCTTGGGGGAGCAGGAACAGCTTGTGTCTGTGCCTCATGGTTCTGGTCCCACTCTCGCTAAGACTCAAAGAAGGCTAAAGTCACAGGGTTCACAGGTCTGGCAGAATATGAGAGAGGGATTGATATTTTCATTCCTCTGTAATGGGCTCGAGTGATCAGTTGGATTACGATGGGCGGACTTTGCCGTCCTCTGATCCAGCAGACAGCTGGGCAATAAAAAGTTTGGACAAAGCATTTATCCTTCTCTTGTTACTTCCTTTTTCATACGGAAGTGAAATAGTATTAGGTTATGCTTTTTTTATTACAGTGGCTATTATGAAATTCTGAGACATATCTCCGCTTTGTTTCTCCTAATTTCTATAAATTATGGACTTGCGTGCAAGGTGTGATTACTCTCCCCTGCAGTTTCCCTAGTGGGTAAAGTTAAGATGACAAGAAAATTTTGACATTTATGTGCGTGTTTATGAACGCCGTTGACTTAACGTTATATAAATATATGACTTACCTCAACCCCGTCCCTAAACCTAACCGTCACTGGGGTTAATGGCATTTATGACTGTTCTACGGAGCCCCCCTAGTCCCACTTTGGCCTCAAGATACTAACTCGTGGCCTCAAGATACTAACTCGTTGAGGCCACGAGTTAGTATCTTGAGGCCACGAGTTAGTATCTTGAGGCCACGAGTTACTATCTTGAGGCCACGAGTTACTATCTTGAGGCCACGAGTTACTATCTTGAGGCCACAAGATAGTTATAATTAATTTTTTTTACCAAAGTGGGACTAGAGGGGCTAAGTACTGTTCCCTTACCATCCTAGGTAAAAAAAAGATATGACTTACCTCAACCCCATCCCTAAACTTAACCGTCACTGGGGTTAATGGCATTTATGACTGGAGATTTGACTGCGTGTACAGACACGCGGAATGACGCGGATGTTAATGGCGTAGACATACACGCATACACGCGGATACATGCGGATAGCTCAAAATGCGTAGAGATAACACGCCACCTGACTTGAAAGTGGCGTGTATGTTTACGCAAAAGTCATGATGTCATGTTGCAAAATGAGAGTTGCAATCTCCCCCTGGATGTAGTGGTATTACCAAATGTCAAGTTGATATTCTCCCTGTCTGTAATTATCAAGTGTTTCTGAAGATCTTAATTAGTAGGTTCATGTGTGTTTGATCAGGGTTGGAGCTAAACTTTGCAGGATGGTAGATCTCCTGGGAACAGTTTTAGGCACCCCGGCAATAGAGCATAAATTTCTTGGGTATCATGTCCTACTATACCATGTCCCGAAGATATTGGCCTAGGGTTTAATGCACTGTATAGTCAATTATGGTATGCTGCTCACTATGTTTGTGAATATTCACAGTTAATTTAGAGCATTACACATAATTTAAACCGGTATAAACATTTTTTCTTTACATTAAGTTTCAACTCAAGGCGATGTGCAATATCATTTTGTTTGATGTCACGCAACAATTGGACTGCGATCCTGCCCGCATCATCACTGTACACTCTCAGAAAAAGGGGTACTGTAGGAGTTGATTTTTGTCCCCGAAGGTACAATCTACACTAATGTACCCATAGGGCGTATTATTAGACCTCAAGGTACATATATGTTCCCAAGCATTAAAAGGTCTATAGATTTTTTGTAGCTTGTTTTTTTCTCAGAGTTAATCTAAATATCGTGACATTTTGTTTGATTGTCTACAAAGCATTAGATCAAAGCATTAGACACTGAATATGATAGGTATTCAGGTTATTCTTGGATGATGTCATTGTCGTTATCATCAATAAACAGGCAACATCACCTGATCTCATTTTCTCTTGACTTTTTTGCTACAACTAATGTGCATTATAAACACACAGTTACAGAAGCCAGAGAAAATCTAATATTAAAAAGTCAACGGTCAAGAGCCAAACTAAAGCAAACACTGACCACCATCATGGTGACTTAAAATACAACTCTTGAATTCGTTCCAACGGAAATTAAATAAAGGAAATTTGGTTAGCAGTAAGTGAAGATGGTAATGCTGTTTGTGGAGTTGTTTAATCCTCCTCTGCTGAGATATAATGTCTTCTTTTTCTCTTCAGTTGATTGAAGTCAATTGTAGATGTTGCATTTCTTTTTCCTTCTGTGATTCTGCTTGTTTAAAGTTAGGATTCCAAAAATTAATTGCGATTAATCGCATCCAAAATAAAAGTCTGTGTTTACATAATATATTTGTGTGTGCTGTATATAATTATTTTGTATAAATAAATACCTATGCATGCATGTATATATTTAAGAATTATTTGCGCTTAAATTCTGTATATATATATAAATACAAAATCTATATTATATAAATCTAAATATTTTATATATGAATAACACATTTTCTTAAATATATACATGCATGTGTGTGTATTTATATATACAAAATAATTATATACAGCACACACAAATATATTATGTAAACACAGACTTTTATTTTGGATGCGATTAATCGCAATTAATTTTTGCACAGCCCTAATATATATATATATATATATATATATATATATATATACAATATATTATTACATATATTTTTCAGTTACACCATATAATGTATTGATGATGAATATTCATTATGTATAGCGGAGGCTGAGTTTTACAGTAACCTATTTTAGGTCTGTCTTCCTCCTGTTGCACAAGAAACCTCTCTATTACTGGAGTAATATTGTATTAGTATTAATTTCTCTTGCAATGCAGGATGTAGGCTAGTTTGTTGTATTGCCTGTGCAAACTGCAAAGATAACCAATAAAAGACGACCGAGCCAATCAGATTAAGTATAGGGCAGAGCGACACTGTAGCCCCGCCCCGTTCTGCCACTATAAACGAGGACTAGAGAATCGAAAGCAAAAGTGGAGTTAAGGAAGAGAAACCATCTCGAGTCTTAAAACTTGTAAAAACTAGTTGTTTAAAGGGAGCACATTTTCTGGTAAGTCTATTATTCATGAAACCATATTAGGCTATATAAAAATAAGCTTCTGTTTCATGCTTTCCTTTACATGGAGCATCAAAGACGGATCATTTCATTTCAACAGTTTAATGTGAAAATGACCAAAATTGCATAAACACCGACGATTTTAGGTCTGAAGAATTATTCATACATTTAAAGTGGATGGGGGCTTTCAAGTTTCAAACAAAATCCCGCTGGCATTCGACTGACATAAATCGTTTAAATGTTGAAATAGCTAATGTTAGTTTATGAAAAAACATGAATTCAACGTCAAAACAACGTTGAACACCTTATAGTTGAAGTGGTGTTGTTAACTCACTATGGTTTCAACATAGAAATATCAACAATTTTTTAATTGTACGTCAAATCAACATTAGGCTACAACCACATTCAACGGTTATCCACTGGCACTTGCATTGATTCAACGACGTTAAAATGGCAGCAGCTGGGCATGAAGACATCGTACGTAGTCCATGCGAGGTTGTGCACTGTATTCCAACCCCTTCGAAGCCACGAGACCTTATGTAAAACAGCAGAGTGAAATATATTTCATTATTAATTCATTCCCCTTTAAACTGTATCTTGACAGCCATGGCCTTTTTTCACTTCCGATGTATGAGCGGTTTGGACTATTGTGGATATATATATATATATATATATATATATGCGCACAGTGTCATTACACACCTTGACAAAACATATAATTACTGATTAATGTGATTAAATATAATACTATGAAGCATAGCTCAAAACGCCATTTTTGTTTATGTCCCACACCTGGTCTCAATGTTGAGATACATTAAATAAGCTAATTTAATTAGGCTACAATTTGACATTATTTCAAATGGAATTGTTTAATATACAGATTTACAGCACCTTAAAATTCTTTGTATTATTTAATGATCATTTTTAGGATTTTTTAACTAAATGTGCCTGTCCTACACTTTTGAGTACACTTTCTTACCACAACAATGAAAAAAATATTTTATAATGAAATTTTATTGAACACAAACAAGTCTAGTTTCTATGGAAATAGAAATTTTTACTTGAGCACATTGCTGACAGACTGGGCACTTACAAGATACCAAAAATATAAGGTAAACATATTCTTTTCTGCTCTAGTATTTATTATGCATCCTTACCATTCAATAATTGTGTATTTTGAAAGTAAAATAAATGTATTACTGTATGAATTCATGTATATTAAGATGTTAAGAGTCATAATGTGGTAGGCCTTGGTAGCTGCTGATTAGCTAAAATATTAGCAAAAAAGTATTGTCCGCAACATGTCTTTACCGCAGCAAATTTAGGTGTTGCGGTAAAGACCTTGTGTATTCATTTTGATATTTTGCCACTATGTGAAAAATCCAGCAAAAAGCGCCAACCATAAATTGTGATTAAAATATACATGATCACTCACATCAAGGCTGCTGTGGTGGTGGAGTCCATGCAGGAGGAGCAGTGTTTGGCACTGCGTTGCTTTTCAGCGTGAGCTGTGTGGAGAAGCCCATGTCCACCTCTATTCCGTTACCATCCTTACCACTGTACTAAATACAGATAAATATATGCTAACTTGAAGCTATCCTAACTGTACTACACTACTAACTAACTAACTAACTAACTAGGCTACATAAAATAATCTAAATAATTATAAATGATATGCTAAATACATGCTAAAATACTCTATCCTGATTTTTTTTTATTCCAACTCTTGACTCTCAGTAGTTTTGACGAAACAAGATGGTTTTTACACTGCCAAGGGCGTGGTGAGCTCGTACCAAGGGCGTGGTGAGCTGGAACCTGCTTACGTCAGCTCTCCCCGCTTAGGTCACAGAGCACTGCAAACAACCAATTCGAAAATTCAACTGCAGTAGCCACCGTTCAAACTGAAGAGGGCAGCACTCAGACTTTTTTACACCATACATTGTAGAATTAAAACACTTTAAACCCAAATATCAAAAAAGTTACTTGAATCATTGATCAGCACTAATAAAGCCCCATTCTTACAGATCATTAACAAAAAAAAAGTTGGTTTAGGGTTTAGTTACCCTTTAAGGTTTACTGTATATTAAACAAACACCGTATTTTCCGCACTATAAGGCGCACTTAAAAGCCTTTAATTTTCTCCAAAAACGACAGTGCGTCTTATAATCCGGAGCGCTTTATATATGGATCAATTGGTTAACAACCTCCGCATTATTAAATTCGCCAGGGAACTCGCGCTCGTGTCCATCTTATGCCCGCCTTGTCACACGGCCAGTTCAACCTCGTATAAATCAGGTTATGTGTGTAAATCACGTGCCCGCTCACGAGCGCTCTGACACACTGTCCCCGGCGTTGCTCGCGCGTCACAGAATGTTCATAAAGCGCTCCTTGTTCACAGTAACCGGGTCGTCTCATTTAAAACAGCCAGCTGTTGCTGTCAGCGAGCCGTGCACATTGAATATACATATGAGTCAGGCTGCGAATGTAAGTTACGTGCCCACCCCAGCACGCTCACGCTTACTAAATAAACGCCTCGCCTCGCTACATTCCTTTTAGCCTTTAGCACATCTAGTGGATGCATAACGCACGCAATACCTTTTGTTTTCTGTAGGATATTTCTTTTTCTCCCCCCACCCCCCTTTTTTTTACAGTAGCCTGTTTTTGATTTCGTGGCAGTTTAACATTGTGTCCTTACCGACACAAGATGTCATTACTGCAGAACTGCTCTATTCTCTTTTTTTTTCACATTTTCATTTGCAAAAAATATTTTTATATTTAAGATGAGATGATTAAATGCGGGAGCAAAAGAGATGTTGTTTCGATGCAGTTAATATTGACACAAAAAGGCCCTGTGTACACGAAGGGAAAACGCAGATATTTTCCTGTGGTTTGGCCTCTTTTTACAAAAAAACCCTGTTTTTATCACAGAAAACGATTTTTTCTAAAACCTCTGGCCAAAGTGGACATTTCTGAAAATGCTGGTTATGTGTTGCCGTGTCAACTGGGAGAAACAGGGTTTTAGGTTCTCTCTTGTCGATTTTGAGATTTCTGATTGGCTTGCATGGCTTTATCCTTCTCCCTACACTGCCGCCTTGGCATAGTTATGATGGCGCTCGACGGTGTATTTATGCGGGTTGTTATTGAAAACATAGGGGGGAATATTCATTTCTCTAAATACCCAGCTATGTGTAAATGTAGCCTAACATCGTTTTGATGGTTGTTATTTATCTGTGACTCTAATCAACCCCACCAATTCAGATAGAGCAAAGTTTAGTTAGTTTTTATATATTTTATTATTCTTTCTTACCAGGTACTTCAAAAAGTCTAGCCAAATACTGTATGTTCTCTTTTCCATACACACAAAAGATAATATATTTAACGTTTTATGACAGATGTTGCAATTTCAATGTGTTAAATAAGGGCGACATACACAATATGCAGAGCAGTGGGTCGCGAGGACTGGAGTTGAGAACCCCTGATGTAGATGTCAATCTAACTTCTTTATTTTAAACTTTGTGTTTCTACTTGAAAGGTTTGCCATCAATCTCTTTTTTTAAGAGAGGCACTGCCTCTAAAATGAGTATCCAGGAAAAGAGAGAAGATGAGGGCACTGTCTCTAAAATGAGATCTTCATCTCCTGGATCATGTGTGTCTATAAGCGATGAATACGAAAACAATAAACCATCTGCAGCCAGTGATGTAACAGGGAGTTCTGACCTCAGGTAAGACACTGCCCAATTCTAGCGTTGACAGATGTTTTTTTTCCCCAGAATGTCATACAATGCATTCCAGAGAGAGAGGTGTATAGTCCAGGGGTCAGAAACTAGGCGGGATTTGGCGCCAAATGTATTGCGGCCATGGATCAAAAAATAAGCATGATTCAAAAATGTAAAAACACATGTAAAAATATAATGCACAAACTGAAAAAATAATGCAAAATTATCAGAAAAGCAAACATGGTCACATGGTCAAGGATCAAAATATAATTAGTAAAATAAAATATAACAGGTCGAGTTGCAGGCACACATAGTTTAATGGTTTTCTGCCACGGAAAGATTATTGCCAGACGGTTATCTTCACCTGTAGCTACGCGTGAACATCAGCAGCATGAGTCGCATTGGAGTGAGGTCAACTCCCCTCTTCGATTGATTGGCTAGAGGAGAAGCTGTCAATCTAGAACTGTGGACCAATGGTGACGCTAAAGCCCACCCTAATTTACATGAAACTCGAACTGCAACATTTGGAAGAGCAAGCGCAGAACGGAAAGAAGAGCGAAAAACATGAACATAAATTTAAGTTTCGTGCAAAATATTTTTAATGTGTTTAAAGTTTTTATTCATGCTTGTTATTTTTTGATTCACGATTATATTTTGATCCTTGACCATGTTGTTTGATTTATTGATAGTTTTGCATTATTTTTTTCAGTTTGTGAAATATATTTCCAAATGTGTTTTTACATTTTTGAATCAAGCTTATTATTTATTGACCCATTGCCGCAAATTGGTGGGATTTTGATCCTATAGACCTGCCATATGTTTATTCCACCCATGAACTCTGCTGATTTCACTAATTAGTTCTCCTAATCTCTTATCTGAATTAGCAAATCCAGGTGATTAGAACAAAATACTGAGGAGGACTTTTACTTTCTGAACCTGGACTTTACACCTCTGCATTGCAATGCCACATGTCTTAAGGAATATTTGTTTCAAATGTGAATTGTTTTATTTAAAAGTAGACATTTAAAGCATTATTTAGACGTATGTTTAATGTTTGTGAGATACGTATTCGCTGAGTTTCAGTTCAGTTTTCCAGACACGTTTCAGAAAGATTTTTGCAGAGACAAAGTGAGCTCCCTGTTTATTTTATTTATTTTACAAAAACACAAGGTTTTGATGTTAATAAGAGTGTGCACAAAAAGAAGACCCTCTATAGTTTATAATCATGTATCATTGATTTTATTTATATGACCATTAATGATGGAGGATTTTAAGTATATGTTGCTGCTATATGTGGAAAAAAAAAACGATTAAAATGCGGAGGCCACATTTATTTATTTGCTTTTGGATGACATGTGCACTGAAAAATTGATATGTTGGCTTTAATTAACTTTTTTATGTCAACAGGTTCAAACTTGGTTATGTTAAACATAATTTGTTCATGTAACTTCAACATAATGGAATTAAGTCATTTTAAGCAATGAACACTGAAGCAGTGTTAAAGTTAATGAGATAATTAAAGGTATAGCGGAGGATTTTCTTTTTCCGGGTGGGTAGTCTATACTATTGGTCCACCTAAGTGTCAATCATTCTGGTGATATGTTTACGTAAGGCCGTCGTACGTGCTCATCCCTATGTAGTTTTCACTTTCAGGAGTATTATGTCGGAGTTGCGGTTTCAGCCATTCCTTTGAAAATGGCTGAGGGTCGAAAGAGAAAAAATGTATACGAAGTGTATGATAAGAAGAGAAAGGCCACAGAATATAGAAACAAGACCATTTTGGGTTAATATCACATGCTGACGTGCGCTAAAAGCACAGGTTGGGCTTCTCACTGATGCCGCAGTCGCGAAGATTCTACTAGACAGGTAAAGTTTGTCATGCTATTTGGAGAAATCCATTTAAAATCACTAGTAAAAGTTAATGCAAGCTACTTTGCAATGCTAGCCCTGGCACAAGTCATGCACCGCATAGACACGGTAAACATCTCAATTTGTCTAAAGTAGCCTTTTGACCAAATGATAAATGGTATCACCCTGAAATATTCTAAAACCTTTTGTGTTCATGTGTTCATATTCTAAAACCTTGTGTGTTTATTATTACACAAATGCAACAAGCTACTTCTCCATTACATATGCAACTATGTATAAAAAGAACGTATTATTAACAATGAGACATATTAGGTTAAGGACCAACGTAATAGCACTGCTTAAATGTTGCCATGTAACGTAATTGCGATTTGCAAAATAGTTTCCTCAGAACGTATTTCGTGTGATACAGGGTTGCACATACCATGTCTTGAGTCCTCGGTCACTCAATCGATCAGTATAATAAGTAAATAAAACACGGAAGGGCATTTGACATGTTGTCTTTTTTATGAATGTTTTTGAGTTAGTTTATAATTTGCAACATAATTGTGTAAGGCGTAATAGACGTTCCCTCTCGGGAGCAAGAGTGTTGTGTTTGTCCATGTGCATTTTTTTTAAAAACTTGGAGAGGGCGGGTCTTCTCTAAAATTCGGAAAGATCCTCCGCTATACCTTTAAGTGAATAATTGAGGGATGATTGATCATTATTGAAGTCGCCTGATGGAAACAAGCAGAATCACTGAATGAGAAAACCGGAATTTGCAATCAACGTTACGGTGATTAGTGTGTGTTTTAGTTTGGCTCTTGACCCTCACATCATTAACTTTAGATGTTTGGCTGCTGTACATGAGTTATATCAGCCAGATTTACAAATAGAAAAGGTGATCTGATAGTGTTGGTTATGTTTAAAATAATCGTTGTTTCACAATCATTTACCTGAATCGCTAAACTCATATAGAATTTCTGAGTGAATTTTAATTTGTGGAATATAGCAGCACTGTCATTGTAGCACATACCATTTCTAGCCTTTTCAATATAAATGATCAAATCAATAAAAAATAAAGACATTTCAAAACAATATTTTATGAAGGCACTCAAGAATCAGCCGGTGAATATCAACAATGGTGACAATTATAAAGTATGTTGCAATGCATTCTGGGTTCCACCATTAAAAACACATGCATGGCTCACATCATGCATTGCTAAAAATAAATTATGCATAAATAAATTATGAGCTTATGTTAAGAGGTGATCTGTGTGTTACCATTGCTGAGATTCATATGCTAAATCTTGATGTGTGTGTGTGCGCACACACACACACACACACACACACACACACACACACACACACACACATACACATATAAATATTAAATCAGAACCAATTTATGATTTAAGTTTACCTCATGCTTTATAGCAGCTCTGTTTTTCGTTTCAGAGCTGAAAAAAATATTTTTTTCTTTATTTTTATTAATTTGATCATTTCGATTTCATTGAAAAGGATTAAGTTGATGTGCTCTACAATAACAGATATAAAGCATGAGGTAAACTTAATACAGAAATTGGGTTCTATATGAGTTAAGTGATTCAAGTCAAATGATTGTGAAATATTTTGATTATGTTAAAACATAACCAACACCATCAGATCACCTTTCAATTTGTTTATCATGCAGTTATAATACATATGCAGCAGCCAAACAAAATATAAAGTTAATGATGTGAGGGTCAAGAGACCAACTAAAACAAACACTGAGTGCCATAATAGTGACTCAAACATTTTGGTTTTCTCCTTCAGTGATTCTGCTTGTTACCATCATCACTCAATAATTCACTCAATGATCTCATTAACTTAACACTGCTTCAGTGTTCATGTAACACTCTGCTCAGAGCTTAATTGGGTCACTTATAATGACTTATTCCATGATGTTGAAGTTACATGAGCAAATTATGTTTGTTTAACGTACCCAATTATGTGGAACCAGTTGACATAATTTATGGATTATGAAATATTTTTTTTTAGTTTGGCATTGCTATGGCCTGCTTGTAGCCCTGGGCCCGTATTCATAAAGAATCTTAATGCAAAGAGTAGCTCCTAGTGACAAAATAGCCTCTATGCACGATCGCTTCCGGGTTTGTCTCAGCACGCCCAGTAACATCCGGTGCTGCGTCAGTCTATGGTCAGAAGCCGGTTTTGCGTTAGGTGGAGATAGTGTCAAATTACACTTGCTGTTTATAAAAACGTCCTGCGGTTAACGTGAATGATGTTAACAACACTGTGAGGCAGTTAGCTGTCACACAAGAGTAAAAAAGAGAAGTTATTTAAATTATATATTTCGAGCTACAACAACAACTTTGAGGGTTAGTATTCTCTCATATCGTACGAATTTCGACTAGCGAATCATTGTTTCTAAAATCGTTGTCTCCGTTTCTGAGAAAACGGATTTTATTAAAGTTTTGCCACTATACACTTGCCCTGCAGAACGCACTTCCGGAAGTAAAGACGCTGACTGAGATTCTTTCGGACACACGTCAGCAGGGTTCGTGCATAGAGGCTATTCTAAGAAAATTCTTAGAAATGTGGGTGTTTACTCTTAAAATTAAAGAAAACATTCTAGTAAAGAAAAGTGATTCAGAAAGCATCTTAACCCTTAAAAGAGGTATTAAGGTCAAAATTGTTAGGAGTACGGTTGAGGACTTTTAAGAGGCTTAAGAGCTTCTTTAGCAGAGGAGAAAATTACAGAATATTAGCCAAAGTTATGAGAATTTACTTGTTAAGCCCCGTTCACACCGCCAGCGATTTTGTCGCTGTGTGTCGCTAGGCTCTGTACTGTGATGTCGCTTGTGGGCGTTCGTAGTGCTGTCGCTCTTGTGTTATTGGTAGACTGCACGTCTGGCCATATCTATACAAGAGATCATCCCAAGTGATATATAATTTTAATTTGACTGGGAATAAATGACTTTTAAGGCTAAAAAGAAACCATATGCTGTTGGGAGAGTGTTTTTATATCTCCACAGCTGTGTTCAGTGGATTAAATCATTTACTAGATCAACGATCGATCAATGAACAAATTAAACTCACTCATACGGTCACAAATTATAAAATCGTCATTCGAATTTGACAAATAATCAATTTTCTTGTCCCTAATAGTCAATGTAATGCAGGGGAAATTGTAAAATGAACTGCAGCAGTGCTAACGTGCATCATATAATTACAACACTCGAACTATAACGTTAAATGTATGAATTAAACTCACTGTCGACAGTTTCTTTTCCATGCATCATTTTATTATCCATGTATGTGGTTACAGTCAAATCATATAAAACAGTGAAATCGTCCTCAAACTCTTTCTTTCTGTCTTGCATGCCCTGCACTCGAGACGGTGACGTGAGCTCCACTGAAAGTCTTCTTTCCTATTGGTTGTCGCTCGCGAAAATCGCTTCTCATTTGCATAAAGTTGAAAATTCTCAACTTTTGTCGCTTGTCTCTTGTCGCTTGACACGCCCACATTCTGTCGCCAACGGTCACTGTCGCTCGTGTCGCCGGATGTCGCCAGCGCTCCATTGAAATGAATGGGATCTTGTCGCTTTGTCGCTGCGTGTCGCTGGCGGTGTGAACGGGGCTTTAGCTGGGATATCTTGTAACTGATACTGTAAGTTTCTGATGGTCTTCAGCAGTCTTTGTCTTTTTACTCTTTTAAAAAAAATAATTAGGAGGGGGGAGATACATGAGCTGATTACATCCGCGCCATCCTCTACATCCCTCGATCATACTCAAATCAGCCAGGATAAAACTGAAGCAGTCCTGAAAAAATACACACCAGAGACTGGACACCTGCAGAGAGTCAAAGACCAGCACAAAACCAGCATGAAGAAGAAATATGAGAGATTATTTGAGGGAATCAAACTCCAAGAGAATCAAACACTCATGAACCGGATCTACACACAGCTCTGCATCATAGAGGGAGAGAGTGAAGGAGTGAATAAAGAACATGAGGTTTTACAGATGGAGAAAACAGCCAGAACACAACATTCACGAGACAGTCTAATCTGCAATGACATCTTTAAAGCCTTGTCTGAAACAGGATGTGAGGAGAAAGACCAAATCAAGACTGTTCTTACTAAAGGCATCGCCGGAATTGGAAAAACTGTGTCTGTGCAGAAATTCATTCTGGACTGGGCCGAGGGAAAAGCCAATCAGGATGTAGATTTCATGTTTGTGCTTCCATTTAGAGAGTTGAACTTGATAGGAGATCATCAGTACAGTCTTCACAGACTTCTGCTGGACTTTCATCCTGAACTTCAAGATCTGGACTCAAAGATTTATGAGGAGTGTAAAGTTGTGTTCATCTTTGATGGCCTGGATGAAAGCAAAATGACACTGATGTTTTCAGATGCTCAGAAGGTTTCTGATGTGACTGAGACTTCATCAGTGGGTGTGTTGATGTCAAACCTCATGAAAGGAGAACTGCTACCATCTGCTCTCATCTGGATCACCTCCAGACCAGCAGCATGCAATAAAATCCCCTCCAATTACATAAACCGTCTGACAGAGATTCAGGGATTCAATGAGCTCCAGAAGGAGGAATATTTCAAGAAGAGAATCAGTGACGAGCATCAAGCTAGCAAAATTTTCTCACTTATAAGAAAAGCAAGAAGCCTCCACATCATGTGCCACATACCCGTCTTCTGCTGGATCTCATCCACTGTTCTTCAAAAGCTCCTGAAAGAAGATCTCAGTGCAGAATTCCCTCAAACTCTGACTGAAATGTACATCCAGTTCCTTCTGATTCAGATCAACATGAGGAATCAGAATTATGAAGAGACAGATCCAAAGAAACATCTGCAGTCCAACAGGGAAGTGATTGTGAAACTTGCTGAAGTTGCTTTCAAACAGCTGATGAAGGGCAATGTGATGTTCTATGAGGAGGACCTGATTGAGTGCAGCATAGACATCACTGATGCCTCAGTGTATTCTGGGATCTTTAAGGAGGAATCTGTGATTTATCAAAGGAAAGTGTACAGCTTCATTCATCTGAGCTTTCAGGAGTTTCTCGCTGCTTTCTATCTGTTTTACCTCCATGTAATAAAAAATGTTGACGTTCTTAAGTTTTTTGATGTTATTTATAGCTTTCTAAAAAATGGAGTTGATAAAGCCCTTGAGAGTGAGAATGGACACCTGGATCTGTTCCTGCGGTTCCTGCTGGGTGTGTCACTGGAGTCAAATCAGAGACTCTTACAGGATCTACTGACACGCACAGAGAACAGCTCAGAGAGCATCAGGAGAACCACACAGTACATTAAAGAGAAGATCAAAGATGGACATGTACTCTCCTCTGAAAGATCCATCAATCTGTTCCTCTGTCTGCTGGAAGTCCAAGACCAGACTCTGTCCAGAGAGATTCAGGAGTTTATGAAATCAGACAAACACTCAGAAAATAAACTCTCTGCTGTGTACTGCTCAATAATAGCCTACATGCTTCAGATGTCAGAGGAGGTGCTAGATGAAATGGACCTCAAGAAATACAACACATCAGATGAAGGTAGAAGAAGACTGATACCAGCTGTGATCAAATGCACAAAAGCACTGTGAGTGTTACAATGAAGAAAATGTGTCTGCTGAGCAGCATTATACTCTCAGAGAGGAATACAAATTTAATATGTTCACAAGAGTTAAAGTCATAATAAATTTTGAAATGTAATCATTTGAAAAAAAAGTTAGAGAGTAAGGTTAAGAATTGATTTTCTTTTTCCAGTCTTTCAGGCTGTAATCTGACTGCTCAATGTTGTGAGAGTTTGTCATCAGCTCTACAATCCTCAAACTATGTCCTGAGAGAGCTTGACCTGAGCAACAATGACCTGCAGGATTCAGGAATTAAGCTGCTCTCTAATGGACTGAAGAGGACGCCAAACTGTCAGCTGCAGATACTGAGGTTTGTAAATAGAGTGGGACATTCTCTCTGTAGTGTGGTTTATATGAAAAACGATTCATCCATGATTCCCAGCATGCATCGGGGCATGAATATATTATTTCGCTGAAATGTTGTTATTTTCTTTCATTCTCGTTATTTGCTATAAACACGCATATCTTTATATAGACGAGAGCCCAGCTAACAGAATTTTGTTATAAGTATGTTCTCTAAATATTCAGTGTTGGGGAACGTGAAAAATGTCAATTTTTCTTGACATTAGAGGAATGCGTTTTGGTAACACTTTATTTGAAGGGGTGTGCATTAGACTGACATGACACTGTCATAAACATGACATAACACCTGTCATGAACATGAAGGAGTGTTTATGAATGTTTATGACTGTTGTCATTAAGGTCATTCGGTAAATTATGACACTTTTAATGCAAAGTTGACATTGTTTAAAATGTCTTTGTTATGACAACTTGACATTAACCAAGAAATCATAACTGGTCCAACGTGTTCCACTTTACTTGAGGTAAGGGGAAATATTAATGACACTGTTGTTAAAGCATTTGACAGTGTAATAACCCTTAATGACATCTATATAACTAGTACAATGTGTTCCACTTTACTTGAGGACAAGTAAAATATTCATGACACAGTTATAATGGTGTCATGTCAACCAAAGTTAAAACCAAGCATAACATAAGACAGGGTAATGCAATGTTAACACAAAGCTAAATAACTTCTTTAAGTTTGATAATTAGACCTGTTATGACATATTTGTGACAGGTTGACAGGTTATGATTTCTTGGTTGATGTCAAGTTGTCATAACAAAGACATTTTAAACAATGTCAACTTTGCATTAAAAGTGTCATAATTTACTGAATGACGCTTAATGACAACAGTCATAAACATTCATAAAGACTCCTTCATGTTCATGACAGGTGTTATGTCATGTTTATGACAGTGTCATGTCAGTTTTATGCACACCCCTTCAAATAAAGTGTTACCTGTGTTTTAAAAGGTATAATGTTCCTCAAACATTAAATGTTCTTTAAACGTAATTTTTGATTAACAATTCAACATGATAGTAATGTTGATTTCTAACGTTCCAAGAACATAAAAATGTCCAGTTTCCCGAATGTAACTACACAGCAAAAATTCGAGTGTTAAAGACTCAAGAATGTTAAAGTGGTAAAATTTGAGTGTTAAATTAACACTAAAGAGTGTTAAAGTTAATGTGCTATTTAAGTTATTGATTGAGTGATGATTGAGCATTATTGAAGACACCTGATGATAACAAGCAGAATCACTGAAGAAGAAAAATCTAATTTAGTCACCATTATGGAGATCAATGTTTGGTTTAGTTCATCAGTTGACCAGGGCCATAGCACCAAATTTTGGGCCCTGGGTACAATCCATCTTGCTGGGCCCAAATACCAAAAACCATAGTGATACCAATGGTGGGTTATTGTATTCTTATCATAAAAAGCCACACTCTGAGTAATATATTTTTGTTTTATTGTCAAAAGCACTTCTTCAGGGCTCCAGAATAACTTTTTTTTAACTTAGAGCGCTATTGCCCCTGACTGAAAATTTTAGGAGCGCAAGCAAAAAATTTAGGGGCACACCTTAAATCAGCTTGCAATGCAATTATTAAAATTTCCCCCAAAATTATTAGTTATACTGACAAATTCTTTAATAATAAATAGACTTAACCAGTGGTGTAGTGTCTGGGCATGCAGGGTATGCACGTGCAAATGGGCCCGGGCTGATGGGGGCCCAGGACTCACCTAACATATAGATATTACAATATGCAGTTTTATTTTAGTTCACAGGGCTCCAGACACAAATTTTAGGGCAGCACAACCTCAAATGAGAACTCACACCGAGATCTACCAAAAAAATAAAAAATAAAAAAAAAATCTGGTTGCACTGGGGCTAACAATAAATCACTAAGCTAAATTTAGGGTGTAGATTAAATTAACTTTAGGTATTATCATTTCAAATGTCTTAATATTAATAAAAAAAACAAAAGTAGTGAAAACATGTATATTGAGGAGTGAAAATAGCCAATAAACATTCTACTGTTTACTATATGTATATATATATATATATATATATATATATATATTTGTTTGTTGTTGTTGTTGTTGTTTTTTTAAATAAGTGTTTAAACAAGAGTTTTCCAACATATTAACATTTTTCATTTTAGGACAATTTTTAAAGGAAGAACAAACAATGTGTTGGTCATCATAAAAAATACAACACTTATATATGATATAATAGTTTTGAAGTGCTGGAAAAAGATGTCGTAGGCTACTTGTAAGCGAATGACTATTTCTGTCATATTATCATATTTATGGTAAGAGTTAACTTTCTACATTAGCATAAATCATGGTGAATATTGCTGATTTGTGGACTTCTATACGTGAATGTGAAAGCCTTCTATAAGTGTTTCCACCACTTATCTATATAATGAACATAGGTATTATCTGAATTGAGAGAGTTAGGGAACCGGATGAACTAATCTCTGTGATAGTGAGTGTTACAAGTAATAATAAGCACAAGAAAAGAAATAAAATGAAAATGATCAAACTAAATTCTTTAAATATAAAACAAAAGAAAAGTAGATAAGTAATCCATAGAAAAACACTTCTCATTCATGTCTGTCAACGGCCGGCCGTGTGTTCCTCTCAGCCATTCACTGAACGGGGAGACACAGCTAGAGAGAGTGACGACAGGGAGAAAGCAAGACCTCGTGCTCGCAGAACAGTTCTGGCTACATTTGAAGGTTACTGAGGTTTGTCCGAAAAGTTACCAAAATTGTTACTTGTCACTTTTTTGAAAAAAAAAGTGGGTCTGAAAAGTCGGGGTCTGAAAAGTCACTCTAATTTTAAATAGCGACAAAGGCGCTAAGTTGGCAACACTTTTGAGCGCAGGTCAATTTTTTACGTTCCCAGAACCAACGCTGAAAATTTGGGGGTGGTTTCCCAGACAGGGTTTAAATTAAAGGGTTAGTTCACCCAAAAATGAAAATTATGTCATTAATGACTCACCCTCATGTCATTCCAAGCCCGTAAGACCTCCGTTCATCTTCGGAACACAGTTTAAGATATTTTAGATTTAGTCCGAGAGCTTTCTGTCCCTCCATTGAAAATAAATGTACCTGATACTGTCCTTGTCCATAAAGGCAATACAGACATCATCAAAGTAGTCCAAGTGGGTTAGTTCAAATTTTTTTAAGCATAGAAAATACTTTTTGGTCCAAACATAGCAAAAACAACGACTTTATTCAGCATTGTATTCTCTTCCGGTTCTGTTGTCATTGCTCGTTCACGATTCCAATGATGCTGCTGACGTGTTATCTTGTGCGCCCGATTAGGACGATTAGGACATCCGCGACATGCACACTTACGAACCATTTTTAAAAAATATTGCAATACCAAAATACAAACAATGTAGAAAAGCTTGAATACAGGAACGAAGCTCGGGTGCACAAGATAACACGTTAGGAGCGTCATTGGAATCGTGAACGAGCAATGACAACAGAAAAAGTCCTCCTCAGTACTTTGTTCCAATCACCTTCATTTGCTAATTAGCAGTTTTTTAATCAGGAGACCGAAATCAGCTGAAATCAACTGTCAATCAGTTCATGGGTGGAATAAACATATAGCAGGATATGCATATAGCAGGATACTTCTACTTTCTGACCCCTGGACAAACATACATATTTCTACCATATTTCTAAAATGTAATTGATCATTGCTAATCCGTAGGTTGTCAGGCTGTATGGTGACAAAGGAAGGCTTTGGTTATGTGTCTTCAGCTCTGAGTTCAACTTCACACCTGAGGGAGCTGGATCTGAGCTACAATCACCCAGGACAATCAGGAATCTGGCTGCTCAACCAAAAACTGAAGGAACTAAACTACTCACTGCTGAAACTCAAGTATGTCAAACAAAATGTTACTCTTTGACCTTCAACCAACTTCAAATAAAAGCTGAAATCTGGAATGCAACTTTGTTTAATATAAATTTAAGAAAATATAATTCAGACTTCAGATTTCAAAGACCTAAAATAAAGAGCAAAGCAAAATCCCATGTGTGAAATTAAAGGTACAATATGCAGGATTTTTGGCAAGCAGACTTTGGCAAGCAGACTTTGAGACAAAAAGAGGACTAACACGAAGATCAACATATTTCAAGATGCCGAGAGCTCCAAGTCCGCGACTAACTTCAACTTAGAGATGCGAGTGTTGCAGTATTAAACAGGTGACCAAATGTTGAGCATGGTGAGCAAACTAATCAATGTTATTTAGTTCAACATGATGAAAAGTAAGAATGTGATCTCTAATGTGTATGTTATTCTCTAATGTTAATCTAGTTTACAACACACAATCTAACTAACAACATTCAACACACTCAAATCTTGTTTAGTGTAGCAACTGTTAGAGCAAGTGAAACAGCGCTGCGTCACCTCAAGTTTAATTTGTCTAATAAACTGACCTGTGTAAGTAATTCTACTTCACTTATGTGTAGTTCGGTAGAATGAAATGTCCGTATTCCTTTAATATCCGCGGGACTCGCGTTGCGTGTGGCGCTGGTATACGTCTAGTAGTGCTGTAGCGGCACGTCGATGATTCGACGTCAAAATTGCGTCGACGTCATATTTTTGCGTCGCCGCTTCTTTATTTAATTATTTTTTGCATGTTCCCGGCGGTACAGCTTGCCACACACACGTGGGAGACCGAAACATTGCAGAATAGAGGACGAAGACAACTAGAAGTGAATGTGCTATCCATTAAATGAATCACACACAGTAAACAAACCCTTAAGAAAAAAAAAATGCAATTTAAATGCGCAAACTGGGTGCCGGTGTGGTGAGACGTACAAGCTCGGGCAGATTCGGCTTGAAGTTGTTTCCGGATGCGGCGCCGGGCGCGCTGTTACAAAAAAAGGCGTACACAAAGCCAGCCACAGTCTTCCTGGTCTTGCGCATCCAACGCGTCATTTTTGGCGTGCGCACATTCGCGCTCGTGCGGACGTGTCGAGTATAAACAAGGCTTTACTCCGTGTCAGCACACGCTCTGATCAGTAGGTGAACTCCGCCTCCGACTCCGTTTCCCTCCTCAGCTGATATTAATATTTAAACATTCTCTATGATAAAAAATGTTTGTAAAAAATATTTTAATAACACGGTTTTGGCGGTTGTAGAGTTATAATGATGGTGTTCAAATACATAACATTAGACTAACGTTAGCCAGCTTATAGTATCTTGATTCAGTATGCTAGTATTTATTTGAGATATTGTTTTTTATTAATTGAGCAGCAGAAAAAATATTCTTTATATTAGTCGTCCAATTAGTCATTAGATTAGTCGGCTAATCGATAAAATAATCGCCCAACTAATCGTTTAGTTAATAATCGTTTACCCCAGCCCTAACGTCTAGCAATCACGCCCTGTTTCACACCACAGTCATGTTAAAAACATCACTGTATTCACTCATCCATAAAAGATCCATCAGCTTGATTACAAGATCCATAATTCCGCATAATGCAGAATATATGTCATCAATATACGCCTTTTTTATTGTAAGAGCTTAGTGACCCCTGCTGGTGAAAAAATCTTGCATATTGTACCTTTAACTCTGCTTAAAGAACAATTTGTCCTTATCTACAGAGTGTTAAAAAGTGTGAAAGGTAATTGGTATTAGTGATGAACACCTGCTGTTAACAAGCAGAATCACTAAAGAAACGATAAATACAAGAACTACAACTGATTTCCAGCTGGTCTTAAATTAAATCAACTCGAGATAAAACAAGATCACAGCAGAGGAGGTTTAAACAACTCCAAAAATAGCATTACCAGCTTCATCTATTGCTAACCAGATTTACTTTATTGTTTGCCATTCTTCTACAGAAGTTATTGTTGAGAGTTGATGTTGATGTGTTAGTGATCAAAACAATAATGTGCTATTTTATTTATTTTTAACAACTTCAGAGGTCAAATCAGTAAAACAAAGTAATGAACTGCTGGATGTAGATTGTCTTTTATGTGTTATACTTAGCAGTTTTGTGTGTGTTTGGGTATCTTTAGGCTAGATCATGGAGGAGAGAAAAGAATTAAACCAGGACTGAAAAAATGTAAGTTTTAATAAACACATACACACATACAGTGTAAAACACCAAATTACCTTCCATGATACACATTTATATTTAATTAAAATGAAGAAAGAAAGAAAGAAAGAAAGAAAGAAAGAAAGAAAGAAAGAAAGAAAGAAAGAAAGAAAGAAAGAAAGAAAGAAAGAAAGAAAGAAAGAAAGAAAGAAAAAAAAATGTCACGATTCAATTTGATATCGATGTTTAGGCTCAAGATTCAATTTAAAAACAAAATAAAAAATAAAAAAAAGATTCACAGTATGTAAATGTAGTTTACTTTTTCACATGTGATTGATTGTAGTAGACATATAATTTAAAAGAAAAGAAACAAAACAAATTAAATGTAGTTTGATATTACTTTATGTCTTCATATACAAAAATAAAAACTTTTGCAACCAAGAAGTGCAAAGTGCCAAGGCCAGCTTTTAAATACATTTCATTAAGCTTTAAAGTGCTGTAGGCTACCAGGTTAACTGAAATGTGAACTTGACTGGGCACATTGAAGTTCATAAAATTAGGCCCTTTCTTTTTAGAACTGTGGCAACTACAGTCCATTCAACAGAACACTTGTGAGTAGGCAGAATCACATAATGGATCAACATTTAGATGTATGTTTGTGTAACCAGTTCATAGTCCTCCACTGGCTGGAATGTGTAAATTCTTTTGCAGAAGTAGAAGCTGGTCTACGTGTTCTGGAGTGAGCATACACCTTATTCAGAGCAGCGCCATGACAGGTATGAAAGTGAGGCTGTGAGGGATAGACTTACCGTGTTTTCAATGCCATCCGCTGTAAAAAGCTGAATAAAACTGCTAGATACTTACAATTTTCCACAGCTTACATTGTCGAGAGTTTTTTGTCAACTGAAATTTCTTGGAAAGATATTTTTTCAGTGTTTCATGAGCAGAACAATCCGAAAACACATTAAATAACAGTACAGCCCATTGAAGAGATGCATGACTATCCCTCACAGCCTCGCTTTCATTCTCATTAAAAATCAAAGATGGCGCTGCCGTGAATAAGGCGTATGCTCCGCTGGGCAGTTATTATGTCTCCGGCAGTTGAGAACACTCTTTCTGACACCAAGCTAGTTCCAGGGATGCATAAATAGCACTTAGCTAACTTTGCCAGGAAGGGAAAATACAGTCTCATGGCTCCTTCACCAGATGAGGGGGCTTCTGAAAGTGATAATAATAAAACATAATCCTTAGTCCCCACCTCTTGCTGCAGTGAAAGATCATAAAAGAAATCACAATCAACCACAAACCTCATATTTAAATTCCATGTTCAGTGTTATTATCCCTTGTATATAATAACTCCCACTAGATAATAGGTCCCACTACAAGATAAAATGGAATACATCTGAAATGTGTGACCCTGGACCACAAAACAAGTCATAAGTCGCACAGGAATATTTGTGACAATAGCCAACAAAACATTTTATGGATCAAAATTATATTTTTTCTTTTATGCCAAAAATCATTTGCATATTAAGTAAAGATAATGATCCATGAAGATATTTTGTAAATTTCCTACTTTAAATGGATCAAAAATGTATTTTTTGTAAGTGAATGCAGCACAATTGCCAACAGAAATGGAAAACCTTAATAGCAATTTCCTTAATATTTCGATTTTTTTGAGACTCTCAGATTCCAGATTTTAAAATAGTTGTAGTTATAAATCTCAGTTTTAACAAATATACTGGTTTTATGGTTCAGGGTCACATATTGGTGCAGCTCTCCACAAGTAACATTCATCACACACACGCGTACGCACGCATGCGTTCAGGGCCTGAAATTAACTTTTTCGGCCACCGGCCACTGTGGCAGGTGGATTTAAAAATTCCCCTGCCACAGAGACTTTTTACCAGCCACTTTTTTTTTTGCCTCATATTTTGCATCAGCCAAAAAATGGTAAAAAAAGAACAATATTGTGAAATTCCTGTTTTTTTTTTGTTTGTTTGTTTTTTCACGTTTATATAAAGGTGAAAAAAAAACGTGAATTTCACAACATTGTTCTTTCACTTGTAAGAATACACATTTAAGTGCTGTCAAGTAATAATAATATCTCTAAGAACATACATTTTTTTTTAAATCTTTTTATTCATTGATTTTGTCACTCACACAACATATACAGTATATAGTATAGGCTATATAGTATATACTCAACAGATAGACCTACCGCAGCTCGTATGTAAACAAATCACACGCGGCTGGGTTGATGGCTGATTTAGTCACGTAGACAGATCCTGACAGCTTTTAGTTACAGCGTTCAGGAACCGTTAACTATGAACTAAATTAATATTGTTATTACTGGTAAAGGTACTGGACATTTTCTCACTGGTTCCCAACTCCCAACATGCACAGTTGCACATGCACACACATCTGTGCAACTGTCATTGTACGTAGGCTACGTCAGCGTTACATTATCTCATCCCATCTCACCAACAATTTAATACTCACACATCCAAACGTAGTCGGAAAAGGGCCTCGATCGTCTTCTTCTGATCGCATGAACGTTCCGATACAACAGTCGCGGTCATAAATCAGCCGCTCACGAACCTTGCCATTGCCGCCAATTGTCCACTTTGTATTGAAATGTCTTCTTTTACTTTTCTTTTTCTCATCCTCATCTTTTTGTTGGTTGTTTGTTTCAGCTGGCTTCTTTACCCCAGTAATGTGCCGCCACATTTTAGCTAAAGTCAAACGCAATGGCGGACTTAGTTGAAATGTAAAAATCCTAATGAATCACTCAATTCTCATTGGCTACCTGCCAATGTGGCAGGTAGATTGACAGTGTTACCCGCCAATAGGAAAATTCACCCGCATTTGGCAGGTGGTCGGGTGTTAATTTCAGGCCCTGCATGCGTTCTTTCGGATGCCATCACCATTGGGATGATCTAGACTGGCTTACATCATCAAACCTAACTATTATTTCCAATAAATCATCATCATCTAAATCTCTGTTACTCAAATTTTTGCCATAATATGATTACACAGTGAGTGCGCTGTGAGGTTACACTTTTAGCTCACTTTGAACTCATATTGTTATCATAGGGACAGATCACTGTGAGATCGACGTGTTGACTGGGTGTACTTTAAACAAAAATGCCTCTCGCTCATTTCACCATGTTATGAATAATCTTGCTTTTTATCTCAACTACAGACAACTGTGATCTCACACTGGATAAAAATACAGCAGACTCCCGTCTTGCTCTGTCCGAGAGGAACCGAAAAGTGACCCGAGTGAAAGAGCGTCAGTCGTATCCTGATCATCCAGAGAGATTTGATTACTATGGTAACGTTTTATGCAAAGAAAGCCTGACTGGACGCTGTTACTGGGAGGTTGAATGGAGTGGAGTGGCTGACATAGCAGTGGTATATAAAGGAATCAGCAGAAAAGGCGACAGTACTGAGTGTTTTCTTGGATACAATGAAAAGTCTTGGACTGTTTACTGCACAAGTAGCAATTTCTCTGCACTACATAATAAAAAAAGCACTGACATACCAGCTCCTTCATCCTCTAAGAGAGTAGGAGTGTATGTGGACGTGTCGGCCGGCACTCTGTCCTTCTACAGCGTCTCTGACACACACACACTCACACTCTTACACACATTCAACACCACATTCACCGAACCCCTCTATGCTGGATTTGGGTTATATCCAGGCTCCTCTGTGTCTTTGCATTAGAGACATGTACTTAAAAATTATACTGATTAGTAAGTAGTTACACAGATCATTTTCAAAGGTAGTTAACAGCATAATACTAAAAGCTTACATTGTTATGTAGAATATCTATACTCTGTCTTTTGGGACTCATTCAGATCCACAATTGAAAAGCTTTTAACCTTTGACTTCCACGCTAGTAATTCACCAGCGAACGCCAGGGATTCTGTTCCTAATGGCCTTCATTGACACTTTCATAGTGAACTGAGTTAAAAAAAAGCCTTCCCCTTTTCCGCCAAGAACCCAACGTTGTGTACACCACACACACACATCCATATACATGGACTCTCAGGACTTCCCCCACAAATGAAGTCAGCTCTGACAGATACAAGACTGATAAATTTTATGACCCCAGGGTGACTCTGTCTTAATTCTTGCTAAGAAGAAGGAATCCTTTTAATCCTCTCTCTCTCTCTCTCTATAATATATATATATATATATATGTAAATGTATTAATATGTACCTAATGTTCCATCTCATGATTTTCCTTTATGTTGTTGGTCTTCCGACAAACTCTTATGACCTAATGTTCCAGACTGTGCATAATATGGGTAACCAGATTATGTGTGGCATATTTGGTCTCTATAACCTGGTACTTAGATCGAAATGACTGTGTACATGAAATGTCGATAACAACAACATATTAGAAGAAGTACAAGCATCTTTCATAGTTTCTTCATCGGCTATCGATCTTTCAGAGTGGTGAACTTTTTTTCTAAAGTGTTTGAAGACCAGGAAGCTCAGAAGTATCTTTTTTATTGCTGTTACATTGCTGTAGTCTGCTTCGTCCAAAAAATCTTAGCCAAGTCTAACTAAACTAAAATACAGACTGTTAATCTACCTTACAAGGGGGGAGGAGTTACATAGAGGAGGGAACTCTTGAACAAAACATGTAAATGAAGTATGTTTAGAAACCTGCCCTAGACTGAGAGAGCCTAATCCAATCAGCATAACTATTCAAACTGCGCCAGAGGCTTCCAAAACCATTTAAAACAAAAGGTGATTCAGATGCATAGAAACTAATCTAATCGGCCGGACTATTCTGTGACAAAAGTGATAGTCTCCAAACGCTGAGACAGGAACTCAAAGAGCCATTTAAAACAAAAGGTGATTGTATCAATTTAACTTGCAATAGAAAGATCAGGACAGAGAGCAAGTTTGTGACATAATTTACCTTAGTTACAAAATTCACAATAATAAACTTCCTCAGTTTGTATACTATTGTATTGGAACCATAATTAAACATTTAAATAAAATATGTAATCCTACAAGAGCATTAAGGTTGTGTTTTTTCTTGTTGTCCCTTAAAGGTTTAAACTGTCCAGGTGAATTTCGCCATTCTGTGATCCTTACGGATCTCTCCCCTTACGGATGTCTTAATTCCACAGGGACTATCCTTAGAGTTGATATATGATAGACCTAATTGATATATTAATATTTAATTATAATCCATTTTGATTAAGTATTGATATACAATTGAGCTAATTTTAACCTGTCTGTAAAATATAGTCTACATAGGCAATGGGCTCTATGCACGGCGGTATTTCCGGTGAAGCATTAGGGATGCTCGATAACTTCCGCCGATCATAGAGTCCAATGCAATAGCGAGAATTTATATTGAATTTTATACTCCATGGTTATACTAATGAAACGTTAGTCACAAAAACAGATAAAACAGACACCCCTCGTTGTGTTTATGCTTCTTTTTAAAATTATATCAAATAAACATAACTGTATATAAAATTACATCTAAACGTATGTACGTTTCGTTTCAAAGACGGGAGGACAGTAAATATTGAAGACTCTGCCATAATCCCGTTTTCTCCGGTTTTCCTCCGCTTTAATCTACACAACCGGAAATAGACGAGCATCCTTGCGTCAAATGCGGAACTTATGCGTGCATATAGCCCATTAATTATGATCCTTTGTGGTTAATTGGCTTTATGCACAGCTGCACTACTTCCTGAAGCCAGCTCTTTGTTTCCTGTCTGTCATTATTGGACAAATTGATTAATTCAGGTGTGCCTGACCTCAGTAGTCACGGCAACAATAATCAGACACACCTGAATTAATCAAGTTCGGCCAATAATGGCAGACAGGAAACAAGGAGCTGGCTGAAGTTCAGGAAGTAGTGCAGCTGTGCATAAGGTCAATTGTCTGGGTTCATATATGAATTCAGACGCAGGGAACATATTGTCACTTTTCTGGAGATTTAATTATGTAATCTGGTTCAAACCTGTATTAATAATTATTAATTATCAGTTATTAATTATTGTATACATATTCCCCGAAATGACCAGAAATACTCTACAGTTACTATACCTCTGTAACCAAATGGAGGCAGTGTAAATACATAGTGTTGGCAAGTAGCTACCCATCTAACAGAATTTTGTTAGATGAACGTTATAAATAACTTTTAAAAAATCTTTTTGATTATAATGAAGAATCTGGATTTTATGCTGTTAAATCACTTTGATACAATAATGACCAATATACATCTATATGTCAGAGATTAGGACTAAATAAGTTCAGTGATTCAGGTCATATGATTGTGAAATAATGATTATGTTAAAACATAACAAACACCATGAGATCACATTTTTTCTTTGTTCATCTAGCTGTCATAATTCATGTACAGCAGCCAAACAAAATCAGTGAAAATTACAAAGGGCTTTAAACAATTCCAGACGATGAATTAGGGTCTTATCAAGCGAAACGATCGCTCATTTGAAAAACAAAACAAAACAAAGTTTAAGTTTTATAAGGTCAAATGGTCACCTTTCTCTGTTCTGTGATGCACGTTTGTGACTCTCCTGTTCGAACTCGTTTATCAAAATCTTTTTCATGTCATTTGGTTCATTCAACGAACGAAATGAACGAGTTCACTCGGAAAAAGATTTGTTCATTTTGATGAACGTACAGTACGAGTTTGAGAGTCATCACAGAACAGAGCAAGATGACCATTTGAGCTTATAAAACTTAAACTTTATGATTATTTTTTTTTAATGAGCGATCGTTTCGCTTGATAAGACCCTTATTCATCGTCTGGAATCATTTAAAGCCCTTTGAACAGTTAGCACTAAAACTGTCTTTTGGACCTTGAATCGTTTGGTTCCCAATGAAGTCCATTATATGGAGAAAAATCCTGGAATGTTTTCATCAAAAACCTTAATTTCCATTCAAATGAAGAAAGACATGGACATCTTGGATGACATGGGGGTGAGTAAATTATCAGCTTAAAATAACACTTTAAATTTGCACTTTAACACTCGAGTTTTTGCTGTGTAACATTCAACAAATTGGACATTCTTGGAATGTTAGAAGTCAACATTCCTATCATGTTAAATATTTAATCAAAAATTACGTTTTAAGAATGTTTGAGGAACATTATATTTTAAATTATACTTTTAAAACACATTCCTCTAATGTCAAGAAAACAATACATTTTTCACATTCCCAGAACCAACGCTGAATATTAGAGAACGTTCTTATAACAAAATGTTGTTAGCTGGGTTAACGTTTTTCAGTATAGCTTTTGTAGCTCGGTTGCTTTTAAAACATAGCTTTTCCAGGAGCTAACTACTTTTTTTATGGAAGCTTATGTTTATTTATTCAATTTGAAATTTAATATGCAAAATGGCAATGCAATATGTAAAATGGCATTTCATTTTTTTATTTAAATTTACATTTTACATTACCATTCTAGCAACGTTTGGTGGAAAATGATAATGAAATAACATAATTTACATTTGCCATTTCATACACTAGTTTTAATATGCATATTGAAACGCTTTTTTGTGCATAGGCTACAATTTTGCAAAGATCTGGAATTCTTTGATGTTTGGTCTGTGCATACGAAGGGGAAGGATTATACTTTTTTCTCCCATTATCACCAAACTTTTTTCATGTATAGATTTATTCTTGCCATCAAAAGACAGAACGAGGGATTGCACCATTGGAATTAGGACTTTATGACCACTCTCCCATTACAATAATAGTTTATCCAGTATAGAGATGCATACAGTAGACAGTGGCGAATGAATCCTTCATTATTGATAAGCTGTTAATGCAATATCTCAAGTTCAATAACTTGAAAAATGGCCAGCTTCCACCCTCTCTAAATTTAGCAATATTTCACTTATTCTTAAAAACGCTAAACCACCTGATGTATGTAGCTTTTATAGGCCTATTAGTTTAACTGCACTGTTAGACCTTACCAGGTTTTTCTTCCAGTAAAATACTGGCAACACTGTTGCCAGTTATTTACTGTAGAAATGCACTAAAACTCGAGTTTAACTAAAAAAAGACAACTTATTAGTTTTAGTGCATTTTACAGTAAATAACTGGCAACAGTGCCTTTTAAATAAAGCAACATGCAGCGAATCATCAATGTTTGTAGATCTTCTCCTGGACTGAAGCTCAGGCTCTACTCTTCAGCACAACGGTGACCCAAAAAACAAGACTTTACAGTAAACTACTGGCAACAGTGTTGCCAGTACAAACCTGTTTTATAACTTACAGTTTATTACTGTTAAAATACATTTTGTGGGAGTGTCTTTTTATCTTACACTGTTAACCCTTTCTACCCCACTGGAAAATCCACCCTACAAAGAGAAAAAATTAACATTGATGCAGTGTTGCAGTGAGATAATTAAGGGAATATGTAAGTGATTGTTGAGCATGAACACCTGCTGTTAACAAGCAAAATCACTGAAGGAAAGAGGAACAACAAGAACAGAAAATAGAGAAACACAAGAACTACAACTGACTTCAACCATTACACATTATTACACTTATTATTAACCAGTATGGCTTTATTTCTGCCATACATCTATAGAAGATGTTGTTGAGATGTTTAATTTAAAATGTATGGTTTGAAGTTACCATTATAGAGATCAGTGTTTGCTTTAGTTGAGATGCTGATGCTGTAACATGAGATTTTCTTTTGACGCTGTGAGCTGTTTTTGCAAGTCACACTTGTGCAGACACACAGTTTAGTAATGATTTGATTTGTCAAAACATGACAATCATCATACTGTGTTCATTTACTAAATATTTCAGTCTTACTCATTCAGAGTTTAATCCTCAACCAAAAGTGTTACATTACCACCGCTGTGAAAACACAGCAATGTTAATAACGACTAATTTTTTTAACATTTCATACATAAATCAAAACAGCGCTAAAGTCTTGTAGAAACACCAAGATATCAAAATTTAGCACATTAATCTCAACAATGGTGGCATTTTTTTTTATTCATGCAACAGTGCATGCTGGGGGTTTTATAAAATCCTGGAAACCAGCATGCACTGCTGCATGAAACTTTTGAATGTTTCCGTTGTTGAGATGAATATTATAATTGTTGATGTCTGTGTGTGTCTGACTTAAGCAGGATATTATTTTAATGTTTTATATGATTACAATATTATTCAGAAGACATGATTAACCAACATATTGGTTTCCTGTTGTAGATTCACAGATTTATTTTATAATCATAACTTAAAGGGTTAGTTCACCCAAAAATGAAAATTAAGTCATTAATTACTCACCCCCATGCTGTACCAACCCCGTAAGACCTTCGTTCGTCTTCGGAACACAAATTAAGATATTTTTGATTACATTTGAGAGCTGTATAACTACCACATTGGCTGCCTAAGGGACTGGCTCTTGACGGCCCAGAAAGTCGATGAAGAAAATGTTTAAATATCCCATGTGACTACTGTGGCTCAACTATAAGTTTATCAAGCGACGAGAATACTTTTTGTGCGAAAAAACAAACAAAAATAACAACTTTATTCGACTTTTCCTTTTCTTCATTGTTGGCCTGGAAACGAGACTTCCTTAGATTTCCACGACGCATGCGCGAGAACTGAACTGAGGTAGTTAAAGGAGATCGCAATTCTCGCGCATGCGTCGTGGAAATCTAAGGAAGTCTCGTTTCCAGGCCAACAAGGAAGAAAAGGAAAAGTCGAATAAAGTCGTTATTTTTTTTTTGTTTTTTCGCACAAAAAGTATTCTCGTCGCTTGATAAACTTATAGTTGAGCCACGGTAGTCACATGGGATATTTAAACATTTTCTTCATATTAGTGAACTAATGTAGGGAATAGTGAATGAGGGTATAGGGTGTGATTAGGAACACAGTCTCTGAGTGTTGACTTTGAGAGCTGTTAATTCACAGTATATTCCTGTAGGCTAGTTTTGTTTTCTACGGTATATTACTGTTTTAATGGAAAATGGTATGATAGTGTCAGAATTTGGCCTGTTGCCAGTATTTTACTGTAAAAAACCTGGTACGGTATAACAGTGTGGAGTTACTCTCTAAATTGCTGGCCAGAAGACTCGAGACGGTTTTTTCCAACCTAATAAACCCTGATCAGATTGGCTTTATTCAGAAGCGTTTTTCTGTCACAAATATAAGAAGGCTCCTGAATGTAATACACTATACAAACCAACAGAATTGTAAGGCTATCTCTGTATCTCTGGATGGGCCACACACAGTTGGGGACATCCTTTCACTGTTTTTGGAGCTTCATTGCTTGAAAAATTAAACACCATTCTTCAGATAAAATTGAAAAAAGATCCTGGTCTTTTTCTCCTGGGGCTTCCATCCAAGAGGCAGGCAATGACACTTACAATGGATACATCAGGATAGAAACTGTTATATAAACTACTACTTGTGGCAAGGAAATGAAAGGAAATGATGAATCAATGATATTTTTTTCCGAATATGGTTATACAATATGGTATGGTAATAACGTATCTTATCATTTATGCGCTATTTTTGGTTTGTTTGGGGTTGTTTGTGTATTTCATTTGAAACCAAACCCATTGTCACCATTTTTTTTTTCACCAATATAAAAGTCACATTTTATATTTTGTTCATGCTAACACTGAATAAACATGTCAAAAAAATATTAAAAAATACAAGGCTTAAGACATTTATTTTCTTTTTTAATGCAAGCCAAACCACACAGCAGTGAAATGGTTAATCTAGCCCCCATCCCCCTCCCCCTTAAGACAGGCACAGACACAGCCCATTACACACAGAGATTCCGGAAAATACACGGATAATGTGACCCGGCATTTGTCCCGGGATTGTTTGATTTCGGTTCATTCACACTGCCAGTGATTTGCCGGGAAGATCCCGGAAAAAAGACACATGACGTTAGGATGAGACGTGTAATGTACGCGTCGAAAACATCTACATGCGCATACTGTTCCACAAAGCTGGTGAACGATCTCAGCTTTAGCATTAATAGTGAGGAGCTCCTGATCTCTGCTTCGTTCCAGTTTGCAGACATTTGTTCGTCCTTTCTTTGTTGATGGCAAACACAAACTTTCTTCTAAGAGCAACAGAGTCGCACGATGGCACATGACACACCCCTTATGGCATTGGTCCTGGCTTTTGTTTACACAGTGCACATTCTGGGACTGATTCCGGCAATGTTACTAGGTCCCCAACCCGGCATCGATGCCGGTATCAATCCTGGGTCGTGTTTGCGTTCATACAGAAGCGTTCTGGCAATTTCCTGGCAATTTCCCGGGATCAACAGAGATGTAGGCTGAGAGATAGAATGACCACATTCAAACCAAAATATCAGACTTTCTGTTGGGTCGAGCTAATGACTGTAAATTAGAAAGATATCTGGCTTGATTAGTACAATATACGTACTGAGTTTTGATACTGTACATCAAAAACTACGCCCATTTCTGAAACTTTGCACATGTCTACTGGCTAATAAATGTAATGTGTCTGTCAAGTTTCAAGCAATTTCAAGCATGCCAAGACAAAGAGTCTAAAAAGCATCAAACAAGAATATTAAAGTCTGATGTGTTGCCACGGCAACAGTATCTAAGATATCAATAATCCTTTCACAAGTCACAAGTCTTTGCCTTTTCAAGGCTTGGGCCCTAATAAATAATAATTAATAATAAAATAATCCCAAGGAAAACAATTGGGCTCTGCACCCTTTCAAGGCTTGGGCCCTAATAATAAATAATCCTAAGGAAAACAATAGGGCTCTGTGCCCTTTCAGGGCTTGGGCCCTAAAAATAGAGAAACACAAGACCTACATTACACATTATTACACTTATTATTAACCAGTGTGCCTTTATGTCTGTCATACATCTACAGAAGTTATTATTGAGATGTTTAATTGAAAATGTTTGGTTTGAAGTAACCATTATGGAGACCAGAATTGCTTTAGTTGCGATGCTGACCCTTGCGTTTATTAACATATTAAGTTAATTCTATCATTATAGAGATCAGTGTTTGCTTTAGTTGGGAGTTGCAGTGTTTGCTTTAGCTGTGAGTTGCAATGTTTGCAAGCAAACCTTTGCCTTTTTAACTTTAGTTTGTTTCTTGTTTGAACTGCAATTTTACAAGTCACACTTGTACACACACACACGGTCTATGAATGCAGCTTGTTATATTAATTTGACAAAATTATAATTTAGCCTGTTCTTTCACTGATGTTATTCAGAGTATCCTGTATCAAAAGTGTTTACCTACCACTGTGAAACTACAGCAATCAGTTATAATGATCAGTTATAATCATTGCAATGTGCAACATTTGATTGTCACTATTGTTCAGATTGTGCTGATTGTTGATGTCTGTGTGTGTCTGACTCATGTACAAATTCAAAATGTTTATTTACATTAATTATTTCAATATCATTCACAATAACTAATAACCCCTGTTAACTCTAATGCTGCAGATTCAGATATGTGATCAATAAAAATTAAACATCCATATAGAAAGGATGAGATCAGTGATTCAGATTAGTTTAAGACTATTATGGATTACCATAACAACCATAAACAACGGATCATCTTCTGCCTGACTTCTTGCCACAACAAATGTGCTTTATAAACTCAGTTACAGTAGACAGAGAGAAACTAATGCTAAAGCAAACACTGATCGTTATTATGGTGACTACAGACTTTATTATTTTCAATAAAACATCAACTCAATCTGTTAATTCTCAATGAATTGTTTTGTACATGTATAAAAGAAATAATGTTAAACTGGGTTTTAAACTGTCCCCACACAGTGTTTCTTGAAAACTACAAATATTACCCAGAATGCATTATTTTACACGGTATATTACTGTTTTAATGGGCCTTTTTAACAGCGAGGGTTAACAGTTTAGTTATATGACAGGGATGTCTATGGGGTCTGGCCATTCTGTTGCAACAACACAGGGGAGTCTGGATAAACCTTAAATCCAGCATAGAGGGGTTCGATGAATGTGGTGTTGAATGTGTGTAAGTGTGTGAGTGTGTGTGTGTCAGAGACGCTGTAGAAGGACAGAGTGCCGGCCGACACGTCCACATAAACTCCTACTCTCTTAGAGGATGAAGGGACAGGTATATCTGTTTGCTTGCAATTGTGATAAGCAGAATAACTTTTGAAAGAGCAATACAGATTCCAGGACTTTCCATTGTATCCAAACCAACAGTCTTCACCCAGACCTTTCCTCCTGATTCCCTTATAAGCTACTGAAATATCAGCTCCCCTTCCACTCCATACAGCCTCCCAGTAACAGCGTCCAGTCAGACTCTGTCCACACAGAACCTGCTCAAAGCCATCAAATCTGTCTGGATGATCAAGATATGACTGCTTATCTTCCACTCGTGTCACCTTTCTGTTGTCCTCAGACAGAGAGAGTTTAACATGTGCTGTGTTTGGATCCAGTGTGAGATCACAGGCATCTGAATACAAGAGGAGAGATTAAAAGAGAGAACTTTTACAACTCACATATGTCTTGTTTACTATATATGTTGGACATACAGTATGTTTTCCGGGTAACATGGCAGATAGGGATAACTGTACCCTTGGAATATCTAGCATATCAGTAAGCAGTTTTCCTAGCTCAAACAGTAGAGTTTTTTTTTTGCTTGCAACCAGTGTTGGGAGTAACGCATTACAAAAGTAATACATTACAGTAACATATTACTTGTTGCTGTAACGCAGTAGTGTAAGGCATTACTAATCAATTTTCAGTAATATTTTACTCGTTACATGTTCAGTGAGGCTTGTATTACATTTGTATTACAGTGAGGCTTGACTTTTAGTTTTAATTGTAAAAAAAAAAATAAAAAATACAGCAAGATTGTGAGAATGGAAAATGCAAGTAGGCTAAGTTACCTGTTCGTGGTCAGTCAATAGCCACGTGTGGTGTCCAAGTTTGTAAATAAAGGCTGATATATCTGTATAGCGATTTATTTTCTACAGGAGTGCGGTGAGGCATGATTTCGGCCTCTGTGTTTGTTCGCGCTGGCCAGTGAAAAAGCGCCTAATGGGTGAGCATGGCATGAAGAAGACCAGATTCGTGAGATGGACGTATGCACATTAGGCTATTCGTTCTGTGTTTTCTTTCTAAACAGTTAGGCTGTGTATAGGTGGTATCTGTCATGTTTTCCTCACGCAATCATGTTTTTGATGCGGTGGTGACGTGTTCATGTAGTAAGGGTGGCGATAATAAAGCACCTAAAAGCTGAAAAAGCAAGGATTATGAATATGTCAAATATGCATATAGCAAGGAGATTTGAATTGTTTAGTAATGAAGATGAAGTTGACGATGCTGACTCGCGATCTTCGCAATAGGCTAGTGAATGCGAAATGCACATTTCATTTCATAAGCGGAGAGCAGTCTGTTTTCTTTCATTTTGAATTGTTCTGTTTACAAGTAGACATTTCAGTATAGATATATTTTTCAGGTCTGTGGAGTAGGCTATACTTATACGCTGAGTTTCGGTATAGCCTATTGGCTATTTATGAGACGCGCACCAGCACGCCCCCGCGCCTTATCTAATAGGCTATTGTCTGTTTACTTCTTAAAGGCAACAGACTATAAGTTTTAAAGCAGTCTTTTAGTGCCAGTTCAGAGCGGTCGCGTCTGTAAATTTGTTTTTTCCTCATAAATGCGAACACGAAAACTAAAATAAAATGAATATTTTAAGTTCTATGGAGACTGGAGAGCCAACCCTTCCTCATCCGATTTGCGCAGTGTAATTAACAGAATTACAAAAAATATATTTTGCCTCCTATTTTTTAGTCACGCATGAATGTAGTTACAGCCACAAAGTTAAGTTCTACTTCTGTAGTTATTTTGGTGAAAGTAACTCAAAAGTAATACATGAGTAATGTAACGCATTACAATTCTGAGACCGTAATATTGTAAGGTAATGAATTACTTTTAAATAACAGTAACAAGTAATACCTAATGTATTACAGTTTGGAAGTAACTTGCACAACACTGCTTGCAACGCTAAGGTCATGGGTTTGATTCCCAGGGATAGCAAGAACTAATAAGAATGTAAATGTGTACCTTGAAATGCAATGTAAGTCGCTTTGTATAAAAGCGTCTGCCAAATTCATAAATGCAAGGAGGTTTGAGAAGCTCGCCATATTAATTCATGGTTTAGTTTTTACAGGCCAAATCACACACACACACACACACACACACAAAGCCATGTTCCTGAATCATGAGTAACTTTGATAATGAAAAATTAGAAGGTAGTGGAGGGAAAACCCTGACAGGAACCACACTCATCTGACATTACAATGATAGAAGAGTGCAATAATACGATGCAATAAAAAGTGTGCACATAAAGCAAAGCAATAAGTAATTAATTCCCAGTCAACACGTTGATCCCACAGTGATGTCTCCATGTGGTCACACCGTCTGTGAGTTCACAGTAATGAAAAGTGTAACCTCACAGCACTCTTATTTGCTCAAACTATGACAACAATCTGAGCTCATCCTAGCTAGAAATGCTATTGTTCTATGTGTTGAATGTTTTGAGAGCCTTATGTTATGTTCTTGTAACGTTTTCTGTAATCAAATTTATTTTTGTTACCAGAATTTTCTCCTAAAAGGCAGAGATGTGCACAAATACATCAAAAAGTATTCAATTACAAATTACAAATACGTACTCATTAAATGTATTTGTGATGTGATCTGGGAAAACCCACCACATGGTGAAATTTGACATATTACAGGTTTTGAGATCATATTAAAGCTGGGTTCAATCCCCTTCCAAATCTGTTTTAGTTCGACTAGCGACACTGGCGCTCTTTTTATATTGCCTGTTTTTCATATCACATATTTTAGTAATCATCATAGATTATGTATCATTCGAAAGCTTGCAAACTCAAAATTCATCCTGTGAAAACCATTTTGAAATTGAACGATTGAGAGGCGAGCAAGGTCTTTTAAACAAGCAGCTTCAGACTCTGTTGTTCTCTTGTGCTCCGCATCACACCTCACGATAACGCTGGCTAAAAATAAATAAATAAAAACTTGCGTGCCTTGTTTGTAGTTTACACAGGACTGACGGGACCTTTATTCTGTTATACGGTTTATTTTGATAGGCGAAACTGTCTTTGTAGTGTTTAGAGAAGGAGAAATAAATGGTCATTTTATTTGCACCTCGGCTCCGCGCGTGTTATGTTATGTTCTTAAAGAGGCTACATGCGTTTTCCTGAAATTTAAACTCGCGACTCAAACTTCTCTTCCTTTCTGCTCGCACTCGCAGCGCGCGCTCGTACATGCAAACTTCACAAGTCATCTGCTGCAATGAGGTCAACATTATGTTTACAGAGGTAAGAACAGTCAAATATATTGTTTGAGATAAGTGTTCTGCTTGTGAGTGTAGGCTTCTTGCTGACTAGCAGTGGTGGCAGAGTGATCTGAAACGTTTAAAGCCCGGAACATACCAAGCCGACGCCGACGAACTAGTGCTGATTAAAGCCGACTGTTTTGTTGCCTCTCGTCGGGGTAAAAAGCTGCACTTGAACACACCGAGAAAACTACAGGACACTGTCAGCTATAATGTGTGTTCTGCACCTGCGTATAATGAGCCAACTGTCTATTTCTGCAGATATATTAGTCTATATTCGTCATTCAAAAAGGAAAACCGACGCTGCCGACTGCAGATACACACACTGTAACAAACAAAGCAGCGCTTGCTTACCTTTTTGAATATCAATCCTGCTAAACACTTTCTTTATTCCACTCCGCATGTTAATATTGAAATATTCGCCAAGGAACACTCACGTAAGATGACGTAACATAAGAACAGCCGTCTATCTTTAACGTTTTGACTTCTTTGCTTGCTTTTCCCTGACGGCCCAACACCAATTCAACATGTCGAAAAGGGGGAAACAAAGCCGATGATGACTAATTTCGCGGTCGGCTTGGTGTGTTCCGGGCTTAACATGAACGCGCTTGACGTCACATCCGCAGACAGCGCGGGGAAAGTCCGACCCGACAGAAAATAGGAAAAATAGCTTATATACAGGCTTATAGGTGCACCCACTGTGGGCGGACAAGCTGTCAGTATATGCTCATGAGGAGATGTTTGAGTCATAAATGATAAAATAAAAAGGCTATTGTTATGTTTATTTTGGGGGAAAAGCTGCATATAGCCTCTTTAAAGAGAAAGACACATCTTTTCAGCTTGCCACTGTAAATCGCTTTTTTTCTGTACTTAGTGCAATGTCCCTCTCTGTGCTGACAATGATGCACCTGAGCCCCTTGGGGACCCTAACCAATCTCCTGCATTCTGCCAGAACAAACAAACAGGACGTGCAACAAGTGACGCAATAGTTAGACACTTTTTCGGATTTGGATTTGTTTTGGATTTCAAAAATTAGTGCTTTGCATTTTTTTGGTTATTTTGTAATCATTGCATGCCATGCATCACTAATAAATATTCTAAAAACAAAAAGTATTTTTCGATTGTGATGAATATATATATATATATATATATATATTAGGGCTGTGCAAAAATTAATTGCGATTAATCGCATCCAAAATAAAAGTCTGTGTTTACATAATATATTTGTGTGTGCTGTATATAATTATTTTGTATATATAAATACACACACATGGGTGTGTAAATTTAAGAAAATGTGTTATTCATATATAAAATATTTATATTTATATAATATAGATGATACATTTATATATATATATATATACAGAATTTAAGCGCAAATAATTCTTAAATATATACATGCATGCATAGGTATTTATATATACAAAATAATTATATACAGCACACACAAATATATATATATATATACGTATATTAATCACATATTCATCATCAAATTCGGATCCGAATATTCCACATACGCATATGATGGAACTCCCAGTAGCTCCCGTACGACTCTCCATTGAAAATGAATGACTTCCGGTCTGACGACTGTCGTTTGTCGTGTGCAGTGGAAAGGCGGCTTGAGTGTTATTCCCTGATATGTTATCCTGTGTTTACCTGGACTCTTGACCCTTGCCTGTTTACGAACCAGTGCTGCCTGCCTCAACCTACGCCTGTTAACACCACGAATTATTGGATTGCCCTTGTTTATTTTTTGTGCCTGGTTTATACCTGTTTAGTTAAAGTTATAATAAAGCTCTGTGCATGGATCCGACTGGCTCTGTCTGTATGTTACAGATATCTTGTAAGATACTGCATGATCCAAATATAGTATTAATTTATACATTTTTAAAGTTTTCATTACATGTTGGGCATGAAATACATGCTGAATCCACCCTTCTGATGGGATCAGTTTAATCCAGATTTTTTGGATCGAAGTGATCTAATCCGATTATGTAATCCGTTTTTTCTTTAAAAAAAAAAAAAACATTTTCAAGATTTGATTCAATCCGTTATCTAAAATTGATTACTTTTGAAAAACCGGGCCCTGGATTTGCTTATTAGCAGTTTTTCAGCTAGGAGACAGCTGAAATCAACTGTCAGTCAGTTCATGGCTGGAATAAACAAATGGCAGGACTTCTACTTTCTGACTCCTGGATAATACACCTCTTGTCATATGGAGAGATCACTGTGAGATCAATCTGTTGACATGGTTATATTAATAATTTAAACAGAATTTTGATCATGTCATATGGTAGGGGGCATTATTTCACTAGTAATGAATCTCCTGAACAAAAGGCATATGAAGAAGCATAAACAGGCAAAAGCATATGTAAGCAGATGCATGTAAAAATATTGAAACTTACCCATATTCAAATGTTGATAATAAAATAATGCAACAATAAGCTACTATTAAACTTTTTTTAAGCAGAGGCTCTGCTCTTTTTTTTTTTTTTTTTGATATTTCAAATGTTGATAATAAAAGAATGCTAGAATATGCTAGAATAAAAAAAATTAAACAGAGGCTCTGTTCTTTCTTTTGATATATTTCCTGTTCAGACATTCATAGTGTTGTACAGTAGGCTAGTAGCTAAAATCGACATCTTCACTCTTTATTCAAGTATTATTCAAAATGTGGTTTTGTAAGCACATTGGATAGTTGTGTTTGGACTCATTGTGTTTTGACTCACAAAAACTATTTTTTTTATTTGTGATCATTTTTGCCCAGGCTGTCATATAAAGAAATTATAATAACAAAGACAAGAGAGAACTAATGAAACATTAATAACTGATTATGTTGTTGTCAATGTATGCTTTCCCCTCCTTATAGCTTTTTGTTTTTTGTGCAGTTTTTTGCATAGTAAACAAAACCTGTAGCTGCAGTTTGTCTTTTTTTAACCAAATAATGTTGTACCTTAACCAAATTTACTGTTTTGTTCTTCCCTCATATTTAGAATATTTTAAAAAATATATAAAATATATATTCCTCATGTTTCAGAGGTTAACTTGAACTCGTAGGGTCTTTGAAAACAAACATCACAAAATTTTTATTAGTAATGATGTAAATATATTAAAAAATAATTTAAAAAAATACTGAACTGAACTCAAAACTTCAGATTAATTTAAGAAAAATGTGTTGTTGTTGTTGTTGTTTTTTTTTTTTGAGAATGATCCAGATGACATCAGTACACAATTTGTATGTGAGGATCTGTGTGTTTGTGTTAAAACATACATTTTTGCAGTCCTTTTGAAAGCCTCCCCTCTCCTCCATGGTCCAAACTACAGTAACACAAACATACCAAATTACCATGACACATCTACTATATATACACATAATATACACATCTGTCAGTGTATAAAATTCAACAATTAAATGGTGACAAACAGGATTCAATTATGAAAAAGAAATCAGTGGTGTATAGTCCAGGGGTCAGAAAGTAGAAGTCCTGCCATGTGTTTATTCCATCCATGAATTGATTGACAGTTCATTTCAGCTGATTTCTCCTGACTAAAAAAACTGCTAATAAGCAGATCCAGGTGATTGGAACAAAATACTGAGAAAGACTGGACTTTTACTTTCTGAACCTGGACTTTACAACTCTGCATAGTAGGGGTGTTTTGTTCTGCTTTCATTACATTTGCCATTTGATCAATGTTGTGGTGGTTGCGCCAGAGCGGATTTTGGTCGGCAGGAAAAATAGTCCAATGAATCCTTCGTTTTTTGTAATGTGTACCGAACCGAAAGCCTTGTACTAAATGGTTCAATACGAATACAATGTACCAGTACACCCCTACTGCATAGCAATGCTACAGTATATGTCAGCCAAGAGTAGAGAAATAAACCAGACCTGGATCTTATCTGAGCCACAAAATCTATGTGTATTAAATATATCATTTCAGCCTTAAAGCTTGATAACAAGCAGACTCACTGAAGAAAACGAGACAAGCAGAAACACTACAACTGACTTTGGACACAGTCTTAGAGGAAATGAACTGAAGAGAAAAGAAGACATTAAATCTGAAGATCTCAGCAGAGGAAGATTAAACAACTCCACAAACTACATTACCAGCTTCACTTCACTAACCACACTGACTTTATTTTCTGTTAGACGTCTACGGAAGTTTTATTGAGACAGAATTTTAACTGTTTCATTTGAACTCACCATAACAGTGATTAGTGTTTTCATTAGTTGGGGTCTTAACTGTTATCATTTCTTTAGGCTCTTTTTAGCTGCTATGATGTTTGTCAGACACATTTACAGCAGCAAAGAAAGCAAAAGAGAAATGAGATCAGGTGATGATGGTTACCTGGTGATGGTTTTATAACACAATTGTATATAGAGTTGGTGGGCGCACTTAACATAGTAGGCTTGTTTGAGATGCGCCTTGCCTCGCCTGACATGTATGTGAGAGTGGGCGGCTGCAGTAAGAGGAGGAGTGAAAAAAAGCGTAGTCAAGCCGGACAGATCTCGCTTCTCACAGTGGGACAGATCTCGCAGTGGATCTGACACCTGTGAGATCAAAGACTAATATCGCGGGATTCACACTTATACACAGTGTTGCTAATAAACTGAATGTAATTTAAGTTCCCTTTCGTAGTCACTCCGAATTACGTCGAATGACGAGAATGGGGTTTCGCTTAGAAAGCTTGTCATCTTCGAGTATTATAAAACGAGCCAATGGCGATGAAATGCCATGGATCTGCGGAATCTGCATAGCGTATTGTGGAGTTGTTTAATCCTCCTCTGCTGAGATCTTTAGAGAGGGTCAGTTGGGTTTCTGCAGGTCTCTTTTTCTGTTCTCTTCTTTCCTTCATTTATTCTGCTTATTAACAGGCTTTATTAAGGCTGAAATGACTCCATATTTAATATACACAGATTTTGTGGCTCAGATAAGGTCCCGTTCTGTTTTATTTCTTTACTCTTGGCCAGGGGTCCTCAACTCTGGCCCGCAAGATCCACTTGCCTGCAGAGTTTACCTCCAACCCTTATCAAACTCACCTGAACAAGCTAGTCAATGTCTTCATGATTTGCAAAATCCCCAGTGTTAAATCAATACTGCTCAGAGTACATATTGTTCCAATCTAAAGAGTGTTAAAAGTGGTAAAGTTAATGAGATAATCAACAACATCAATAATGGTCACTCAATTAATCACTTAATTAGCTCTTAACTTTAATACTGCTTCGGTATTAATTTAAGGCTACGTTTACACATAGCCGGGTATTTAGAGAAATTAAAAAAATCGTTTTCTGTAATAAAACAGGGTTTTTGTGTAAATGAGAGGCGGGAAATGAGAAATGTAAATGAGAAACGGGGCCACAAACTCTTGAGTGTGGAGTCAATTAAACTCCCAGAAGGGTTAATTTAACACTGGAGTTTTGCGGTCTAGCTTCAAGCTGCATTTATGGGCCAATCAAATCAATGGCAAGGTGTTATGGCATTCATACGAAACAGAGAGTGGGAAAAAAAATAGATTACTTATGTTTGACATACTTGAGTGTTTTTAGTGAACAGTTTGGATCATTCAGTTTCTCAGAGAGCAGCTTGACTCCTAAATTGCCTGGGTGATTGTAGCTCAGATCCAGCTCTCTCAGATGTAAAGGGTTTGAACTCAGAGCTGAAGACACATAACCACAGCCTTCCTCTGTCACCATACAGCCTGACAACCTGCAGATGTACAATGATGAGTGTTAGTATGTTTGTATCATCTTTTTCAAAATACTCATATGTAGACCTGCATGCATACGGATTAATTAAATGGTGTAAATATTATCCCAGACATTAAATAGTGTCGGCCCAGAAACGGCACATCTGGAATGAGTGAAATCTATATTTACCAGGCGTGGCCCAGATCTGGCCCCACACTATGTTGCTGTCTGACTATTTTGTTTAAATTATTTTTTAAAAATATCATCCATAAATCAATGGTGATGGCATTGAGTCAATGTTACAATGGTGATGTTGGTTCAACATCATGCATGCACTGAATGAAAACACAAAACAATTGCAACTGACTTAAAGCCACAAATCCTTGAATCCACTGCAAATAAAAGAAGACAATAAATCTCGCAAGATCTCAGCAGCAGTTTTTTTTTTTTTTTTTTTTTTTGAGAATTAGGTGTAGTAGTTGATGTTTTAATAGGGTTGGTCACCATTGTTGTAATCAGTGTTTGCTTTAGTTGGGCAGTTTGACTCTTGTCTTTTGTTTGCTTCTCGTTTTTGTAGTAGTGTTTGCCAAAACATAATGAGTTGCAAAGAAAACCAGAAACAAAGATAATCAGGTAAAACAGTTTTAGGTGTCATTAGAATTAGAAGTGTCCACCTCAACAAAAGTGGTTACTGCTTTCTTGCAACATATCTAATGTTCAGATTTACATTTTAATAGGTGGTTTGCAGTCACGTGATTGTGTTGACGCAGATGGAGGGCAAGGAGCGAAGAGCGCAATGGACGAGATGGAGGAAAATCCGTACTGTACTACTTTAGACGCTATTACAAGAGAAATATATAAACAGAAAATCGAAACATATGTTGGACGTGATCCTTACGTTATGAAGAGGACCGATTTTCAACTGAATTGAGAGATTTGCCTGCCATAGAGGCTGTAAATATCAGCAACTAACTCGTCTTACAGACATACTTTGACTTTACAAAGTTCGGAAACTGGTACGTTACACAAACAGCCACATAAGTGTATTTAAACACCTGAATAATGTAATTATAAGCCACATAAATGATGTGTTAACTCTCACAGTTGACGAAGTGATCACTGCGCACACACACACAGGCATTTTCCCATTCGGCTCCTCCCGACCGCAGACGTAGGTTTATAAGGCATTTTTCCCGGTGTTTTTCTGTCAATTTCTTGTATTTTCCCCCCTATGAACAACAACTTTTGTCACACGATAAAAACTCCTCGTGGTTTGATCGATTTGAGCAACCGTAAACGACGCAAAACACAGGCATTTTGAATGTGTTAAAGTGCTTCCTAAATATAGAAATCACTTCCTGCCCTCCATTTGCGTTTCGCGCCATGGCAACGCAGTTGCGTGACGTCACGTGAAAACAAGCTATTCTTGTAATCGTTCTTCTCACATTTATTTATTCAGTTCACGACCTCACCATCTGTGTCGCCAATACCCTTTGTCTCCAGAATGTGAGTACACACGCCTCAAAGATTGCTTAAAGGAGTGCACATTCTACCGTCAAGTTTTTTTTTTAATAAAGATCACAACCCTTGTGTGGAAACTGGCGTACGTACGTTTCCAGCCCCGTTTTGTGCGTGCGCACACTTTATAAATGACACCCCTGATGTTTTGTTGGAACCAGTAGTTGAGAGTGTTGTGTATCTCTATTTATTTTGGAGCTTTACTTATGGTAGTAGTTTTCTCTCGTTAGTTCCTTTTTGATCATTCTATGATTGAGATTCACAAAGGTAGAAGTGAATGTTAATTTTCATGATTTATTGTATGATTTAATTAATCTGTTTTACCTCTTACCAGCAATTTGCAAGTTAATGATTTCTTTATTTGTGATGCGGTCTAGGAAAACCCGTCGGATGTCGCGCTGGTACGTTTTCAGTATGGTCTAAAAACAGATCGAATGTCATATTTTTGTCAAAATTGGGTTTTCAATCAATTATTATTCTATATCTTGTTTATCATCTCTGAATATATCTTGGGAAAATTCACTAGTTTAGTGCAGAAAAATAGCGATTTATACTGGCAAGCTGAAAACGTCTTTCTCTTTAAGAACACGCACGGCGCAGTAGAGGGGCAAAAAACAACAAAATCACCCATTTAGCTCTCCTTCTCTTAACACTACAAAGACAGTTTCGCCTATCGAAATAAACCACATAACAGAATAAAGGTCCCACCAGTCCTGTGTAAACTACAACAGCACGAAAGTTTTTATTTATTTGTTTTTATCCAGCGTTATCATGTGGACGTGGTGTGATGCGGAGCACAAGAGAGCTGCTCGCTTAAAAGACCTTTCTCACCTCTCAATCGTCCAAATTCAAAATGGTTTGCACAGGATGAATTTTGAGTTTGTAAGCTTTCGAATGATACCTAATGATGATAACAGATCACTCTAAATTATAATGTTGGCATACTACTTTGAAATTATGTATTGTGAAAAGCACTACACATATAAATGTGAATTAAATTTCATTGAATTGGTTGATGGTCAAAATGGCACCAGCTGGCGTAAATGTGACATATTCAAATGTAATTATTTGACATTTACCCGATTTGAATGCACACACTTTAGGACACACTGATTTCATAAAAATTTGTGCCCGTCATCTTTTAGAAGTTTACAACTGTTTACAACTGATTTTATTACCTCAGTATCTGCAGTTGACAGTTTGAACTCTTCAGTCCATTACAGATCAGCTTCACTCCTGAATCCTGCAGGTCATTATTACTCAGATCCAGCTCTCTCAGGAAAGAGTTTGAGGATTGTAGAGCTGATGCCACAATTTCACAATGCTGAGCAGTCACATTACAGCCAGCAAGACTGAAATGGTGTAAAACATGAAAATGCATTCCTTATTATTCATCTCTATATCAATGATATCAGCTTCATTCTTGAAAAGACATTCAAATGAAATAATTAAGACATTATTAATCACTCACCTGGCTTTTTTGCAGTTGATCACAGCTGGTATCAGTCTTCTTCTACCCTCATCCGATGTGTTGTATTTCTTGGGGTCCAGCTCATCCAGCACCTCCTCTGACATCTGAAGCATATAGGCAATTGTTGAGCAGTGAGCAGGAGAGAGTTTCTTCTCTGAGTGTTTGTCTGATTTCATAAACTCCTGAATCTCTCTGGACAGAGTCTGATCTTTGACTTCCAGCAGACAGAGGAACAGATTGATGGATCTTTCAGAGGAGAGTCCATGTCCATCTTTGATCTTCTCTTTAATGTACTGTGTGGTTCTCCTGATGCTCTCTGAGCTGTTCTCTGTGTGTGTTAGTAGATCCTGTAAGAGTCCCTGATTGGACTCCAGTGAGATTCCCAGTAGGAATCGCAGGAACAGATCGAGGTGTCCATTCTCACTCTCAATGGCTTTATCTACTGCACTTTCCAGTAAACCATTAATTAAATCAAAAAACTGGGATGTATCAGATTTTTGTCTATTGTAATAGTAAAACACATAGAAAGCAGCAAGAAGCTCCTGAACACTCAGATGAATGAAGCTGTAAACTTTCCTCTGATAAATCACAGATTCCTCCTTGAAGATCTCAGTGCAAATTCCAGAATACACTGAGGCATCAGTGACGTCTATACCGCTCTCAATCAAGTCCTTCTCATAGAACATCACATTGCCCTGCATCAGCTGTTTGAAAGCAACTTCAGCAAGTTTCACAATAACTTCTCCGTTGGACTGCAGGCGTTTCTCTGGATCTGTCTCTTCATACTTCTGATTCATTGTGTTGATCTGAATCAACAGGAAGTGGATGTACATTTCAGTCAGAGTTTGCGGAATTTCGGCACTCAGATCTTCTTTCAGGAGCTTTTGAAGCACAGTGGATGAGATCCAGCAGAAGACGGGTATGTGGCACATGATGTGGAGGCTTCTTGCTCTTCTGATATGTAAGAGGATTTTGCTAGCTTGATGCTCGTCACTGATTCTCTTCTTGAAATATTCCTCCTTCTGAGGCTCATTGAATCCCTGAATCTCTGTCAGACGGTTTATGTAATTGGAGGGTATTTTATTGCATGCTGCTGGTCTGGTGGTGATCCAGATGAGAGCAGATGGTAGCAGTTCTCCTTTCATGAGGTTTGACATCAACACACCCACTGATGAAGTCTCAGTCACATCAGAAACCTTCTGAGCATCTGAAAACATCAGTGTCATTCTGCTTTCATCCAGGCCATCAAAGATGAACACAACTTTACACTCATACATCTTTGAGTCCAGATCTTGAAGTTCAGGATGAAAGTCCAGCAAAAGTCTGTGAAGACTGTACTGATGATCTCCTATCAAGTTCAACTCTCTAAATGGAAGCACAAACATGAAATCAACATCCTGATTGGCTTTTCCCTCGGCCCAGTCCAGAATGAATTTCTGCACAGACACAGTTTTTCCAATTCCGGCGATGCCTTTAGTAAGAACAGTCTTGATTTGGTCTTTCTCCTCACATCCTGTTTCAGACAAGGCTTTAAAGATGTCATTGCAGTAGATTGGAGTGTCTTGTGAATGTTGTGTTCTGGCTGTTTTCTCCATCTGTAAAACCTCATGTTCTTTATTCACTCCTTCACTCTCTCCCTCTATGATGTAGAGCTGTGTGTAGATCCTGTTCAGGAGGGTTTGATTCTCTTGGAGTTTGTTTCCCTCAAAAAATCTCTCATACTTGTTCTTCATGCTGGTTTTGTGCATGTCTTTTACTTTCTGCAGGTCTCCAGGCTCCAGTGTGTGTGTCTGTAGGACTGCTTCAGTTTTGTCCTGCTCGAAGTGGGCCTGATAGTGGGATGTTGAGGTCCGCACAGACCTGTTGTATGTCTCATGTATGTCTCCCCTGTTGAAATTATAAAGAAAAGAGCAACAAAAAAAAGTAAATTACAGCCGTTACAATGACCCTCAGTGACCATTGGAAATATATATGATTTCGGTACCCCTATACAGTTAGACCTTACCAGGCTTTTTTTACAGTGAATTTACTGATAATTGTATAGTTCTTTACTGTAATCTACAGTATGTTACTGTAAAAACACCATGCACTAAATTAATACTCAAGTTAATTAATTTTACTTGCAGAAACCGACTGCTTTAAACTGTCATTTTAAATGTATCAACTAACATTTATAATGCACTAATAGTGTGAGCAAAGTATTACCGTGAATTTTCATTTGGGACCACTAAAAGTATTGTAAATAAAGAGATTTTCGCTGGACCAGCAACAGCACAGACACCACCTGTTAAGTGCAAACGAGACTCTTTTCTACTAATCTCTACTAAGAGATTACTCTGCAGATTTTTATCTTACATATAAGTGTTATACATTTGATCCTGTTAAGTGTCTATTTTTGTGTATACTCACAATAGAAACAAAGTGTTCTGCTTTTTGTCAAATAAAGAAAAATAAACATGATGCAGTCTCTCTGTCAGTGAAGTTCATTATGAAATGCGTCCAAAATATGAACTGAAACTAAGTAAATACTTGTCACAGAGACACAAAAGATTTCTCAAAACCACAAATAAATCTAGTTTTAAATATACTTATTTTGAAGTATTGGTGCTTAGTGTCCAAGCAACACAGCAGTAAGTACTTTATGAATTTTTTCACTTATAAGATTGATAATATCAGGGACAAAATTATAACTATGCAACTGTTGTCAGACTGGAAAACTGGTTAAAGAGAAAATATCTGACCAGTGGCCTCTAAAGACAATGGCAAAATTAACATTTGACACCCTAACCCCTTCCTCTGAGCTACATCTCTCTCTCTCTTTCTCTCTCTCTCTCTCTCAGACAGACTTTGAAGTTATTTTCATTAGAGTTAAAATTAATAGTCGAGCATTAATGTATTAAATGGTGCGCATATATCATTGATAAACCTTTTTAATTTTATGGAGTCAGAAATGCGGGTCTTTGTCTTCTCAGGTGAGAACCACCTAATTATACATGAGGGGTTGGGCCGCCCATTCGCATATTGCCTTTTCAAACAACAAAAAAATATTTTTAACAATTTAAAACAATTCACAGTTTTATCTAAATGATTAGGCAGGATTATTTTCAGATCATTTTGAAGAAAAAACGTATCGGTTACCTAACGTAACCTTGGTTCTCTCTAGAAGAGGGAACGAGTATTGTGTAATCTAGCTTATGCTACGGGAAAGATTCATTTTCTCGAGATGTTGAAGCCAAAAAAATTATCCTTAATTTTGTATTCATTGTCAACGCAGTGCAGCAACTGCCAGACCTACAGCAGGCTATCTAGCAAGCTCATAGGCTGCACTTCAGCAACTGCAGCAGCCTACCAGTGAACCTGGTGTGACGTCACACCCAATGAGAGGCGCCAGCGCCCTCATGACTTCACAGCCCGCCAGAATGGGCGTGGCTTGGTGTATTTACGCGGGGTTCAGAGGCTGCTTCCCTGGTTTTCATTGACTGAAGCGAAAGCCGCTCGTGGCGCGAGTACAGCCGGTTACCCAATACTCGTTCCCTCTTCTAGAGAGAACCGAGGTTATGTTAGGTTACGTATCGGACATTCTCTTACGAGAGGTTCTCTCGTATTGCGTAAGTTAGCTTAAGCTACGGGAACCCTTTGTCAACGCCGTGCATGCCAAGCATCCACTACATGATCCCCGGGGAAACCCGGGGAGCCCTGATAAGTGGGAATTATAGGTGGCCAGCAGCAGTGTGGGTCAACACATGTACATAAGCATTTATTGGGAACATTAGAGCGGCGGCCCCAGTCTGTGTAAGCATATAGCAAACCCAATAGAGCAGCTCAACCAGAAGAGATGATTTTCGTGAGAGTAGCCTGCGTGCATCTTACCTATACCGCCATAAATTTTAGTGGAGTGAGCCCTGACACCCAATGGGCATTGCAGACCTTTTGATGTGTAAGCAGCTGCGATTGCGTCCACTATCCATCTGGACAGGGTCTGTTTCGAGGTGGCGAGACATTTAGTGCGCACACCAAAACGAAACAAAGAGCTGCTCCATGCATCTGAAAGAGGTGAAACTCGCAGTATATAATCTCAGCGCTCTGACTGGGCAGAGGAGATTAGCGTCGCATTCGCTATCGGATGCTGGCAGAGCCAATATGCAAATGACCTGCGCTCTGAAGGGAGTACATATCACCTTAGGAACATAGCCATGTCTAGGTTTGAGAATGAATTTGAAATCATTTGGCTCAAACTCAAGTTTTGAGTGATAGGCATTTCAAATCCACGGATTCTAGTGGTTCAAAGGAGAAAGCTTTCAAGGCCTCGAGGATACGGTTTTACACTCAGTCGTAGAAGGAAGATTTAAGAACATCAAGTGTTGGATGAAGTGACCGAGGACCTAAAGTCAAGTGAAATCAATTATGCATGCCAATTTTGTTAACCAGCGATGAAAATCTTTTTAGTAAACATCTTCTATCTAAAATAATTCTATTTGGGTTACCCAAGCAAAGCCTAAGCAACAGCCCATAAAAACACACATAGGGCCCACGTGTTGGTTGGGATGTTGCATGCTGCAAAACATTTTTGGAGAACATTGTTATTTCACTGAAAGCATTATTCATCTGAGATGCACTACTTAAAATTAGCAAGTTAATGTTTATACTAACGGAGGTTTAAAGGTCACTGGTCCATCACTGATTTCAGGTGGTTGCATCATGGATTTGTTACTCTTCAGAGACACACCGCTGGGTTCTGGAGACTCTGATCTCCTGTTGACATTGACAAATGACAAAACAAAACAGCGCTTGATTTACATTTGTTCATTTAGAAGTAGCTTTTTTCTAAAGTGATTTTCAAATAAAAAAAATACAATTGTATTTCCCCAGCAAAATCCCCAGTGTTAAATTAACACTCTCAGTGTTTATATGAGTCCACACTCACGCTCCAAAAAATTATATGTTGACTTTAAATAACTTTTTATGTAAACAGGTTCCACATAACTGGGTTACATTTAACAAACATAATTTGTTCATGTAACTTCAACACTGGAATTAAAGCTGCAAGCAGCGATGAAAGGGCCTTCGCACCCGTGCTATTCCCACCCAGTGCAGTCAGAATCGTCTGATGCGGTTTTACACTCGTAGCAGGAATATTTAAGAACATCAAGCATTGGATGAAGTGGCCGGGGACCTACAGTCAAGTGAAAACAATTATGCATGCAAATTTTGTTATGAAAAATTGGCATGCATGAAGCGATCATCCAGCGATGAAGATCTTTTTAGTTAAACAACTTCATATGCTGTGGACAGTGTTAGGAACGTTACTTTAAAAAAAAAGTACTTAGTTATAGTTATAGAACTCACTGTTCCAAAAACAGTTGTTCCAAAAAGTAATTGAATTACTCTACTGAATTACTTCAACATCATGGAATTAAATCATTTTAAGCAACCCAATTAAGGGGCTTTTACACTGGGCTCGTTTGCTACGGTCCGAGCAGGAACGTGTTTGTTCCTGGAGCACCCCGCAGCGTTGGTCTGGTTTCACACTCAACTTGATTCTATCGAACCCTGGTGCGTTTGCGTGCATCTTACGTCATCGCAAACGTGCGCGGTGCATGATAAAAAGGAGAACGTGGGTAAATATTGTGGGGGTTTTTTTTATTAATTTGCTGCTATTATGAGCAGTTGAGTGAACAATACAGGTTTACTGTGCCTGTGTCGCATAAGGTGGACTTCTGCTGCTTGCAAACGGACTCTTTTGAGGAGACAGTGGATTTCCAAATGTGTTCTGATTCCACACGCAATGCACGAATACACTGCAGGCTCACTCTTGCTCGTATCCAAGGTAAATCATCAACACTATCATCCCTTACAAGCGTTTTATTTAACTTAATACATCACAATAAGCTAAAACGCATGCGCAGGATACTTTACTTCCTGATCAATTGCGCCCGAATCCGTGTTGCTTTCACATTCACGCAAACCGCGGCATGGTTCGGATGCAACCGAACGCAGACCACCTCCTCCAGGTAGTCTCGGGTTCGGTACCCCAGTGCGCACCCGGGTCCCATAACAGCATTCACATTAGCGATTTTTCATGCGAACCGTGCCCCGTTCCAAACTAAACTGCCAGTGTGAAAGCCCCCTTAAACTCTGAGCAAAATGTTAAATAAACACTGAAGCAGTGTTAAAGTTAGTGTATAGCTGCACTGGTCTGACGAAATAAAGGCCACGCTTCATACAGATGTCTTTGTCGTTTATTTCGTACATATCTCTCTCTCTCTCTCTTGAGTTGACACCATAGACACCGTGAAAACTACAAAAAATGAAAACATATATTCAAAATATGCATTTCTCAGTCCTTTGCAAGTTTCTCGTGCCAATGTCCCATGATATGAAAGTGAATCACAAAAGAAATATGACGAATCCAATCAACATCATGCATGTAGAATAATATAAAACATTATAAACATTATGAAATATATATAAAGGTAAATTACCGTGTGCGCCTCTCAAACCATGCAGATTAAGCAACTCTTTTCAGACCACATGTCATTTCTCTGCATTCATGTTCGTTCTGACCCAAAGTGACGCAGAACCGCTACAAACTGAACCGGGTCATGTGACATCACGTTTTCTACGTAAATCCTCCTTAAAGAACCCCTAACTTTAAAACGCCTAAGGCATTTTACATACATTTTAAATATCCGCTTCTGAATATCACAATTGTATTTAAATGAACTCAAAATTTACATCAATTTATAAAAAGAAACAAATACACATCTCAACAAACACTTGTCCTTAGACAGTTACACTCCCACCAAATTACCATAATTTATAATGAACTTGTACACAAGTTTGAATAAATTTAGTAATTTCACAAAACAAATTTCAGAACCATATAGAATGTTCTCTGACTCTTGGCATCAAGACTAATATTTAAACTCTTAATACTTCAAACTATCAACTTGTGTTGGAGAAAGAGATTAGTTCCATTGCTTAAGATTTAATTGTTTTCTACAAGTACCACTAATTTGTGAATAGGACGTTCAAGGATGGATGGATTTGTAAGTCGCTGACCCTCCTTCCCTAACTTTCTATTTCCTATTTGTATTGTGGTTTTCCGCACCAGGCCATCTTCATCTTTGCAAACATCAATCACTCTTCCAAGTCTCCATTCATTGCGTGGAACTCCTTCCTCTTTGACGATGACGATATCCCCAATCTTCACATTGCGTCTTGGAGTATGCCACCGTTGTCTGAGAGTGATGTTTGTCAGATGTTCCTTCCTCCATCTACTCCAAAATTGCTCTGTCAGATATTGAACTCTGCGCCACCTTTTTCTTCCATACAGGTCTTCTTGCACAAATTTCCCTGGTGGAGGCAGAGGAACAGAGGATTTCATGGTGAGTAAATGGTTTGGGGTAAGTGGTTCTAACCCCTTGGGATCATTGATTGTATCTGTGGTGAGTGGGCGGCTATTAATGATCGACATAGCTTCATAAAAGAAAGTTCTCAAGGAAGCATCATCCAATCTTCCAGAGCTTTTCGAAAGAGCCCAGCTTAGAACGCTCCTAATTGTTCTGATCTGCCTTTCCCACACGCCTCCCATGTGACTGGCATCAGGTACGTTCATTATGAAGTCGCATTGCTTTTGGGAAAGGTAAGCAGTCATTCTGTCCTTGTCCAATTCCTTCAAAGCCTTTGTCAGCTCATTTTTCGCCCCAACAAAATTTGTCCCCTGATCCGATCTGATTTCTCTTACAGCTCCACGGATAGCTATAAAACACCGCAAGGCATTTATGAAGGCATCAGTTGTGAGATCTTCCAACATCTCAATGTGAATTGCTCTTGAGGAGAAACAGGTGATTATGAGACCATATCTCTTATGCTCTTTACGACCTTGCTTGACGAGAAATGGTCCGAAACAATCCATTCCACAATAAGAGAATGGTGGAGAGGAATCAACACGGCTAGCCGGTAGATCCGCCATCTTTTGCATCTCTGTTGACCTGCGATCTCGCCTGCATGCAACACATTGCTTAATGTAATTTGCCACAACTTTACTGCCACCAACAATCCAGTAACCATTTGCTCTCAATTCATTGAGGGTCTGTCCTCTGCCTTGGTGCTGGGTTTTTTCATGGCAGTAACCCAAGATAAGACGTGTGACTACACTATCTCTCGGGAGGATTGCTGGGTGTTTCGAGTCAAGAGACAAGGAAGCTTTCTTCAGTCGTCCTCCCACCCTGAGAACACCATCATGCAGAAATGGGTCAAGTTGGTATAATGGATGACAATGTGGCAATTTGCCATGACTCAGTTTTTGCATCTCATCTTTGAAGGCATTCTTTTGTGCCAACCTTACAAGCACGACATTGGCCTTTCTCATGTCCTCAACGTTTATGGGTTGAACGGTTTTGTATCTTGCTAATTGCTGGATACGAACAACAACTTTCAATGCTGTGTGCCATTTTGAAAACCGATCAAACCTCTCCAGAAAATTTTCATCTTCTACTACCTTTGTTTGTAGTACTTGTGTCGTTCTGATTTCAGGATCGCCAACAAGAAGCTCTGGCGTTGTCTTTGGTGAGATAATTTCCTTTTCCCAAAGAAACTTGGGTCCCGTTAGCCAATTTGAGTGAATCAGATCTAAAACCTTGAGGCCCCTGGAGGCATGATCCGCTGGATTTTGATCCGAGTTTATGTAATGCCACTGAGCAGAGTCGGTTGTTTCACGAATTCTTTGAACTCGATTCGCCACAAAAACGTGAAACCTGCGTGCTTCATTGTTAATGTAGCCTAAGACTACTTTTGAGTCGGTCCAAAAATATTCTTGATCAATTTTGAGCTCCAGCTCCTCCTTTAACATGTTACTGACCGCTGAAGAGATCACTGCAGCTGTCAACTCAAGCCTTGGTATGGTCACGACTTTTGTGGGTGCAACTCTTGCCTTGCCAATAACAAAGGAGCAGTGCACTTTGTCTTCACTCAACACTCGGATATATGAGCACTGACCATAGCCATAACTACTCGCATCCGAAAAGTGATGGAGTTCAATCCTCTGGATAGTCCCTAGGTGTTCAGGAGCAAAACATCTCATAATCTGGAGATTTTGCAGGTTTTTTAGATCGTTCAGCCAGCTTGTCCATTGTGGCATTAACTCTTCAGGCAGAGGTTCGTCCCATCCTATGCCCTTTTGGCACATCTCCTGCAGTATTCTTTTTCCTAATAGAAGGAAGGGAGCCAGGAAGCCTAGTGGATCAAACACTGACGCCACAGTGGAGAGGATTCCTCGCCGTGTTGCTGGTTTTTCATCCAGGGCAACTTTAAAGGAAAAGGTGTCACTATTTACATTCCACTTTACTCCCAACACAGTCTGAACTGGGAGTTCACCAGAACCAAGGTCCACATCCTGAGCTTCGCTGGCTCTTTCGCTGACAGGAATTGAATCCAAAACCGTTCTGTTGTTGGACATGAACTTGTGTAGACGCAATTTCCCTTTTGCACACACATTTCGGGCTTCTTGGATTAGTTTGACAGCTGCGTCCACATTTTCTACACTAATGAGCCCATCATCAACATAGAAATTCTTTTTGATGAAGCTGGCTGCTGCAGGATACTCGCTTTCATTTTGACATGCAAGGTACTTCATTCCATAATTCGCGCAGCCAGGTGAGGATGCTGCCCCGAAAAGATGGACTTTCATGCGATACTCCTTTGGCTCTAAATTTGTATCGCCGTTTTCCCACCAAAGGAACCGCAAGAAATCTCTGTCTTCCTGGCTCACATGGAATCTGTGGAACATCCTTTCTACATCACAAATAACTGTAACTGGATGTTTGCGAAACCTGCAGAGTACCCCTGTAAGCCCATTAGTGAGATCAGGTCCAGTTAGCAAGTGATCATTTAAAGCAGTGCCGTCATACTTGGCAGAGCAGTCAAACACAACTCTAATCTTCTCTGGCTTTCTAGGGTGGTACACCCCTTGGTGGGGAATATACCAGACGTTTCCTGCCTTAGGTTGATGTTCAGCTCTCTCCGCATCACCATCATTGACGACACTTTCCATAAATGTAACATAGTCACTCTTGAATTTGGGGTTTTTCTCAAATTTTCCTTTCAAACGTTTCAGCCGCACAAGAGCCAGCCGCTTATTTTCAGGTAATTGTGGGCGTGTCTTGAAGGGGAGTGGCATCTGCAGGTGTCCCTCTGTATTCTGGTGAATTTTTTCATTCAGCAATTGCATGAACTGTATATCGTCTTGCGATATGGTCTTTTCCTTTGGGTTGGTATCTCTAAAGTCTGATTCAAGGGCTCTGATGACAGCTACAGGAGTCAGTATTGGAAGTTCCTTAACAGATACACGGTGACACAGACCTGTGACTTCTGTCGACTTTACAACCTGTAGCGAACTCCCAACAATACTCCAACCCAGGTCAGTCCTGATGGCGTACGGCTCATTATCACCTCCTGTGATGACTTGTCGAGGCACTAAAGCTCTTGAGCAGTCATAACCTATTAGAAGTCCAACCTTACAATCCAACAGCTCTGGTATTTCCTGTGCTATTTTATTCAGATGTAGCCACCTTCTTGCAGTTTCAGAGGTAGGAATGTGGGAACGTTCAAGTGGGATGAAATCTCTGGTATAGGAAGGTGGCAAATTAATTAAGCTATGAGAGGAAAAACCCCTTACTCTGAGCCCGCTAACTCTTCCACTTTGAACGACAGAATCCTTTCCCATCATTGTAGTAAGCTTTAACTTGACAGGCTCTGAAACTTTCTCCATCCTCTCACATACCTCTTGATCTACAAAGGTGTTGCTACTCTGGGTATCTTGTAGGGCATAAACTAAAATCTCTCTTTCAGGATTGTCAATTGAAGAAATCCATACAGGCACAATCATTGATGTGCTCCCACCATTAGCACTGTCTACGCAACAGGAAAGGGAAGATGTGTTTTCTTCTGTTTGCACAACATGAGAACGTGCTGAAGAAGAAGGACGGTCTTCATGAAGTGGTGTTGGATGATGTTTCTTGCATATATTACAAGTAGCTTTACTCCTGCAATCCTTTGAATTGTGTCCTTTCCTAAGACAGCCAAAGCACAGGTTATTGTCAAATATGAACTTTCTCTTGTCCTCCAAAGACTTACTAGCAAACGTTTGACATTTGTAGATGGAGTGATTTTCCCCACAACACCTGCAAGTGACTTGGTATGAAGGACTAGGAGCTGCGCTTACTTTATGGGGTCTGTTTGAAAACACTGTGTCGCTTCCCTCAACACTGTATGTTTTCGGCACTGTGCTTGATTTGTCTGATGCTTCCACATTTGTGATGAATGCATTTGCCTTTGAACGCTTAACTTCTCTAGATGGCCTTTCTTCAGAGAGCTTCAAAGCGTGCAAGGATGTTACAGGGTTGCAGGCTATTTCTGCTTCTTGGGCCAGAAATTCAGCAAACTCCTTGAAATTAGGATATTCTTCTGCTTCTCTCAACTGCATTGTAACATGGCGATTCCAACGAGACGTCACCCAATCAGGAAGTTTTTGTAGCATTTTTCGATTTTCTTCACAGTCATTTAACACCTGAAGCCCTTTGACGTGTGGCATGGCATTGCTGCAGGCAGTCAGAAAGTCACTTAACTCTCTCAGTTTAACTGATTCTCTTGAACCAATCTTCGGCCAGTTATTCAGTTTTTCTCTAAAAGCACGCTGAATTACAAATGAATGGCCGTACCTAGAATTCAATGCTTCCCATGCTTGATCATAGGCTTCATCGTCCTTTCTGTAGAAGCTGCCTTCCAATACAGATCGTGCCTCACCGCTGACATATTTTTGTAAATAGAACAACTTATCAGCTGAATTTGTACATCGCTGTTCTATCAATGCCTTGAAACTTGTTCTCCACTCTAAGAACTTAAGTGGGTCTCCTGAGAAAACTGAGGGCTCTGGTGCCGGAAGTCTGCTGAGAACCATTGTGTCGTGTAGAGCTTGTACTACTGAGGCGGCTTCTCTATCAGAATGGGTTGTTTTTTCCTCTTTAATCTCATTAAAAGATACTGGAGGACAATTAACTACCTCCTTGCGTGCTGTTCTGCTTTCGTTCTTGGACTCATCCGAGTCAGCTTCAGAGTATGCTTTGAGCTTTGCGGCTATTACTTGAAGATCTCGCTCATTTTCCAATCTTTTAAGTTCTCGTCTTTGTACAGCAATAGCCTCCTCCATCTTTATTTCTGCCTGCTTTGCAGCCAACTGTGCGGCAAACTCTGCTCTTTTTGCGGAGATGCTTTGCTGTTCGGATGAGCAGCTTGAACGGTGACTACAAATAGAAGACTTGGAGCTTGTCGCTGAAAATATTGACTTAGCATACTCTTTGTCAAGCACCATACGAATTCTGGCATCTTCTGCACTAGCATCAAATTCCTCTTGCCCCACTTCACTCATACGTACTTTCATCAGCCCCATCAAATCTGCTGTAACTGCTGTGCAGGAATCAATTTTTCTTCTAATCTGAGTTGAAGGTACTGCTTGAGATCGTATAAGTTCATACACATTTTTCACTTGAGTTTCCAGCCCTTCAACACTATCCATCATGTCACCCAAGTCTTGATCAGAGCACTCATCCCTCAGTTTGGTACGTACAGCTCTTACTTGCTCTTTCCAGCTTTCATACAACTTAATGAATTTACTCTCCTTCTGAGAAATTTCTTGCTGCTTAAGCTCTTGCATTTTTGGAGTTAATTTTCTCTCTCGTGAAGATTTCCTGGGTTCATCTCCTTTTGAAGTGGTAGCAGTAGGTTTTGCTATTTGAAGTGACTGTATTTTAACCTGAATATCAGCTATGAGTGACTCTAATTTTTCCTTTTCAGCATCATCAGTTTGAATTTTTAACTGTTCAATTAAGCTACTCAACTCTGCTTTAAGGAACTCAGTTTGCTCACTTGATTCATCATATTGAGATTTTTCTCCATGAACTGACATTGCAAAGGTTTTTAGCAAAACACTTTTGTGTTACTTAACTATTCTCTGATATGAAAAACCTTTTAAAAATTATTCACCACTACGTCCATTGTAAAGCATTCACACCAATTGAGCTGTAAAGATTAAACAAAATGCAAATAATTTATCTTTACTTTGTACCTTTTTTAGTCCATAAAGATGTAAGAGCAGCACAGTCTAATCATCAGCTGTAAATTGCAGAGCAACACTCTTCAGCTTGTCGCAGCGATGGAGTAAACAAACACTGTTCTCTGAAGCCTGTTCAAAAGATACTTGCAAAACTGGAGTCTACGCTGTTACATGTCGCCCTCTACTGGTCGGGTCGCGGTACTTCCTTTGCGGTGACAACGGCAAGCCTCGTCTCTGACGCTTTCTCTCCACGCTATCGTGCTTTGTTTCCGTATCTGACGTCTCTTCTGTACGCGAATGCCCCACGATCTCGTTTCCTCTTCTCATCCAGCCGATGCCGTTCCACTCTTTGAGCCGTCCGGCTGTAATGGCGTTACGTTTTCACTATAGCTGCACTGGTCTGACGAAATAAAGGCCACGCTTCATACAGATGTCTTTGTCGTTTATTTCGTACATATCTCTCTCTCTCTCTCTTGAGTTGACACCATAGACACCGTGAAAACTACAAAAAATGAAAACATATATTCAAAATATGCATTTCTCAGTCCTTTGCAAGTTTCTCGTGCCAATGTCCCATGATATGAAAGTGAATCACAAAAGAAATATGACGAATCCAATCAACATCATGCATGTAGAATAATATAAAACATTATAAACATTATGAAATATATATAAAGGTAAATTACCGTGTGCGCCTCTCAAACCATGCAGATTAAGCAACTCTTTTCAGACCACATGTCATTTCTCTGCATTCATGTTCGTTCTGACCCAAAGTGACGCAGAACCGCTACAAACTGAACCGGGTCATGTGACATCACGTTTTCTACGTAAATCCTCCTTAAAGAACCCCTAACTTTAAAACGCCTAAGGCATTTTACATACATTTTAAATATCCGCTTCTGAATATCACAATTGTATTTAAATGAACTCAAAATTTACATCAATTTATAAAAAGAAACAAATACACATCTCAACAAACACTTGTCCTTAGACAGTTACATAGTGAGATAATTAAGTGAATAATTGAGTGATGATTGAGCATTATTGAAGACACCTGATGTTAACAAGCAGAATCATAGAAGGTGAAAAACAGAATTTAAGGTCACCATTATGTTTTAGTTGGCCTCTTTACCCTCACATCATTAACTTTAGATTCTGTTTGGCTGTTGTATCTGAGTTATAACAGCCAGATGATCAAATAGAAAAGGTAATCTGATGGTGTTGCTTGTGTTTTAACAATCATTTGACCTGAAGCACTGAACTCACACAGATCCCAAATTCTGTGTTAAGTTTATCTTATGAATTATAGCAGCATTATTATTGTAGAGCATACCATTTTTAGGCTTCTCAATGAAATCCAAATGATCAAATCAATAAAAGAAAATAAAAACCATGTGTGCTGTTGCGAGCTAGAAGTTAAATGCTAGATATTTAAGATAACTTGATGCTTCTAGTTTTAATAAGCTTTGTTTAATTCAATTTATTTAACTTCAAGAAATTAAGAAACTGTATTTCTTAATTAAATTTTAACTGTAGTCATATGAAATAAGTTAAAAGTAATAATATGCTCACATTATCAGCACGTTATAAATAGTTGTTTATTAACTTTAATGGCAGTTGGGTTTTAACAATTTTTTATTTCATCCACTGAAATCCACTGGAAAGAAATTAATCAATAGGGCCCAATTTTCAATCACTGTATTCCCACAATAAAACAATACTGGGGGGGACCAATTTGTGGGACCAATGTGATGACCCAATTGGGCCCCATAATATTTTTGTGTGTCGCCCATCTCAGCCCCATTATTAGCACCCATTGGCGACCACAGTGAGCTCATATGAACATCTAAATTGGCCCCTCTTAGAGCCCACTATGGACCCATCATGCGCCCCTATGGGCTAACCTACATGGAGAACATGTGGAGCCGAAGAACAAATTTCTATTTGGGTTACCCAAGCAAGGCCTAAGCAACAGCCCATAAAAACACACACAGGGCCCACATGGACATGTTGGTTGGGATGTTGGATGCTGCAAAACATTTTTGGAGAACATTTAGTGTTATTTCACTGAAAGCATTATTCACCTGAGATGCACTTAAAATTAGCAAGTTAATGTTTATACTAACGGAGGTTTAAAGGTCACTGGTCCATCACTGATTTCAGGTGGTTGCATCATGGATTTGTTACTCTTCAGAGACACACCGCTGGGTTCTGGAGACTCTGATCTGTTGATACTGACAAATGACAAAACAAAACAGTACTTGATTTACATTTATTCATTTAGAAGTAGCTTTTTTTTACTAAAGTGATTTTCAAATAAAAAAATACAATTGTATTTCCCCAGCAAAATCCCCAGTGTTAAATTAATACTCCCAGTGTTTATATGAGTCCACACTCATGCTCAAAAAAATTATATTTTGACTTTAAATAACTTTTTTATGTAAACAGGTTCCACATAACTGGGTTATGTTTATCAAACATAATTTGTTCATGTAACTTCAACAATGGAATTAAAGCTACAAGCAGTGATGAAAGGGCCCTCCCAACCGTGCTATTCCCACCCGGTGGCTTTAGGAAGACAGAGCACGGTAGGCAATGTGCTTTTAATTAGGTAAATATAGGTGCAGTATGTCAATGTCAGTTAAAAATGTCCTTTATTATAGGAATAATAGCATGCGTTATTACTCAGACAAGTGTTGCTAGCATGTTTCTAGCATGTTTAGAACTCAACGGCATATTTAAAAAATCTTTTTAGCAAAAACACGTCCATCACGGAACAGCCCCAGATAGCAAACTGACATTGAATCAACGTGGAAATATGACATCGAAACAACGTTGATCTGACATTGTTTTGCTCATCGAATTAACGTTGAACCAACGTCAGACGCTTCATTCTTTCAAAACTAACGGAAAATCAACTTGAAATCAACGCGTTGTTTCAACGTTATGAAAGCAAACCAATTTTCGATTTCATTTAGCTTTGAAGAATGCCGCGTCTGACGTTGGTTCAACGTTAATTCGATGAGCAAAATCAACGTTGTTTCAATGTCATGAGAGACGTCGTTTCCACGTTGATTCAATGTCAGTTTGCTTTCTGGGGCTACAGTGGCGTAGATCATAGAGCGTGTAGTTCGTGAATGAGCTTTTGATGCGCTCGGATCCGAGTTCGAATCCGCCTTTTGCCGAACATATAAGATGTAAAATGTATGTAAACTAACATGAAGGTCTCTAGCTTTATATTTTGCCAATGATCTAAAATCGAAACCATGATATGGCTTTTTGCCTTCTTAAAACAGCACAAGACTTTAAGAATAGGCATTATGTTTGTGATTTAGAGAAACGTGTGCACTTTGCTCACGCGATCAGCATGGTTATCTGATGTTTTCTCCTGAATAAAAGCTCAAGGGTTTATTTAAGTGTAGAAATAAGGACAAAAGTATTTTTGTCGGGGGAGCAGTCAGTAAAACATAAGATTATCTTTAAAAAACGATTGAACACGGAGCAGTTTTTCCTGCGAGTGAGAAAAACCCATAAAAAACCCATAGTGGACGTAATCGGAGTGATTACAGAACGCTTAGAGTGCAGAGAGGAATGTGCTTTGGCTCCAGTCCTGGTTTTGCATCCGCGCCGTTATGAGCTCAACATCTGTCTCGCATGCACGCTCGCTCTAGATTAGAGGATATTTTAACTAATTTGCAGTAAAACTAGTCGATCACGAGTGGCTCAACTGGTGGATCTATAGATAAACTCATCTTTCAGGTATTTTGCCGTCTGGCTTGACACTTTAGCGTGAGAAATCGTGGGTGTGACGTGAGAGCATGAGAATTGGCTCAATTGCGTGAGTCTCACGCTCAATGCGTGAGAGTTGGCAGCCCTGTTGTATGTTATTAGGAATCAAGTACTTGTACTTCCAGTTGCAAGCAGGTGGCGCTATGACTGAAACTGAATATGAGCATGGACATGTGTTCAGAACAGAACTCTTATCAAACGTGTGAAGTTTGAGGCAGATTTGACATTGTTTGTCTGAGTTACAGCAACTTCCTGTTTCATGGCGAAACATCGAAATTTGTCAGGCTGCCGAGGACACACCCTTCAATGAAAACTCAACATCTTTGCATTTTAACGTCACAAAGGCCTAAAGATTACACTCACCAAATTTGAAGATGATCAGATTAAAACTGTTGGAGGAGTTTATTAAATTATTAGGCCTGAAAATGGCAAAAACTGCACAAAAATCAGAGAGAAAGTTCAAAATGGTTGACTTCCTGTTGTGTTTAGGGATACGCTCCAAGAGATTTTTTTTAGGCATTGGGCCATTACATGCATGTACCAATTAGATTAGGTGTCCAATACTGTTAAACATCACTTCCTGTAGCCTGCCAGTAGGTGTCGCTATAACTATAACTGAATACTGTAGATATGTAGATGTGTTCAGGACACGACTCTTATCAAACGTGTGAAGTTTGGGGCAGATTTTATATTCCATGCCTGAGTTACAGCAAATTCCTATTCAATTGCAGTAATAGCTTGCTTTAGCGCTTAGGTAAGTGTTTGCTAGCAGGTTTTAGCACATTTCTAGTATGTTGATAGCATATTTAGCACTTGCTGGCACTTTTTTGTTAATAATTAGGGGTCCACAACAGTGTTAAAGCAGGTGGCGCTATGACTGTGACTGAATATGAGCATGGAGATGTGTTCAGGACAGAACTCTTATCAAATGTGTGATGTACTTGGTACATCATAAGAAGAAGATCTACGCTAATATTAGTCTCTCTTTTTATCCTGAGGTACCCTCTATGGTGGACCTGCGACTGCACCCATCCCAACTCATCCTGAAGTGCCGGCCTCATCGACACGACAGCCATCGGCACTGATCCTCAACAACTCGTCTCTATACAGCCGTGATTACTTTGACTTCCAAACAGATGGACATGGACAAATATTCTTAACGTTTTGATCCAATTTGTCTTGTGATGCTACCCGAATCACACACTGTTCCTTCGTTGGCCAGAGGAGAACTGGCCACTGGTTTCTCCCAAGGTTTTTTTCTCCATTCTGTCACCTGATGAAGTTTTGGTCACTTGCCACTGTTGCCTTGGCTTTTGGCTTGCTTAGTTGGGGACATTTAATATTCAACAATATTATTGATCTGTGTTGTATTATTTTAATGTTATGACTGTGAAGCTGCTTTGATAAATCTGTATTGTAAAAAGTGCTATATAAATAAAGGTGACTTGACTTGAAGCTCATGGTGGGATCAATCTATGTGACCTCACATTGTGAACACATTCTGAGTATCTTGTTTTATGCATTAAAATCCTTTATACATGATAAAGACACTGTTGGATATCATGCACAGAGGTGTATATTCCAGGGGTCAGATAGTAGGAGTCCTGCCATATGTTTATTCCACCCATGAACTAACTGACAGTTGATTTCAGCTGATTTCTGTCTTCGGGCTGAAAAACTGCTAATAAGCAAATCCAGGTGATTGGAACAAAATACTGAGGAGGACTTTTACTTTCTGAACCTGGACTTTACACCTCTGCATAGCAATGCCACATGCCAGCCAAGAGTAAAGAAATAAACCAGGGCTGGACCTTATCTGAGCCACGGAATCTGTGTATCTGAAGGACAGCATTACCAGCTTCACTCTTTACTAAACAGACTGACTTTATTTCTGTCAGACGTCTAAAGAAGTTTTATTGAGAATTAACAGAGGTTTAACTCTAATGTGTTTAATTCGAAGTCCCCACAACAGTGATTATTGTTTCCATTAGTTGGGCTCTTAACTCTAATTATTTATTTGATCTATTATTGGCTGCTGTGCTAGTGTGTTTGTCAAACATATTTACAGCAGCAAAGAAAATTAAAGTGTATTGGTTACCTGGTAATGGTTTTATAATCGTCATGAAACAGACTGATAGACTGAGGATTTTATAATCTAACAATAATGTTATGCCATTAATAAATTCACATCACAAACCCTGTGTTACTGCAGCATGAGATATAGCACTATAATAATCAGTCAAATATTTAAGCATGACCTCAAAAAATGTAACTTATTTGACACAGATCAACAATCAGCACATGAATATCAACAATGGTTGACAATCACAAATCAAGTTTCAAGTTTCAAGTTTGTGTTTATTTATATAGCACATTTAAAAACAGCAAACAAGGCTGACCAAAGTGCTGAACAATACACATGATGAAGAGAAAAAAGAAAAGACAGAAAATACAAGGACAAACCACACATTCATAACAAAAACTCACAATGAGCTAAAAGCTAAAGAAAAAAAATATGTTTTAAGAGAGGATTTAAAAACAGTTAAAGATTGAGAAGCTCTGATATAAACTGGAAGGCTGTTCCAGAGCCTAGGGCCAGCAACAGCGAAGGCTCTGTCCCCTCTGTTCTTTAGCCGTGATCGGGGGACAGACAGTAGACTCTGATCACCAGACCTCAGGGATCGTGTGGGGTTGTGTGGGCAGAGTAGCTCAGACAGATAGCTTGGTGCAAAGTTATTTACAGATTTAAAAACAAATAAAAGAATTTTATACTCGATTCTAAAATGCACAGGTAGCCAGTGTAGAGATTTTAAGATAGGTGAAACATGATCAAATTTGCGTTTTCTTTTGAGGAACTTTGCAGCAGCATTCTGAGCTAGTTGGAGACGAGCAATAAAGTGTTTGGGTATGCCAAAGTAGAGAGAATTGCAATAATCCAACCGTGATGTAATGAGCGCATGAATGGCAATCTCTAGTGTTTTCTCAGAAAGGGAAGATTTAATTTTAGAGAGAAGGCGTAACTGAAAAAAGCAAGCACTAATCACCGTATTGATTTGTTTTTCAAATCAAACAAATATTTAGATAAACAGATTAATGCTGATACCCAGCATGCATTGAAGCAAAATACTTTTGATTGTCACCATTGTTGAGATTCATACGCTGATTGTTGATGCCTGTGTGTGTCAAAGTAAATTACTCTTTTGTGTCTTTTAGTCTTTCGTTAAAATCTTCCCGCCCTCTGTTCGTTGATTGGGCCGTGCGTTGTCAGGCCGGAGGAAAACGAAGAGACGCGTCGATGTCTCAGACTGAGAACAGAAGCGAAAATAAATAGAGCGGGAGTGCGAAGTCTGACATAGTCAGGCTAGCATTATCCACCTCTATACATTGCTGACATTGTTAGTATCACCGTATGACAATGGTGTGATGTCACTTTGCTCATCACATGATCTCATGTGTTGACTGGGAGTAAGTCAGTTTGGATAAATGCATCTGCCAAATGCAAAAACAACTAGTGATGTACCTGGGGTCAGAAGTCACTGTTGCATCACTGAAAGAAGAGAGCAGATTCTTCATGGGTTGATTACAACTTGATCCAGGAAATGGAGAACTCATTTTAAAGGCAGTGTCTTCATCTTCTCTCTCTTCACTGAGACTCATTTTGGAGGCACTGCCCTCCTTATTTCTTGAAAAGAGTGTTGAGACCTTTTTTGTAAAGAAGAAGAAAAATAAATTAAATTGAAAGACATACAAACAGAGAATTCCATGAAATTGAGTCAACGATGACAGAATTTTAATTTGTGGGTGAACTATTGCTTCAAGATATACAGTACAGTACAGTTACATTAAATATTCTCATATACTCCTTAATATGCATTTAATCTGCTGTAGTTTAACTGCAGAACAGCTTAAGCAGCTGGCCGATTGACCCAGTCAACATGTTGATCTCACAGTGATGTCACCATGTGGTCACAACGTCAGCAATCTGAGTTCACAGTGATGTAAAAATGTAACCTCACAGCGTTCTCATTGTGTGCTCCAACTATGACTAAAATATGAGCTCATCCCTGCAATTTTTGTTTTTCTATGAATGTTTTGAGAGCAGTTCTGTTCTTGTAATATTTTCTGTACTAGATCATTTTATTTTTGGTACCAGAATGTTCTCCTAAAAGGTCGGATAACACTCTCTAAAAATGTTTTAAACATGTTTAGTGATAACATTGATAGAACATTATCCCCTAACATTATAAAGTTTTAAATATATTAAATCATAACAATCCAGAATTTCAAACAATTGAGATTCTGCAGCATTAAAATCACAAAATCTGAAGTACTGATATTAAAACTAAAACTGTGTGAATATCGTTTAATTAGAAATTTTGAATAATAATATTAGAATAAACTTTTTGATTAACTGACTCATTTTAACAAACCTCAGGAATCATAGCGTGAATCTCAATAACACATGCTTCATGCAGCAATACATTCTGGTTGCATCATTCAAAACTCATCAGTGGCTCCCAGAATGCATTGCAGCAAGCTAGAGCTATTATAAAAAATAGGCCTACTTATTTTTTTATGTGCAATTACTTCTTACAAACTAATTGTTGTACAACCAACATTAGAGCAGTTATGTGTTTACTAAATTTGGTGTGTGACAGTAAAGTTATTGAATATATTTTTTTATAATATAGTATGTGCAAAAGCAGTGTATTATGACCAGTGGGTCACCATTGATGTGTAAACTGAATTGGGTGGTTTGTAGCATTGAAATTAATGATTATTTTTATATTTTTGACTAGGAATTGATGCTGTAGTCGTTTTTGCAGATGATCCCTTCGGACTTGTCTCACAGCCGCCTGCACAGAGATCTTTTCAGCCTATGAAGCTCGATCGTTTTGAGGGGAATTGAATTGTAGCCTTCTTATACTGTCTATGGTTGTATGGCTCGTTGTCTATGTTGTGATTTTAAAGGTGTACGTCATTTGTGTTTTAACAAAGTTTAACTCAAATATTGATCCGGGAAGTTTGAATATTGCTATATTGCCAACTTCACTTCATTTTTTTTTGCCTATTTTTTCCCATCCTATTTTTTTCACCACCACGTACAGCTTCGTAGCCTACAGACCAGATAAGTAGAACAGCAGTAGTTTTAAATCTACAATTATAAAACAGAACGGAACAGCTCGGTATAATTCACTTTTTAGTGTGAAATCTAGACACAATAATATTCATAGGTAGTTTTGCCGTTTACGTAACTTGGATTCTGTAGACGCGCAGTGCCGCAGGCTATCCATCAACTTTTAGCGGTGGTTTTGTGCACCACTCCTTTGGTGTTTTTCATGGGGAAGTAAAATTACGGCAACCAGCGCGCGTCTAAAAAGATAGGCTACCCTCTAAGTAAGGTCAAAAAATACTTATTTATGACTACATGAAGAAAAAGTTATGAACTTACCACAAAATATGCGGCCGCACAATACGATAATTGAAATAATTGAACGCACAATACTACCTAACAGCCTCCAAATAGCGTCGATTTCTAAGTTCTTTCACTTTCGTTTTAACCTCCGCTCTCATGAAAGACAGGCACTCCCTCTAGCGCAGAGCGTCAATGAGGCTGGGTGGACTCACACCCATATAGGCCTACGGGTCCTTCTCGAAAAATTAGCATATTGTGATAAGTTCATTATTTTCCATAATGTAATGATAAAAATTAAACTTTCATATATTTTAGATTCATTGCACACCAACTGAAATATTTCAGGTCTTTTATTGTTTTAATACGGATGATTTTGGCACACAGCCCATGAAAACCCAAAATTCCTGTTTTAAAAATTTGCATATTTCATCCGACCAATAAGAGAAGTGTTTTTAAATACAAAAAAAAAAAAAAGTCAACCTTCAAATAATTATGTTCAGTTATGCATTCAATACTTGGTCAGGAATCCTTTTGCAGAAATGAGGCTTCAATGTGGCGTGGCATGGAGGCAATCAGCCTGTGGCACTTCTGAGGTGTTATGGAGGCCCAGGATGCTTCGACAGCGGCGGCCTGAAGCTCATCCAGAGTGTTGGGTCTTGCGTCTCTCAACTTTCTCTTCACAATATCCCACAGATTCTCTATGGGGTTCAGGTCAGGAGAGTTGGCAGGCCAATTGAGCACATTAATACCATGTTCAGTAAACCATTTACCAGTGGTTTTTGCACCGTGAGCGGGTGCCAGGTCGTGCTGAAAAATGAAATCTTCATCTCCATAAAGCTTTTCAGCAGATGGAAGCATGAAGTGCTCCAAAATCTCCTGATAGCTAGCTGCATTGACCCTGCCCTTGATAAAAGACAGTGGACCAGCACCCCAGACCATCACTGACTGTGGGTACTTGACACTGGACTTCAGGCATTTTGGCATTTCCTTCTCCCCAGTCTTCCTCCAGACTCTGGCACCTTGATTTCCGAATGACATGCAACCACTGAGCAACAGTCCAGTGCTGCTTCTCTGTAGCCCAGGTCAGGTGCTTCTGCCACTGTTTCTGGTATGCGGCACCTGTAGCCTATTTCCTGCACACGCCTGTGCATGGTGGCTCTGGATGTTTCTACTCCAGACTCAGTCCAGTGGTTCCGCAGGTCCCCAAGGTCTGGAATCGGTCCTTCTCCATAATCTTCCTCAGGGTCCGGTCACCTCTTCTCGTTGAGCAGTGTTTTTTGCAACACTTTTTCCTTCCCACAGACTTCCGACTGAGGTGCCTTGATACAGCACTCTGGAAACAGCCTGTTTGTTCAGAAATTTCTTTCTGTGTCTTACCCTCAGCAGTCAGGTCGGCAGTCGTACCCATGATTGCGGTTTTGAGTAATGAAACAGGCTGGGAATTTTTAAAAGCCTCAGAAATCTTTTGCAGGTGTTTAGAGTGAATTAGTTGATTCAGATGATTAGGTTAATAGCTCGTTTTGAGAACCTTTTCATGATATGCTAATTTTTTTGAGATAGGAATTTGGGGTTTTCATGAGCTATATGCCAAAATCATCAGTATTAAAACAAAACAAGACCTGAAATATTTCAGTTGCTGTGCAATGAATCTAAACATATAAAAGTTTAATTTTAATCATTACATTATGGAAAATAATGAACTTTGACAATATGCAATTTTTTTTTTTTAGAAGGACCTGTATTGTCTACGGAGGCGTATTGCATTCACTTGAAGAAAAAAAAATCTACTCTGTTTTTCTGAATTAACGAGTTAATTTTTCATGAGAAAAAAAAATTGCTCTGTTTTTCTGAATTAATGAGTTAATTTTTCATGAGAAAAAAAGTTTTTGCTCTGTTTTTCTGAATTAACGAGTTAATTTTTCATGGAATTTTTTTTTGCTCTGTTTTTCTGAATTTATGAGTTAATTTTTCATGAGAAAAAAAATATTTTGCTCTGTTTTTCTGAATTAACGAGTTAATTTTTCAAGAGTTAATTTTTAATGGAATTTTTTTTTTGCTCTGTTTTTCTGAATTAATGGGTTAATTCAGAAAAACAGCAAAAATAAATTTTCTCATGAAAAATTAACTCATTAATTCAGAAAAACAGAGCAAAAACTTTTTTTCTCAAGAAAAACTAACTCATTATTTCAGAAAAACAGAGCAAATTTTTTTTCTCATGAAAAATTAACTCATTAATTCAGAAAAACAGAGCAAAAACTTTTTTTCTCATGAAAAATTAACTCATTAATTCAGAAAAACAGAGCAAAAACTTTTTTCTCATGAAAAATTAACTCATTAATTCAGAAAAACAGAGCAAAAAAAATTTTTCTCATGAAAAATTAACTCATTAATTCAGAAAAACAGAGCAATTTTTTTTCTCATGAAAAATTAACTCGTTAATTCAGAAAAACAGAGTAGATTTTTTTTTCTTCAAGTGAATGCGATATACGCCTCCGTAATTGTCAGTTAAGTTACTTCTAGAAAACTTTTCAGGTGTGTAGGAATAAAGGGAATGACTAAATTTTTATGAACATAAGCCTTAAACCATAGAGACTGCACAGACTCCATTTTAGATAGTTGTCTAGATAAATGTTTTATCGAGAGCTAATATTGGAGTATTCAAATATTTTCTTTTGACAAATCCACATAGTGTGACATACACATAGTGTGATAGCAATAATCTTCTGTATCGCAGTCACCAGTTTATTTTTATTTCGCAGAATAATTTGTCACAACTACGCCTTTGAACACACTCTTGTGTTGGGCAGGCAGAAACATATCATGTGTTATTGTTAGGCCTATTTGAAAATATAACATTACAATACAGTTTAGGCTTTATTTACATGAATACAAACATTTCATCTAGAAACCTTTAGGAGACCAGAAAGCATCAACGTCTGGTCAATGTTTGGTATCAGTTCTTGCTCAAAGTCCCAGACTCTTTTGTCTACAAACAGTTGGTCTTTGGTAAGATTCCTCTGGAATGGTACTCTCACATGGACAATCCTACACACATTAAACGGTACATGGTATCGACCTCCAATTTCTTTCAAAGTGGAATGCACTGAGGTTTGCTGCACCATCCTTGGGTTGACAATCATCTTAGTGGGATTGTAAATGTTCTTTCGATCAGGTTCTCTGTAAATGTGCTCCATGATATTGACACCTGGAATATTCTTCCATTCTGCTCGTTTGAACTTCCCACTGTCCTCAAACTGTGTTTTGGAGAATATGTGGTTCTCTATGAGGAACACTCCAACATTGGGATGAGCAGACTGAAGATCCTCCATAAGAGGTGTTAAACTGGTGTGTTCGTACGGCATGATGATCTCATCAATGTCATTCAGGAGAACGTACCTTGATTGATACATGTGCCTGTAAATGCACTCGTTGAGTGTTACTAACTGACCATAATAATGGACATCGCCCTTGTGCTTCTTGATGTTCCAGCCAGAGGACGGGTTCAGAAACGTGTCGATAGCCCATGAAACAATCTCCAGAATCCCCTCTGTTTCATAATGTTTTAAGAGCTTTTCCAGATCTGGTCCACATTTCGTTTTATAGATGACAACATGCTGTACACCCAGAAGCTTGTACATCTCTATAGTTTGAGCAAACTGCAGTGCATTGTTGTAGTCGCCAAAAAGGTTGGAGATGCATATCGTGAAGTTAAACTTGAAAGTCTCTCTTGCCACCTTATTTCGAATTGGCAGATACTCCATCTTGGGGTCAACTGAATCTTTCTTATTAGATGTTATGAGGACATGTGTTGCATTTTGCATGTGTTTACCTTTACAAATCACATCTGAGGCACCATACGGAAAGCTAAAATGGTCGGTGTGTATCTGGACATCTGCCTCAACAGTTCTGCAGTCATGTTTTGTGCTGCAGTAAACACAGTAAAGTGGCTGAAGACTGTTTCTGTTGATTATGCTGATGACTCGAATGACCCCGTCCAGTCTGTGGTCGATAAACGCAGACACCATGAAATGCTTTGAGCCATTGATGGGCGTTATCGAATTCGAAACCTCCAAGATTTTTTGTTTATTATTTGTTGGAGTAGCTCTTATTTTTGGAGGAGTGTAGTGTGTAATGTATTTTGTACTGTCCATGTACACCAAAATCAGCATGCCAAAAAGTGTGACAATAAATGATAGGGAAAGAAGTGCCTTCAATTTTTCCATCTGTAGAAAAAAGGAAATTAATAAATGTGTCAAAAACAATGCAAAATGTTAAAAACAAACAAACTCTTATGTCGACACACGCACAACGTGCGAGAAGAGATAAGGAAATAATGCAAGCCCAGTCTATCATTAAAAATTTGATTTGATTTGCAGCGAAAAGGAGATCAAGTGAGACACACTGAGTGATTGTCACTCGCATGAACGAGCACCGATTTGCCTATGATTTCAGATATTTGTCGGCGATCTTTCAAAACCTGTCAGCGAGTGAAAATCGGGGTTAAAGTTGTCCAGTGTGAACTCTGCTGATTTGCAGGAGGAGCATCACAATGGAGCATCAATAAAGCACATTTTGAGTTTTATTTACACCAAAAATTACCATATAGCCTAGGCCTATTGGTCATTTCATAGTGCATCACTGTATTAACTTAAAGCTGCAGTCCGTAGCTTTTTTGGGGTTAAAAATGATCCAAAATAAAAATTTAAAGATGATAATTCTGCGATTGACTGCAGCTTTAAATATAATTTAAATAAAAAAGGTATAAAGACAATGCGCCTACCTGTTTCCTTGATGAATTCAACTCTTTTATTTCACCTAATAAAAAAAAAATGTTTTATGACAATTTCAAGATATGACTTTATATGACCCATTTTTATATATTTTTTTTATATTATAAATGTTTTTTTATAATAGATTACTTCGTGTTTTCCCCCTGATAATGTTTGTATTCTTGGGTTTTAATTTTTTTTTTTTTTTTTTTTTACTGGATTTCCATAGTCAAACACAACTGACTTTTATGAGATGAAAGAGTAGCCTATAATGAGAGACCATGACTTACATTACATAATCAACAATAAACAAGTAAAACACCTGATGAAGACTGATGTAAACAACAAAGAATAACTTCCAAGACACTGTTCTCTCATTATGGATTCTAAA